CGGTCGGGGTGAAGGGGCGGAGGGTTTCAGGGTTTTACGAAAACACGGGCAATCCCTGACAGCAACTACCCGAACGTGAACGGCCTCGCGCCCGTGCTGGCCACGTGCTGCATCTCACCATCGCCACGCAGCATTCAGGAGCCAGAGGCCGGCGGGCGGGGTGGCCAGCAGGCGGCTGAGCGAGGGCCCCAACCTACACACATCCGTACACTCAATACACTCAATATACACACACCTGGCACAGTCCCTCAGCGGCAGGGGGCAGTCCAGGCGGCCATGTCGTGACAGCTGCCGTACACATCCTGGGTCCCTCAACACGTGCTCCATAAGGTGTGAGGGGACCTCGCGGATGTCCAGGGGGCAGCTACTGCCGCTCAGGAGCGCCAACTGCCAACCGCCTCTACCTCCAACTGCAGCAGCAGCCGTAGCACGAGGACGAGGGGGAGCGTCAGCAGCACCGGCGTCGTCGTCCTTCAGGTCGTCATCGCCGTCGCTGCCGCCGATAAGCCCATCCGTACAGCGGGTAACAACAGCTGCGGTGGTGGTGTCGCTGTTCGTGCTGTTGGCGTTGCTTTCCGCGGCGGCGGTCGTCATCATTGTGTAGGTGTTGGCGGTGCTGAGGGGCGGGGAGGAGGGCGGCTGTGACGGCGTTTGCGATGGTGGCGGTGGCGGTGATGTTGGTGGCGGTGGCGGTGGCGGTGGAGGCGGTGGCGGTGGAGGCGGTGGCGGTGGCGGTGGAGGCGGTGGCGGTGGCGGTGGAGGCGGTGGCGGTGGCGGTGGCGGTGGCGGTGGAGGCGGCAGGAGGTCCGTTGCAGCGGTGAGCCGGCAGATGGCGGCGGAGGCGATGTGGTGCAGCGCGTGACCCAGCTCGTGGAGCCATGCCTGAGGGGCGGGTTGTGGGTGGGTGGAAGGAATGGAAACGGGATTGTGGCGGATGGATGCGCATGGTGGTGGTTGGGAAGGCGCTCCCACACAAACCCGGACGTGCGGGGCAGGGCGGCTCCAGGGGGTTGGCGGCTCCAGGGGGCGCGAACCCCGGCAGGGACGTGGTGTTGGGGGTTTAGGGGCGTGGCGGGAGTCTAGGGTGGCATGATGGCGTGCCATCATCTTGGCAGGGCGTGGCGGGTTGTAATGGGGGGGTCAATACGATGAGCGTCGGAGGTTTCCTGCAGCCATGACCTGCCGTGCCCTGCCGTGGCGCAAACCCTCTCCACGTCACACCCTTCCCACCCACCCACCCCCACACACCCGCACTCACATGCCTCGTTGGTGTGCGCACCCCAGCACTCACCCACCGCGTCCCCCTGCGCCCCTACTCTCCCTCGCTCCAACCCCTTCGCAGGTCGCCCGGACGCCCACCTTGAGGAAGTACGGACTTTCTGGTCCACCGCACTCGGAGCGCGCATCTGGACGGTAGGGCATTCGTACCAGCACGACCGGCAGCGAGTGTTCACCGCCGGGTTCAGCGCGGGCGTCATGCCGCTCCACGTCCACGCTCGCGTCGGTGCGTGGTGACAGACCCATGGGTCCGTGTCGCAGCAGGGTGGTGAAGGGGTATTCGGACAGGCCCCCGTGGAGGTGCAGGTACAGAAATCTGCATTATTTTAGAGGGCGGGCAGGTGCGGACCGAGACCGGGATCGGGAGAGGAAAGTCGCTACTACTACTGCTACTATTATGTTATCATTATCATTATTATCACATTCATCATCTATACTTACTATTCTTACTCCTGGGGTTTCACAGGCAGTATTACGATCAGAACCAGACTCCGGAAGGTCCGGACCCAGTGCTGGGAACGTACGGATGGTTGGTACGGGACTGCGCGAAGCAGTAGCGCATCATCGATGGGAGGCAGGTCCGTCAGTCAGTCCATCTGTCCGTCAGTCAGTCAGTCAGTCAGCCAGGTAACAATAACGGCAAAAGCAGCAACAGCAACAAGAAAGGGCTGGCAACAGCGGCTGCCGCTCAGCGGCTGCGCTAGAACGCTCCTCAGGTTTGGCGCTCTCTCGCCCTCGGCGGCACACTTCCCGTCCCGTCCCCACCCACCCCGCCCCCCACACAGAGATGCAGCTCTCCAAGGACCCCTCACCCAAGCTGGCGGTTTGTACGACAGCAAACCACAGCGGCCTTCAAGACGACATCACCTCCGCACGCGCCTCCGCCGCCGCCACTGTCGTGGCCCTCGCTGTCCTGCGATGCTTCCATCCCACCGCCCTCCGACAAACCCGATGTGGGTTGCAACCACCGACCTCCATCAGAATCCGGCTCTGGCTCCGGAACCGGATCCCCATGGATCCAGCCCGTCATCTCCCCTGGAGCCAACTGTAAGGGCCCCTCCAGCGCCAATCCAAATAGCTCCCGGCACAGCGCACTGCTGCCCTGCAGGAGTCCATGCACATATATATACATATATACATACATACACACGCTGGTAAAGTTTTGTGAAGTGCTGGCGGCAGCGGCGAACGAAATGTGGAGGCCGCTATGAGGATGAGGAGAGGCGACGTACTGAGCACCTGTCCACTGGGCTACTACACTGAAGGGGTGAGGAGAGGGGGAAGGTCAAGATCTTTGATTCCCCAGTGGTGGGGAGAGCCGCGGCGCTGCTATCACATCGGACGACCCACCCCTCACCGCGTGCACGCAAATACTTAGAGTGCAACACGACACGTTGAATGTGTACGAGTATACGACTGTGTGCACGTGGTTTCCTGCTTGCGCTCGCAGCGAAGTCACTATCAGGCCGATGGCCGCACCTGGAGCAGCCCCGGCGGCGCGAAATAGTCGGCGTATCCGACTGACCAGCCGGTGTCGTACCGGGAGGCAGCCTGGCCCTGTGCAAGGCCCTGCAGGACGAACGGCAAATTCCATGGATCCAGCGGATCCGCGCCCGGTGGTAAACCGCCCCTGGAGCCCCTAGCCGGTCGCCGGGCATCCCGTCGGATTGCGTCAAGCTCGCTGGGAAAGACACAAGAGACAGTTAGTTAGTTAGTTGGCGGTTACGATCAGTCGGTTAATCTGCGCTATGAATGTTCTGCCGGTATTTAAATCAGGTTTGTCCTATCCAAGCATATGACGTATTCGACTTAAGAGTTCACCTGTCACCGTAAGACAGGAGCCCCGCGCCCAGCTCACGTAACATCCGTACGATGGCCGCGTGGCCGCCCAACGCGCTGCCGGCTACGCCCCCCCCCCCGCCTCCGCCGCCGCCAGCGCTGGTCACCGCGCCGCCCCCCTGGAGCACCAGGTCGCCCCAGCAGCGGTACCCCAACGCCGCCGCCAGCCGCCGCCGCAGCTCCGTAAGCTCGTCCATCACCGCCAACATCGCCCTGACCTGGCGGCAGCGAGGGAGCCCGAGCATGTGGAGGGATTTCTACACAGCCCTTTTGGACGTCACAGCTGGGACCCACCATCGCTCTACCAGCACAGTCAGGCCGCGTATTTAAAACTTAAGAATCAGATAAACGAGGGTTGCAGGAGGGGCTCAAACCTGTCCGTTGGCAGCCTCCTCCACCCCACCCCACCCCACCCCACCCCACCCCACCCCACCCCACCCCACCCCACCTCACATCATAGAAGCAAAGGAAGTAAAAGAGCTCTACAGCTTGCAGACGAGTACAGTTAGCGGCCCCACGGGACCCGCCCTCCCAACCCCCTCCCGGTCAGCACCCGGTCGTTTGGAGTCGGGGAACAGACCCGGCGTATCTCACATCTTGCAGCTCCCCCACCCCCCCCACCAGTAGCGGCCACCACCTGACGTCATCTCCAACCCCCCACCCCCACCCCCCCCAACAGAAGGTACCTGTCGCAGCGGCCCCGAGTGGTACACCTGCCAGCGAACACCCTCGTTGGGATGCAGCTGCAGCAGCCGCCCAGCCAGCTCGGGGGTCAGACGGATCACCGGCAACAGAAGTGAACCCCCGCCTCCAACGCCATTACCATCATCACCACCATCACCATCACCATCATCATCTTCTCCGCTGGCATCACTACTGCTGTTGCCGTCTGCAGCACCGTAGCGCGCCACTCCGCGGCGGCCTTGATGGTGGCTGTCTGCTGCTGTGGCCGCCAGATCAATCGCCTCGTCGGTGGCGTCCAGCAGGAGCTCGTCCAAATCCAACGGCGCAGTGCCGTCGAGGAAAGTAAGGACTCGACCGCGGGGAGTGCGCGTCGTCGGGGCATCACTGCCGTCGCCTTCGCTAACGCCGTTCACGCCTTCCGGAGCCGCTGACGTTGAGGGGCTTTCAACGACAGCCCCGCCAGCCTCCCCTTCCTCCTTCCCACCCTGCTGCCACAAACGGCGACGACGCGTCAGCACATCAAGCAATTCCCTGCCGCCGATCCAATCCACAAGGCCGCCGCCGCTGCCACTGGCGGCGGCGGCGGAGGCACTCCCGGAACCGTCGCCGCTGCTCCGCTGCTGCCCCACGTCCTCCTCGCCCGACGGCAACCATGGCTGCAGCAGCTCTAATTGTGCGGGGTGGAGAGCCAGGCAAGGGGCCAGGGATGGCCTGCCCGCCCCTAGGCGCCTTAATGCCGCTGAGCGCTGCGCGATGGCTGACTGCAGACGCCGTATCCGTGCTACCCCTGGATCACCGAAGTGGGCGGCGCCGCCGCTGCCCTCGGCGCTACTGCTGCTGCTACTGCTGCTGCCGCCGCCGCTGCTTCTGCTACCAGTGGCTTCTTTTTCCTCGCCCAAAGGCTCAGGCGGATTAGACGGAGGCGGCTGCCGGCCCCGCTGAGCCGCCCTGAAGAGGGGACGCAGGGCGCTGCACAACTGGAGCCACTGGACCGGGCCCGCAGCCGCCAGGCCCTCATGGCGCCGCAGGTCCTCCACCACCCGCGCCGCGACCGGGTCCGCAACTCCACCGCGGGGTTGCGCCTCGTGCCAGGGGTCGCACCGGTTGTTGTCGCCGCCGTCCCGGGTGCCCGCCATCTGACGAAGCCGACAGTTGTGGCGGTCCAGTACCGCCTCCGGCACCGCCACCGCGACGATCCGCTTCAGGGCCGCGTGAACCGCCTCCAGGTTGTCGTACACCCCAGCGTCTAAGTACAGTGCACCGTATGCTGAGTCCAGGCGCTCCAGCGCTCTTGCGCCGGCGGCGCGCCAGGCGGGTTGCGGGTGAAAATCGGCGCAGTAGCGGGCCGGCCGGTGGCTGTTACGCAGTAGCAGCTCGTGGTCGTGAAGCAGCGCGAGAAGGGGTAAACCTGATTGGCGCATGGCGGGGCCGTAACCTTGGCCTCAAATGGGCCTTACCACTTGAGCATGAGAGGACAGAAGGACCTGTTACATTGAAGCAGCTCCATCTCTTTCCGGCAGACAGGAGGGGGCTATAGGCCCCCTAAGTCTTCTGCCACAAAAGCTTTTTTTTACCCAGAATGTTTCAAATTTCAGATGCACCCACCATCACTCATCATTGCTCACCCACCCACCTGGTCCGCAGGTCTGCATGCACTGCCGTAGCTTCGCGGCGTGGTGCAAAACTGAACCGACCCATGGGTCCAAATCGCTGGGGCGGTGCCAGCCGGGCATACCCTGCGGTCGCAGACAGCACATCGAACAGCACCAGTAGCAACAGTAGCAGCAGTATCATCAGTATCATCATCAGCAGCTGCCGGTCATTGCCGGATCTTGTTGCCCGGGGGCAGAAGGTCCCTTAGGGCATGAAGGGGTTGTACATGAAGGTAAATATCCCTTCGGATGTCCCCTCCGTCGGGGAAACGCAAAGGGGAACCTAAAGGGTACGTAAGGGTCCCAAAGGTACATCGGGCAGATCCCCGAGTAAAAACAGCCGCCTTGCCGAGCGCCTTGGCCCAAGGTGAAACGTAGTAATAGATGAAATCCTTACCAGCAGGCCCGGCCGGGATGAGGTGGTCGTTGGGGACATGCCCACGCCCGCGCCCTGCCCGCTGCTGCTGTTGTCTGATGAGCCCCCGCCCGGCTGGGGCGGGGCCCTGGGCGGTGGCTGTGACAATTCCGATAAAGGGAGGGAAACAACCCTAGATCTGTAATTGGAAAATGTGGCACTGTCGCCATGGCTGTTGCCGCGGCGTTCTCTATCGAAGCCGATGTCGACAGGCCCACCGCTGGACTGGACGCTCAACGACACATGAGCTACACCAGTAGCTGAAGCAAAGGCTCCTTGCCGCAAAGAAATGCAACTTAATTTCAACGTGTTGCGCGAGTGGGCTTTGCCGCCAAGCTGAGACCATGGGCCGAGCCAAACTGGAACATGCTTGCAGTGCCTCCGGCGCACAGCATGCACGCCACTAATTGCATTATGAACATCATGTAAATTGCAGTTAATCAGTGCGGACATGAGTGAAGGGAACAAGGTCGACTCTTCGCAATCGCCAGTCCCTGACTAAAGCCCTGCAAATGCAACTCGCAAATATGATTGCTGTACGCATAAAGACAGCGGCATTGGGCCAACAAATACCACACAAGCTACTGTGACATATATATCCTGTGTCGCCCCGTAGATGAACATAGACTGCAGCTTATTCCAGGTCTATGTCGTACGGTCTAGTTGACCCTGCCAACGACCCGGACCAGACGTTCTGACTCCGAAAATGCCAGCTTCCGTCTCACTGGACAGCTAGCTAGTTTCATCTTTTTCTATTTTTTGCTCATCGAGCTGATGTTAAGACACAGCCGGATAGGCTATGCTCGGGTGATTTGGTAGACCGTAAGCTTGGAGAGGCGGCATGGCGCTGACCGCCTCAGCTGCAGATCACCAAACGGGCCAGTTCGCAGCCGAAGCACAGAGTAACATCCTGTAGGGCAAGCAAAGACTCAAGAAGCGTTCGCCGCGACGGCTGTAGCAGTTGAGGTAGTGGTTAGTTACACCATCAGGGGGATGCGTCACGTAGATTGCGTAAGCCTCGAGAATGACTAACAGTACCTATTGCTTGTGAAGCATTTCAAGCAGAGCAGTTCCTGCCGTACCATCGTACAATTATCAGTCGCACCCATCCTCGGGAAATATCGTTTTCCCCGGTTACATCAGTCAGGACAGACGTTTAAATGCCAAAAGCTAATCTGCTAATCTGTACGATCGTGTAATCTTCTGCGCCTCCGTGTTGCGCAATATTTATTTTCACATCCAACACCGAGAGAGCTTTACGCGACGACGAGTGGTTGTGATACCCAGCAATGCGCAATACGACCATCACCACATTAAGCACCATCACCACCACCACCATCATCATCATCATCATCATCATCATCGTCATCATCAGGATTAGACGTTCACTAGGATTATGTGGTGTTTTTCATATTACGTAATAAATACGCATTTGTCCTACCTGCACAACGGCTGCAGTACATTGCGACGTAAAATTGAGCCGACATTTGCTCCCACCAACCGAAACCAATGGCTCGAGCCGCAACATGCCGTACATGCCGTACGTACGCGCCCTCGTGCCACCCTCCCGGGGCCCGCAACTGGGGGCATATTCAGCACACAGCCGCCAAACAGAAACCCACATTCCCAATTACTGGTGTTGTGGCCCCTCCCCAGGTACACATACAACACGACTACACTCATACAAGGTAAGTACAACCGCATAAAACCCACATGCAACTGTTGCTGCCCCACTGCACGAACACCAGCACGTTCTACCCCCTACCCCCCGGTTGTGTCACTCGCGGCCGCGGCCCACCGCACCCCCCTTCCCCCTCCCGGCACTCTCTCTCCACCACTCGCAACCCCCCCCCCCCGCGCCCCTCCGCCCGCACCCGCCCCTCCCCCCAGCCCACACAGTCGCGGCCGCCAACCGCAGCGTAAGCCGTCAGACATACAACCCCCCCCCAAACCCCCCATCCCCCCTCCGCCCTGCAGGAGCTGCACCTCATAACCCCCCTTCCCTCGCCTGGGGCCCTTCCCAACATAGATACGTATTATATTCTTCATGCACACATCCTCGCCACCACCACCGCCGATGGCGCCACAACCCGTCACTCTCTCCTCTCCCCTCAGCTAGCGGCGGCTTACACGGTCGCTGCCGGCGGCAGCTGCGGTGGCGGGATAGGTGTGAGCAGCGCGTACTCGTCCTGCACCCAGCTCTCCACGTCTCTCAGAAAGGACCCGAACGCCACGGCCTCCAGCACCGACCGCCTCTGGGTGGCAACAGCCATCGTAACGGTCTCCACCATGTCCAGCTCCACGGCCTTGGCCATACGCTCAATAGCCTCCTGCATGGAGCTGGCGTTGTCACCAACGACTTCCTGCGGGCGGGGAGGGCGGAGAGTGTGTGTGTGTGTGTGTCTGTGTGTTTATGAGTCTGTCATTAGGGGCTGAGCGAGGACACCTCGTTTGCAGCCCCTGATCTGCAACACAGCACCCGCCGCCTGCACCCGTACCTGCATCTGCGTGGTGAGCTTCTTAATGTCCCCCAGCAGCGCCGACGTCTGCCGCTCCACCAGCGCCGCACCCTCCACGCTGACCACCCTCGCCGTCTCCACCATGGTAGCCTGGTCGAACGACTCCACGTACCGCCGCAGGGCGCTCTTGCCCCGACCGCCGCCACCCTCGGCCCCGGGACCCCGCCGAGACCCGACAGGCCCCCGGCCCGAGGTCGATGCGGCGCCGCCGCTGCTTCGGTTGGCTGAGCCGTATGCCCCGGCAGTGGACGCTGCTGACGACGTGGTTGTGTCCTCGTCTACCGAGCTGCCGATGGAGGAGGGAGCTGGGGAGTCCAGATCCACGGTGGTGGCGTCCGCGAAGTCGGGATTGTCCGACGTCTCCACGTCGCCAGCCTGTCGGAGTGTGGGGAGGCGAAAGAGGAAGAGGGCAGGACGCGGACGTATAACCCGGCGGATTGGCTGCCACAGTACAGACTCCAGTTAGGGGTTGGCTCAGGGTGTTGAAGCTGCTGCCGGACATGCAAAACAGTACCGGTGCCACGCAGCCCTATGTAACAAATGTAACAACGCAGCTGCAGCAGCAGCAGCAGCAGCAGCAGCAGCAGCAGCAGCAGCATGCTACGGGCACCTGGGCCCCTCTCCCTTTCCCTCTCCCGCGCCCACGCGCCCATACACACACACAGCACACGTACACCTTCAGGCCCCCAACTCTTCCCCCTCCCGAATAGGCGGTATCGCCTACCCGACCCCAACCCACTACGCCGCTCCCACAGCCCCCGGTCCCGCAGTCCCACAGCGGTTATCCAGAGGTAAACCCGACCCGACCCGACCCGACCCACCCTGGCCCTCCCATCCGCGGCACCAAGAGAGTGCGTGTGTGCTTGTGTGTGTGTGTGTGTGTGTATTGGGGTCAATAGGGGGAGCCAACGGAGGTGTGGCGTTGTCACCCCGCCGCAAAATCCACTTGGACGCTCTCCACCCCGTTGGCCCGCCCCTCCCCTTCCCGGCCGCACCCACCCACCGCCGCAAAGAGTCTCTCCAGGCGAGCCACCGCGTCCTCCTTACTGAGCGGCAGTGTCCCCAGCGCCTTCTCCAGCCGGAAACGCTGATCCACTCGCCGCAGGAAGTAGCCGAACATCACGCTGGCGGCGTACACCTGGCGTGGGGAGGAGGGGGAGCCGCGGAGGGGGCCACCGCCGCGGAGGGCGGGTTGGGTGGATGGGACATCAGGAGCTGGGCACATCCGTATGTACAAAGGAAGACAGCGGAACCTTCGACGGCACTCGGAGAGCCCCGGGAGGGGGAGGGGGGATTGAAAGGTTAGGGGGCGGCGGAGGCCGGCGGTCCAGGTACGCCCTCCGCAACGCAACATGGGGGTACCCCACCCCACCAGGGCACGGTGGTAAGGGAGAGAGGGGGGGTTAGGGGCCGCCGCCAGCTGGCGGGGCCGAGTGTTACACGCCCGACATGGCTAACAAGCACGACCTGAGGGGCCGATCAAAAGGAAAATTCTAACGTGCGCTGAATCAGTCTGCACCTACGGGCACAGTGACCTCCCCTCCCCCTCCCCCTCCCCTCCCGAACGCGAGGGCCGTGGGGCAGCCACTCCGCCACCTGCCTGCGCCATTTGGAACTTGCTCATCTTCACGTAGGCGTTGCTGTACGCGGTGGCCGCAGTCCCCATGACCGAGAGCAGGTGCTCCCTGACCAGCTCCAGAGCCTCCTTGCTGTGGATGCCCTCAGTCAGGGCCTTGAGGTTGGTGGACGGGGGGTCCACGAACCCTGCGGGAAGATAGTGGTTCGGAAAGGTTGAGCTGTGGTGGGGGCGACGCCGGTCATACGAAGCAGAACGCAGAGGATCACCTACCCGAATGCGGTTGATGGGAACAACCGTTAATCGAGTGAAGCAGAAACCCCCGGACAGCGCGGACTCACGCACGCATCAGCTTGCCCGCTTATTTTCGTCACCTCCCTCTTCGTCATTGCCATCACTTTCCTCTTCAGCACGCTCCCTCTTCTCGCCCGCCCACCCACACCTCCTCAGGGCGGCGCCTACGCACCCCATCCCATCCCACGCCACACCATCCCACTCGCCCCCAACCCACCGACATCTCTCCCAGGTGGTCGAGGGCCTTTTGGCCCCTGCCTGGCAGATCCCCTCCTCACCCACACCTCCCTCCCTCGTTGCGCCCTCCGTAGCCCCTCGCGACCCTCCTGCCCCCCTACCCGTCCCGCCCTCCTGCCCCCCTACCCGTCCCGCCCTCCTGCCCGCCCCCCAGCTACCCACCATCCATACGCGGCAGCATGTCCACCCCCAGCAACAGGAACTTCTCCAATATGGACACGTACATCAGGTCCTCCAAGGTCGCCCGGACCTCAACTTCGCGAACCTCCTCCATGCGCCTGGGGGTAAAGCACGGCGAGCAGCAGCAGTAGCGGCAGTAGCAGCGGCAAGGGGAAGGAGGGGGAGTGTAGCGGGTGGAGGCGATGAGACGATAACACCGAGACAACGAACTGCGTGTTGATTGTGTTGTGTACAGTGCCGTCGCTCTGAACTGTGGTGGTTTGCGGTACCGCACGACCAGAGCCCGCCCACTGCCGCCATCATAGCTCATGACGCGCCAGCTCGGGGGCCCCGGGGGGAGGCGCGGAACCACCCTAGGCGCGGGGTGCAGACCGCCGGTCAATTGCCGCGGAGTCCCCAGCACGGGAAGGAAGAGGGAAAAGCCCCCCAGGCTGTCCACAAAAAATTTCCATAGCGGACGGCTAGCCAGAAGGCGGCCACCATACGGCTCTACTGTGGGGCCCAGGTGAGCACAGGAACACCTGCGGCCCCGCTACGGTGACTGCCTGTCCTGCTGCCGACTTGTAAGTGGTACGTGTGGTGGGATACGGCTAAAAAGGGGCGGGCATGGTCCGGGGGTGCCTTGAGAGGCAGATGATGGAGGGGGCCCTTCCACCGGGCGTCGGTCCCAGTACGGTAGGAGCCCATAACTATGCCAGCCACAACAGCGGCCAGGCAGCGGACCCTCCCGTGCGGCGTCCACCTCCCCACCACGAGGGACGAGTGCCTGGAGGGATGCTGGCCCATGGAGAAGCCGTCAGGGTACATTCCCCCCATGCGCTGCTGGTTTGACAGCCCCACCCGCACCCTGCGGCTCAGTGGAACCCCCACCCTCGCCCTGATAGTTTATCTGCCTCTGATGCGGCCACTCGAGTACATGATGTCGCTGTAGAGCCTACTAGGTACGCCTTTCCTAACCCAGCCCCTGGCCCACTGACACACACACACACACACACACACACACACACACAAAGATACACACAGACATACACACACCTGTAAAGCGCTAGCTCTGTCCCATCCGAACTGGCGAGCAGCTGCTCCTCTTTCTCCTGCCGGCGCAGCTTCTCCTCGCGCAGTTTGGTCAGTTGCGTATCTACGGCGGTCTTGAAGAGGTGGGGCTCCTGCGGGCGGCGAGTAGCAGGTGGACTGGACGGGTGGGAGGAGACAGAGACCGGCAACCCGGGAGGGGGCGGGGTGCCGGCGAGGGAGCGCTATCGGCTATCGGGAGCCGCGAATGGCGAATGATACGATACAGCGGCGGCAGCGCAGGATAATCTCTTCGTGAACGAGGGCCCGAACCGTAATAACCCGTTCGGGGAAGAGCGGGGTGATAGGAAGTTGGAGATCATTCAGATACCCGCAATCGTCCTGATGTTTACAGTTCTTTTAATGCCCGCAACCTCATGGCTCTTTGCCAGAGAAGAGCCGACAGCCCCTGGCGCTGATGAAGGCCGGCTACCGCTACCTGCGAGCCTGATACACACAGCATACGGCATAGTGCTGTCGCTCTCTCAGAGAACGGGAATCGCACCACGGATATTGGGCATAAGGGTAGCCCCTTACACATTCCATGCCCGATGGGCCCCAGCTGCCCGTGGCCGGAAACTTCGCGTCCTAGACACGCTGTGCACTGGGCCGGCAACCATCCGCAGCACTGGGTCGTACTCACCATCCGCAAGTAATACTGGAGCATTTCACCATATGGCGTTTTCGGCTGTGCTGGCGCCTGCGTGAGCTCGCCAGGACATTTGTGCAAGGAGTTGGACAGACGCACAGACGAACAGAGAGGTCTGCAAAGATAGAATCCTACCAGTCCAAACTCAGAGGATTCCGCCCGCACTTTGATCCTCCGTAGAAAGGTAGGCCGGACTTTCGGCGCCGGCCCCGTTAGGTGCCAACGACGACCAGCACCAGCAGCATGGTACCGTGTAGAAGGTAGCATTATTTAGTAAGGTGATATTTTACTGTCTACTATGGTGTTATCTGCCAATAAGAAATGCACGTGAACAGTTGGTAGAGGCGAAGGAGAAAGATTGGCTAGCAGTCAGCTTGTATAAGATGAGGAATTAGAAACCCTCTTGGTTAAGGTAATATCTGCCTAACTGCTGTGACCTCACATCACCTTCTGGAAGGTCCAACTGTAATGTAGTACATTGTTCTTGTGAGTGGCTCAGCGTGCAGATTGCGATTAACGCAGTCAAGTAAGCCTTGCATGGGGTTCATTTAATGTATCAATGTTTTTGTCTATATCTGTCAGCGAAAAGTATTGAAATCCGCGTCCTATTTCCGATACCGGGACTCACCGAGCAACAGAAAGTAGCAAAGTAACCATGGCGTCCGTGAGCAAAAGGCCAAAGTTAGGCAAGTTGTCGCAAAATAAGTTACAGGCTTTTGCAGATGAATCGAGCGAAGAAGAGGCAGACACGATAGCTATGGCAGCCGATTTGAAGGTTAGAGCACAGAAGCTTCGCACCGATGGTCTCACGCCTTAGTTCTGTGGCAAAGTGACCGACACTCATGTACCATTGAATGGTGACAACAGTAATAGGACCCGGGAGGGGTCCCGCGCTTTGCTGTGTTTAACAAGTGCGTGGCGTAGGGGTGGGAGGAAGTTTATGGGAATAGAACACACTGCCCGTATTTTGACGGGTTCCACTTGAAGGCCTGCCCCCTCCCTCAGTGTATAGTTTATACCTCTCGTAGGCAACAGGTCAGTAGTCATGCACCCGGAATCACCCATGGTAGGCTCACCGCTGCACCGGCAAAGCATCTCCCAACCCCCGATGGGCGCCTATCCTCGTTTGACCACCCTGCACGCCCCTGGCCCTCGTCAGGAGCGCGGCCAGGAGCACGCGGCTGCCGGTCGCTTCACTGAGGCGAGGGCCCTGCTGGGACAGGCCGTGAGGTTGGCTCCCGGGCGAGCAGACCTCCACGAGCTGCATGCGCAGGTGGGGCCAGGGTCGCTACCGGGGCAGTGCAATGGCGGCCCCGGGGACGGGGGAGTTACCGCATGCTCACTGGGGCTTACGCACTCCTCAGCAGTTTCGGACCTCTTGGAGACTGGCGGCAGTTCACTTCCCACTTCCTCGCACATGTTTCCCCCCTAGGTGTTGTTGGAGCTAGGGTACACCTGGGAGGCGCTGCGGGCGGCCTCAAGAGCTGTGGAGCTGCAGCCGCAGTGGGCGGAGGCGCACGTGGCACTGGCCAGGGCTCAACGCAATTTCGGGGAGGTGAGGTATGCGGGGCTGGCCGCGTGCGGTGCGTTGCACGGTGTTGGGCGAGTTACCACGTGTACCCCACCCTACCCCACCCTACCCCACCCTACCCCACCCTACCCCACCCTACCCCACCCTACCATTCCCTACCATACCCTACCCCACCCTACCCCACCCCACCCCACCCCACCCCACCCCACCCCACCCCACCCCACCCCACCCCACCCCACCCCACCCCACCGCGCCGCTCCGGACACGTCAGTGCAGTGTCGCTCGGTGCGCTCCCACAGCTCTGGGATGGACGTCTTGTTGTTTATTGCGAGCCCCGTGGATGGTGCCATACCGGCCGAGTGACCCAACATGTTGGAAAGAAGTGCGCGTGATGCACTAAGTTTCCAAGTGCCGCCGGTGATGGCCAATACTACCCCCCGGGGCCTTATGTCGCATGTGTCTGGGTCCCATCCTCCTCGCAGCCGGCACTGGCGGAAGCCTCGTACGAGCGTTCCCTGGAGTACCAGGTGCGCTGCGGAGGCGCTGCGGGTCCCTAGACTGAGGGCGGGGGCCAAGGCGATCCCTACATGGGCCACGTGGCCATGGCTGGCTGCGCCATACAAATCGGCAGGAGGGGGACATAGGGTGGTGGTGGCTGGTGGAGAAGTAGCCCATGCGCTGTTTGTTAGTTTGCAATGCCTGGAACGTATCGGGGTCACCCTCTTGTGCCAAAGGTTCTGCATCCGTACGGCTTGCGGAGCCTGGTGCAGTGAGTGAATGGGTAGGGCTTGGGCGGCCTGCATGCCTATCGCCTTGCACGTGCGTGGTCCTAGCCTTCCCTGGCGTCGGCGTCATGAATACCTCCGATACCTGGGGGGTCATGCAGAATGAGTAGCCATGCAATCAACCGCCAAGCCGAGCAACGGGATATGTCCTGTCCCTATGCCGCCCACTGCAATCCCTGACATCCAGGCTGAGGATGTGGACCTCGTGAAGGCGGAGCTGCAAGAGACTCGGTTGCTGGCAGCCAAGCAACTCTCCCTGGGCGCAAATGTACGGGCTGTTGTAGAAGATAAGGGCAACAAGGACGGTGGCACCCGGGATGGCGACAAGGTGTCGTGATTCATTTCATGGGTGCATCTATCCTGCGGACAATCCATGTAAAGCCAGTTTCGATAGCAGCAGCGTAAAGCGGGTGGCAGGAGGCGGTCCGCTGGACCAGCCCTATTCAGTTTGTCACCTAAGATGATCGTTCAGTTGCTAGATATCTTCCAGCGTTGCGTCATGCGCCGCTAAGGTGGGGATAAGGGTAGCTACGAATGCAAGAAAGGATGTTACCGTCTTGGGATGGTAGGGTGAGCGGTGACGTGATTTAAAGTGCACCAGGGACCTGGTAGCAAGGTGCATCGCAACAGCAGTAAAGTATCAAGTCGTCTGACACACTTGCAAGGAGCAGGACGGCAGAAGTAAAGTCACAGGCTGTCTGAGAAGACAGCTATGTGCATACATGCGTAGATCTGTTGTCTTTATCGCGGGAGCGAGGTAGGGAATCGAACTCTGGGGAACTACAGCAGGGCTACAGCCAAGGCGCCCTTCCTAGTGCGGTCATGTTTGTTGTGTTTGGCCGCGGGGGAACCACGTGCAGGATGAGCAATACAAAAGCAGTATGTGAAGAAGTCAGCGGCTGGCGAGCTTCGGTTTCCTTGCAGATTAGATCAAGGAACGTGCTTCAATGCTTCAGGAGCTGAACGAATGCTGGAATAGCTGGGCCCGTAAGTGGATAGTACGGCTCCTTGCAGATCGGTAACAGCTCTGTTCCTCTTGGCCTAAGACAGTAGATATTGCAAGTAGAGTCAGCTTCATCATCCCAGTTGTTAAGGAGCGGTCCCACCCCTTTCAATTGGTATCGAGACGTGTCCAAAAGGTCATCCGCTCGGCTGGCCGAAGCGCAGCGGGATTTCGACGGACGGTCGAGCAGGCGGAGCGGGGCGGTCCGGCTCGCAACGAAGGTGCTCATGGCGAGGTTAATCACGGCCTGCAGCTTGACGCTGGCGCCGTCGTGCTGAAGCCGCGCGTAGACTCATCTTTTGCTCCGCGAAGGGTCTACGAGCGGACCTTACCTATCCACTTACGAGCTCAGCTAGCTCCGAACTCGCGACAATCATACGACAAAGTTCCAAAAGTTCGTCAACCGATTCCAAGCTATTACATATTCCTTGCGACAAAAGCAGAATAGAAGCGCACGAAATATGTTGACGTGCGGGCCAATGCTCAGGAGCTCGGGCGTATGGGAACAGTCGAGACTGTTGTGCTTGTTTTTATTCAGCCGGTAGTAGTAGTCCTGGATCGACCAAGGGGGCTGGATTTATCATGGACAGGCGCAAACGCCCGGCGCTATTGTCAGGGTGTGAGACACACCTATGTGTTCAGTGTATGCAAACTTGGAGGGAAATCAGGCCATGGAACCCTTGTTAATAACATTCGTGGGCTTAGTTACAAGTGCGGGGGCATCCGTAAAAGCCGGGGGTTGTCATGATTGATTCGAGCATGAAACCCTAAATAAGATGCCAGCATGCGACAGCATTTACTAATAGGTCATGATGCACACGCATGTCGGATTGGGTGAATGACTCACTACTGCGAACACCCCAGAAAGCACCCACGCAATAGGCAAGCACCTTAACCTACCTAGGCACAAGCCATCCAGCTCACCACGGGGGGGGGCAGATGGCATGCTAGGCAGGCGCTTGTGTAGGCCGAGGGCGGGTTGGAAAAAGCCCCGCAATACATGAGACGAGTATACAGAGGCCGTCAGAGCCTTCACAGCCGAAGCGGTAGAAGCTCGAACCGAGTGCAACGGGTCGGGCAGGTCGTTCTGAGGACGCGGCAGCGGCCGAGCAGGCGGAAATTTGGGAGGCCGTAATGACGGCAAGCAGGTCATCCAGAGGAAGTCAACACAGCTGGGCGTCCAAAATAAGCAGCAGCAGCCAAGCATGCGGCAGCACACTTGATGGCTGCAGTCAGGTCGTTCAGCTTTGGGAGCAAATATGGCGTGGGATGGAATGGCTGGAGGCTGGTCGTTCAGGGGAAGCCCTCACGGCTGAGCGGGAGCAAACTTGCGTGCAACGGCTGCCGCACAGTTCGTTCGGAGGAAGCCTTTGCAGCTTTGTGGTGAAAAAAACAGATGGACGTTCATAGCTGCGAGCAGGTCGTATCATGGAAGGCTGTCACCGCTGCGCGGCAGCAAGCACATCGCGGCATGCGACGGCTATGAGCATATCAGTCGTTCGGGGAACATCATCACAGCTGAATGGCAGCAAACTCGGGAGGCCGTCCACTGCTGCGGGCGAACAGGTCGCCCAGAGAACCTAAGACAGCGTTCGCTCCCTGCCCCTCCTTTCGTCCTTACACCCTATTTCAGTGTCCGGATGTATGGTATGCCCTTTCTTTTGTGTGTAGGCCTGGGAATTTGCGGACTTTTGGTACTTGCGAATGCACGGCTCCCTGCATTTTGCTAGGGGTACGTGCCCTGGGGTAGGTTGGTTTAACGTCACCCGCTAGCAGGTACGGCTAGTGGTGTGGGTTGGTTCCCTGCCCCCCTACCTTGTAATGGTTGTATCAGACATCGTAGCTGGGTGGCATGCAACACTTGTTGGCAGATCATTCGGGGTGACAGATCATTCTGGGTGGCATGCAACACTTGTTGGCAGATCATTCTGGGTGACAGTAAGCTCGGATGACTATCTCGGTGCATTCAGCTGCAAGTCGTTTGGCGGAAGCCGGCTTGAGCGGGAGCATGCATGAGGTCTTTCCAAATCGCCAGAAATCCAATATATACACCGCGTCCATTGAAGATGGCCGGCAGCTTCGTAGTGATCGGTAGGCCCTTTCCTATCTGGCTTTTCACCCCTGCCACCCGCGAAAACGCATTAAGGCATCTCCTTATGCATCTTAAGTGCTTAGCGTGCATTTTACGCGTTGGATGTTCAAGCTTTCGGCTTTCATATCCGTTCATCCCACGTGCCCGTTTCCTCCCTCTTTTCACCATATGACCGATGTGACTGGCCAGTTCTTTATCTCGTACGTATCGATAAGCGCTGGTATGAACCGTACGCTAACACCTAGATTTTCCTTTCTTGCCCCAGCAATCACGAGATAAGGAACAGCGAGAACCACAGTGGCATACGTGCCCAACTCGTGTGGATTGTGGGGTTCCCCCTGTTCCCCACTCTGCCCTTATCCGCCATTTTATAAATCGAGTGTATTTCAGATTACGTTGCAAGCACCGGCACTAGATTGACCCAACGGACATTGGAAAGCTAGCCTGTATCCAGCATTACAGCCGCAACCTGTGGCCTCATGTAATCGCCATTACATGACTGTCACGGTCATGTACGATAGCGATACATCGCATTTGTCACTGTATGAAATAAACATTCAACCTCGTCAAGCGATTACCCGTTAGTCAACGTGAAATCAAAGATAGAGTTCATCAGTAGTCCCTGCGAAGCATTGCAGATCTCCTCCCTCTCATCCTTTCATGCTCCATGCCTCTCATCCATCACTCTCTTTCGCGTCACACACCGTAACCCTCTTAACATCCGTACTGAACATACGAATACAACAACAAAGGATAGATGCAACCGTACGGCGCCTCCCGCTGTACATGTTTCACCCTCCGTTTCGGATGTGCGACCCTTAACCAAAGCACACAAAACTCCCTCCGACGCCAAACAAAATCGAAATAGTCAAAATAACGGAGAGCAGGCGCGTCAGATGTGCGCCCCCGCATGCTCTGCTACGATGCGCCCGACCTTAGCGTCAACCAAGGAACCATATGACCGAGCTAATCCGTGTTATACACCGCATCGCAACAGGAAGCAATGACGCCGATTGTGCAAACGCCAAACTCTTCCTTTGGAACGTCACACGTGCTATGTCGACGTGTGCATCTTAGTGCGCACAACGGCGTGCCTCAAATCCTCTCTGCGCGACTCGCCTCTACCTCCGCTCTGCTGCTAAAATACCGAACCAACGCATTCTTCAACGCCAACCACCCGCGCTAAGCTGAGCTGCTGGACGTACTTCGGTCGCTATATAAAAACTGAGACGAGAATCACATGATTAGCCGACAATTCTGCGCTGCGCTGAAGCACGTACACCATTAGGAACTCCGGGTGTGACCACGTCGGGGCCTTCATTCCGTGTCTTCACCAACTGTACGGCTCCGCGAGTGCAGTTTTGCCGTTGCCGTCAGTATAGGCGGCAGCTAACGCAAGGTTACTTTCGCATAGACCACGCGCAAATTTAATAAACCAGCGCGGTCTTGTTCTCTGCAAAGTCGTACGAGCCGGACTCCTTGGGGGTCATGATGAAGATCTGGAAGACCTCCGCCACCATGCGCTCCAGAAGGGGCAGACGCAGGAGCACCTTCACAGCATCCGGCACGTTCATCTTGCCAATGTTCACCACCTGGGTATTGTACTTAACCAGCAGGTCCATCTTCTTGAAGAATTCGGGGTTCTCCACATCTGGCACTGCCGGGAAGATACGCTCCGTCGACTTGTTCGTCTCAATGATCACTGCATCACACCGACAGGATGCCATCCCATCGCCGTCAGGGATTCCGGACTCTCGTCAGTGGAAGAAAACAGCATGTTGATGCTGGAAGCGAAAATAAGGATAGTCCACGTCATGCGTGAGACGGCCGAAGCATTTGGGACACTGTCGGGACAGGCGTGAAGACATCTGACTACAGGCTTGCAGCGTGCAGCACACAGAACTCCCGCATATTACCTGTACTATAAGCACGATGTGTACTCACCGTGCTGGTTGAAGACAGTGGTGTTAAGGCCCAGAGAGCTGTAGAACGCGTCGCGCTGGTGATCGTTCAGGTACATGGTGATGTACACAGACAGGCAGAAGAACCGCGACCAGAGCTTCGCAACCCAGTCGTCAATCATCTGAGGCTGCGACTTCAAGACAGCGGTGAAGAAGTCACCTGATGCAGCGGTAGAGGGGAAAGGGTAAGAAAAGGCAACAGTGCGTTCTACGCGGCAACTCAGTAATCACGGAGCTCCAAACAATGTTGTGGAACTTAATAAGGACTGGCAATCAAAGCTCAATGCAAGGGAAGACACGTAGAGAAAACACATGCCGTACTGCCTTACCGTGGCGGTTCTCATCCTGGCACCAGTTCTCGAAGTACTCAAACAGAGGGTACAGCTGGTTGTCAGGATTGCGCTGCAGGTGACGGTAAATCGAAATGTACCGCCAGTAACCGATCTTCTCCGAGAGGTAGGTTGCGTAGATGATGAACTTAGGCTTGAAGAAGGTGTACTTGCGGTTCTTCGTCAAGAAGCCCAGGTCCAGAGCAAGGTTGAAGTCTGACATTGCTTTGTTGAGGAAACCAGCGTGGCGAGCTTCGTCGCGCGACATAAGCGTAAAGATCTCCGCCACAACCGGGTTCGTCGACTTCAGACGGCGACCCAGCTCCTTGTATAGCAGGAAGCCAGAGAACTCGGCAGTGCAGGAACGCTCGAGGAACTCGATAAAAATTTTACGCGTCGGGCCAGTGATCTTCTCAGCGGCCGCCTTGAAGGTCTGCAAGTGTATCGGCGAGAGAACCGTGTACTCGCTAAGACCGAGCTGCATAATGGGACCAGACTTGCCGCGCGAATAGTATTACCAAGCATTCCAAGATTGCAGAAAACAGCTCACCTCGTTGCGCACGAAATGGCGCTGGTTGTAATCCTGCTTGAACTCAGCCAGCATAGCCTCAAACTCAGCCATGTCCAGATTCTTGTTAATTTCCAGGTTGAAAAGGCGCTCCATCTCATCGAAATCCGTAGTGTAGAAGCGCGGAGTGAGCAGCGTTTCGTCAGCGGCCACCTTAATGCCATCGCGCATCGTCTTGAAGCCAAGATTCTCCTCGGTCGCAGCGGTTGCAGCAACACGAACAGAGCTGCGAGTTGGGCGAACAGCAGAGACCGGAGTAGAGCGCACCGGTATCTGCTTGCCGAAGGCACCAGTAACACGCTTGTTCAACATAGTGGCCATTTTTCAAGATTGATGTCACCGCAGGTGCGCAAGATCCTACAGTGTAACACCTTGCACAGATGTGGCCTTGTGAACACTTTGCAAATTGCACTTTGTGGCTCCAACAGCGGACGCGTTAGAAAGTCGTACTGATTGCGTACGGCTGCAAGATTTTTAACAAAGCATACAATGCATATCTTTTCGCGTTCACTGTCTGTATTTGTAAAATACAAGGTTCAAACGCAAAATATTTTCTGCCTATTACAAGTGAAATCCTGCATAGCTACAACGTAATTCTTAATGCAAAAATTGCAAGCGTGACTGCGGACCTGCGTTCCTTCCATAATCTTACAATCCGAGACGTCTTGCAAATTTTGTGCAAATTATCGGGCCGTAAAAGTTAATTACCCGACTTTATAGTTCGCGATTAGCGCATGTTGGATGCGAGAACGCGACAGGCAGCCAAGAGCTGCAGTTCCTATTTCGAAGGATCGACTCAGCTCGCCGGATCCTCAAACTTAAGTCGTTGTCTACCTAGATGCTCCTACGCTGCGTAAACAGCAAATATAAACACGCAACGGACATCAGTCCATGTCCAGAAATGCCGCTTTGCGGCACACATGGATATAGAAACAGGTATCAAACAAATCAACATTTCCAATTGTTGACCCAGCGATGCAGCTCTAAATCTATGTACGACATGCGCCCGATGAGCAACCTGCCTACCCTTCTCCTCCTCAGCGAGAAAAAGGTGTCTGGCCTTTAAAATCGCTCCTCAGCTCGGAAGTTAGTGCACCTATAAGAAAACGTTTTATGCTGAATAGCGGGGGCCCGTCCGTACCTGGCTATTGTACATGCATACATCCCCTTGTATCTCAGACATCACAGGGAAAAGTAGCGGATCCCCATCCAATGCAGCTGGGGCGTTCTTATCGCATCTGAATCCATCTGTGCTCCTCTTAACAACTTAACAAACTGCACAACACCCAGTCCTAGCACCCCCTTGCTGGCTTGCTTTGGCTTCCCTTCCACGCAATCTTATCTTTTAACGCCATGAATAGGGGAGCAAAAATCCTAGACACCGCTCTAGAGGTCTCCAGCCACAGATCAGAATCCCCATCGCCAACTCCTTCCGGGTTGCATACCGCCTGCCTGCTAGTTCACGCCTTCCAGCTTTCCCCCGTGCACAGCAGCGCCTTTCAAAAATTGACCCATTCAGCCCCATTCAGCATTGCTGGAAAGGCGAGACACCTCGCAACCGTGTCACACCGCCACGCCACACTGCACTACACCAACTCCCATTCCTCCAGCTGTTGCTGCTGGCCCCCATGCTGTGCCCCACCGACTTCAGGCTCCCCGAAATCGTCCTCCAGCCCCACGCCAGCCTGAGCTGTGCCCGACGTCAGAGTCATTAACGGCGCAAGGCTGTGCTCCTTTGCCAGTGCGTCCAGCCGGGTGAATAGGTCCTCCAGGTCAGCTGTCGGAATGTGGAAAGGCGATGCAAAGTTGCGCTGAAGGGTTGCAATGAGAAAACCATGGAGAGCCTCGCTTGCATAAGAACCGAAATGCTCGACATTGCTCACATCTCATGCCCTGTATGTATACCTGCGCGACTCTCAAAAATGCGCACACTTGTCGTGTACCAACCTTGGATAGTGCAAGATTAGCGGTCTAATTGCGTTCAAGATCTTTGCCATTTGTACGAGGTGTGCGCCGCGTACGCAAGTGCCCTGCCCCGCGTACGCAAGCCCTTCATCCTCCTCCCTGTTGGAAGAGCCTACCCCACAGCCCATCCCCACGCACCTGCTCCCATGCACAGAAACCCAATCGCCATAGACGGGTCCAGAGCCGTGGCAGGCATCAAGCGCACTGTATCGCAAAAGTAGGTCGCCAGAGAGCTGGCAGGCAATACAACCGCGGAGCCACCGTTCCCGGCTTCTTTAGTGTGGCCAGCATCCCCGGCTATCCCCCACCGGACCGTAGGTTGCGCCTCGTGAGGATCCAGGAACAAAAACGAGCTGTCCTGCACGCCACAAAGGTATAGCGACGCGCTAGGCCGCCCGCCCACGATGCCCACGCTTTGCGGCCAGGTGAGAATCCGTTGCAGCTGCGGTAGGTACACCGGGTTGATCTGCGGGGCAGCCGCGGCCAACAGAAATAAGATGATCACAGATTTACATTCATCAGCTGACGTGCCGACCTTTAGGTACCTGGAGATCGCTGTTCCAGTCGTTTGCGCATATTCGGTCATTGTGCGTGTAGTCACCAAGGTGACGACCCAGAGGGGTGAAGGAATGGTGAAGCCAGAAGTCATATAGAAATTACCAGGCCCCATGAGCAAGAAGTAGGCCAAATGATTTGTGAATCTGGCCAAAAGCTGCTCAAAGGGAACGAGCTTCCTACCTGGCCAACGCCGTACCCCTATTACTGGGTTTCCATTTTCAACCGCCATTCCAAGGGACGCTTTAACTTCCGGCCCTGCTGGCCGGCATGTCACGATGGCCATACGCACCTACCTTATCCATCCCAAGCGTGAGCGGTATTAGCAGCAGCAGTGGCGCAGATGCAGCTGGTCGGCCAGAGGGTCCCGCGGCTACGTCTCCTCCGCAGAGGCCATGCTGGTAGCCCTGAGCACCTGCGCCTCGACACCCCGCGGCCCCGAAGGCGGAGTCCCTTGCGCGGTTGCCCCCGCTCGTCCGTGGCGCTTCTCTAGATCCACACGCAGAACCAGATCTCCGCGCTGGAGATATGTCAGGCCCATCACAGCCCGTGCTACCCTCTGCACTTCCCTTCTTCAGCTCCGTGACGGCGTTCACTGGCAACCCATGGGTCACTTTCGCAACCCGTTGCCCAGGTGCCATTTCACCCGAAAGCTCCTCAGGAACCTGCTGTCTTGACCGTGAATCTCTGTCTGTGGACGTGTCCGTCCCCGAGCTTCCGGTCTGAGACGAATGGTTGCAGCTTCGCCGGTCATAGTCATCCCCGTCCAGCACACCTGCCGCTGGCAGCGAAACCCCTCCTGTATCTGGCGCGGGCCCCAGTTGCTGCGCAATTCCATCCCTCAGCTGAGAGCAGCACGGTGATGGCAGCGGCGACGCGTCTCCGCTTTGCCCAACTGAAGGAACATTGCCCATGCACCGCCCATAGCTGGAGGGCAGCTCCTGCCCTGTTGTGGGGACGCTGGTCGCCGCTGTCGCCATTCGTACCCGAATGGCCGTGGTATTTAGCTCGGGCGCACCACCCCCAGAACCACAGGCGACATGCAAAAACAGGCCCATGGGTCGTTCTCTGTCCACGGAGGAAAAGAGGGCTTCCAGGCTTTTGCAAAGCATCCACGGGCCCACCCAGCGTCCCGGCACGATGCTGCGGGTGGCCAGACCGGCAGCAGGGATCTGACGTCAGCGAGAATGGGGTAGTTCGCGTTTCCCAGGGTTAGCACACCGGAGCGCCGCACAACACGTACGAGCTTAGCTCAATGACACCTACCCGGCTGATACTCCTGCATCGCAGATGCGGTGAATGGAGAGTAGTGCGTCTGGGTGGTCGACAAAAAGCGTGACCACGGGCTGCACCTCTTCCAACGTACTTAGTTGTCTGCTCCAGCCGCGCCCCAAAGCAATACGAGCTAAAGCCTGGAGAGCCGCATTAATGCCAAGGCCCAGTTACGGGCTTGACTTCAGAGTACACTACAGTTGCGGAGGCAATACATACCTCTGCAAGAAGCATTTGGCCACTACGAATTGTGCAACCCCACCCAATGTCGCTTGTCAACATGGACGGGCCTGCAGCGACGAGGCGGCTTTAGCAACAGTCGTCCCACCATGAACCGAAACCCTACTTTTTTTCCCTTACCAAGGGACGGGAAGTCTTTGCGATAGGTCAGCCATAAGCGTGACCTGAAGTCCGAAAGCATGGCCTCCAAGGACTGCAAGAAAACAAAACCTGGAAAATTTACCTTCACCGGTTAGGAAATTGTCACGGACAAAACACACCTCTGTATCCAAAAGCTTGATTTCAGGAGACCCGCCATTAGCAGCTCCATAATACTCGCCAAGAAGCCACACTGGATGCTGGGATAAGCTCGTTGTGCCCTGGCATGGCGAGACACGTCTGCGTTAATTTGCAACCTGCTTACATCTTTGTCTTCAATTGCTGCGCCTTACATGCATAATGTCGGCAAGCTTCCGCAGGCTGAGGGCCTGGCTCATGCTGAAAGCAAGCTGAGTGATTCGCAGGTAGAACGATTGGCCAGCGGTCAACGTTGTTGCCCCCGCCCCGCAGCTCATGGCGACAAGCCGCAATTTGATGGGAGTTACACAGAAGCAGCTACGAGGAGAACATTGTTTACTACTGCAACGTACAGAAGAGAATTTGGACCACTTCCGCAAAATTTCTCCTTTTATTTTATATGAGCCTTTTACAACTCAGGCTGCATAGCACCATAGCAGTGAAATGCGTGGGCAAAGTAATGAGCTTCGTATGGGTACGGCATCTGCTCGTTTCAATTATCCCGCACCATCAATGAGGCGACACATCAAAATAAATTAGGGAATTTACAACTATGCTTTTTAGGACATTAATATAAAGGAAGAGCTGCTCTGACAAGGTTGAACTTAATTATGTACCCCTGCGGCCGCTAGACGGCATGTCTTTGCGGCCGCGCTTGTGCAGGATTGAGCATATAGTAACTTTCTAGAACTATAACGTACCCATGGACGACTGGGGAGGTAGTGGGAGAGGGAACTACCGTCCTCGCGGTTCCCGCGGTTTCGGCGGAAGTGGAGGACGCCATAACGATAATTACTATGGAGGACGAGGTGGCCGGAGTGGGAGCGGGTATTACGATGGTGGTGGGCCAGGCGGGTACTACGATGGCCCGCAAGGTGGCCGCGGAGGTCGAGGAGGCGGTCGTGGGGCCTACATAGATAGCTACCAAGGAGGTGGGTATCAGGGTGGAGGTGGCTATGATGGTGGTGGTTATCAAGGCGGGAACTATCGCGGTGGAGAAGGGCGCTTCCATGATGGTGGATCTCGTCGCGGCTTCCGTGGCGGTCGATCCTGGAACCATTCAGGTACGCACTGCCTGAATACAACGTCATGGAACAATAATCGTTCCCGCTTGCACCGTCGTGGCTGAGCACTCGGCGGGGTTGGTTGCAGGGCAAAAGCGGCAGCAGCAGCAGCAGTACAACGCCAACCCGCCACCCAACCTCACGTTGTTAAAGACTATCCAAGCGCATAGTGGCCCAATCACCTGCATGTCTTATGACCAAGCAACGAACGCGGTGAGTCCGACAATATGATTTGGTTAGCAACTCGCTACTCACAGCACAGGCGTGGCTTGCTCATTCCGCACCGCTTCCCTTGCTTGTTGCAGCTATTCACCGGGGCCAAAGACGGCAAAGTCAAGCAGTGGGACTGCAACAGCGGCCAGGTAGGGCACTTCTCTCGGTGTGCAAGTCGCCTGGATGTGGGGCGTACGGCACGTACAGTGCGGTCTATGGTGGTCGTCGTTTCTTGAGGCGGGGGTTGAACCGAATGGCCACCCCCGTCCTGATCCCTCAAAAGGGGACTCAGCCCTTAAGGGCTCAGCCTAGAACTGTGACAGACTGTGTCACAAATCACCCGGTTGTGAACAAGGATGACAAGTTGCTTCTTATGCGTTGCTTTCTATGCCTGTTCGCTTAGCGTCATATCACCCTTTCTTTTCCCCTTACAGCCCTCTGTCTCGTTTCCCCTCCGCTGTAGGTAGTCCACGAGGAGACCCTCGGCGGGCAGGTCGACTCCATCTTGTTCATCCAGGGCTTCCTGTTTGTTGCGTACGTTAAGGGGCCAGATCCGCGGAACCAGGACGGCATCATAAACTTCTACAACACCGCCGCTGGGAAAACGCAGATGATTCCGGGGCACAGGGTGAGACGAAAGCCTAGCGGTGTAGGCTGGGCGCCGGGTGTTGTAACCGTCCAAGTGGACGCGGTAGAAAGCCCCAAACGAGGGTCAGGTGATGAGCTGGGCCGGGGCGGGACACGATGTAACAGCTCTTGCGCGTAGGGGTTTTGGCCGGACGGGCGACGGTGCTCGCAAGCACTACAAAGGCATCAGGCGTTTCGTTGGGGTTCCACAGCAGGTCCTCCATGCCGGTCAGCTGGTGGGCTGTTGCGGTTACGCGTGGTGGCCAAGCGTAGTTTATCGGTCCACAGCACGAAACGGTTGCGGTGCGGAAAGGGGTCTGGCCTGGTGCAGCTGTGGTCTATTAGTTCTGGGCAATCTGTTGCCTGTTGCCTTCCGTATGGCGAATCAGGGAAGCCCGCTTGCCATCGCTACTCGTGTAGCAATGCCATCCTGGCGGGTGCTCGCGCCTACTAGATATTGCAATCCAGTACCCACGGTTGGCGCCAAGGCCCATGGGTGGAATCAGCCGTAAGCGCGGGAACGCGCAATGTGGTTGTGGCGCGATGGCCATCCCTATCCTGCGCCCTAGGAAGGGTACCCAGATGTTAGGCAGGGTATCCAGCAGGGTACCATGCTGCTACGAGTCTTAACTAATTGCTCTTCCCGGCCCTGTAATCTGTGGGGCCATTGTCTGCACGCATGTGGTTGTGTCACAGGGCCATATCAATCAGATGCTGGCATCCAACAACCTGCTATTCAGCTGTGGGCAGGACTGCAGCATCCGCGTGTGGGGCATGGAGGGCGAGGCGTTTGTGTGTAAGGTAAGCAGGACGCAGTTGCTAAGCGACACGCGCTGATGATGGGCTGGGATATGGACGGGGTATGGTATTGTAACTTCTTGAATTTATGAGAGAGCAACCGGGTGTTTGGGGCTCTCTTGCTGGGCCTGCAGCAGGGAGGCACTTTTGAAATAGCGCCTTCTGCTGGGAGTTGTGGTTAGGAGATGTAAAGTGGTAATGCATGCGAGGTGACGGGCGTTCACAGCATGGTTGGGAGCTGTTGAGAATAAGTTATGCTGCTTGGTGTGGAGGACTGATATTGCGAGGTTCCGATGCAAGGTAGGGACCAGGTACTGGCAGGGTGGGGCCTTTTGCCTTGCTCTCGGCTGCAGGCGGCAAATGCCACAGCCGTTTGGAACGTCCGCATGGGGCCGATTGGCTGAATTTGATATCGCATTCCGCTGGATATCAAATTCCACGGGAGGGTTTCGAAAAAAGGAAGAGGGAGAGGGATGCCGCGCGCCCTCACTCGTATTAAGGGGGCAACACGGCATCGCGCTGAAGTTCTGATGGAACTGATGAAGATATGAGCCCAGTCATAGGTTGTCGGGCGAGGGTTTGGGCCTTGTGTTACCATATTGGCGCAATTGTCCTGGCCGCTAGAGAGCAATTCTTACGGTAGCCGTCTACGGTGTGTGCTGCTGATTTCCCACAGCAAATTCTGGACAAGGACAAGGGCGGTCACACGTACCCGATCTACGCTTTTGAGATGATCAACGGCTTCCTGGTGTCCGGGGACTCGTTCGGCAGCCTCAAGGTGCGGATTCAGCAGCTGTTTGTGCTCCCGCAATGCCGCGGTTCCTCGTACCGTACTTTCTGTGCCCGCATGGAGTCGGGTGCAGTGAGTACAATCAAAGGAGGACATACACGGCTCGGCGGAGTGGTTGACCCGCTTTATTGGAGCACATACAGGAACATACAGGAACGCGTGCCGCCTTGATAGCGCAGCGGCCAATGCGCGGCTATTATCCTGGGCCTTCAGAATGTATGTATTCAAGCCCGTCAGCATTGCGTCCACTGACGCACCTTAAGCTTTTTCCATGAAGCCGCCTGGGTAATGGTCCCTCCCCTTTGCGCAGATCTGGGACCCCGCCACAGGGACATGTACGCAGACAGTTACGTCAGCCCACAACGGTACCATAACGAGCATCTTGCAGTACGGGGTAAGGAGGGCTTCGCATCACGCCGCTCATTGCATCGGTTTTTTTGCTGTCGTTGAGCGTATCGTATGCTGTGAGATTCCTTAGCTTGGCCCTAATGGTGGAACGGTGCCTGGCACCCATTACGGGGCTTTACAGGTAAAGGGGCAGGAGCCCCCCTTAAGAAGTTTCCTTGCTTGAGCTGGCGTGCATGCACGCTAGGATTTCCTTCCCGTGTTTTCAAACATTGTACAACTCGCTGATGATATTGCGTTATTGCGCGTGCTATGAACGTATCTCGGCGTTTCGCGACGCATAGCCATATTGGGCGGTTTGGCGTGTGCCGATTCCGTATTGCCGTGGTGTTAAATGCATCTTGTTATATGTTTTATGTGGTGTTGTATGTTTCTTGGCCGCGGATCTCCTTTCTTCCCGTGCACATGCCCTCGTCCGCTCCGGTACGTAGCATGCTGTGCTCCTCCTCTCCTGGCTTAAGCGGTTTCGCTGTGTTTTGCTTGTCCTCACTTCTTTTGCACCTCACACCGCACGGCGCCGCAGAACAACATCCTGACGGGCTCCGTAGACGGCTACATGAAGGTTTGGGAGCTGATGAGCCCACCCGTGCCTGGCGCCGTTGTCAAACCGGAAGCCATCGACAGCTACTTTGAAGACGACGGTGGTGGCCGTAGCGGTGGCGGGGGGGGAAGATACCGCCAGGTGGGGCAAAAAGCGGTGGCAGTATTGGGTGCTGCAGGGGTTACGTCGTGTGTATTCGTGCCCTGCTGCGCACTCAGTAGATCTGCGACGGTAGAAGGGCCCGGGTGTGCCATGGGGCAGAGATTCAGAACGGCCGCGCGGAAGGCGCAATGGCTATAGCCCTAGTGAAGGGCAGCTTACTGTCGGCTTACTTCATCAGGGGGGGCTTACAAGGGTGAGATCTTTACGATGCACTTGTGAACAGAAGGGTCGTTGCGCCTTACCTTGACACAGCTGTCCTGACATGTGCCTATTAAGATCTTCCGTCAGTACGGAACCACGGTACACGAACGTACAGGCATTACAGGCAACCGGTCCCCGCTGATCTGTCCGTGTGCGTCCTGCAGGGGGGCGGCGGCCCGCACAACTCAATTCTCACGATGGACGGCTCCCCAGACAACAAAGGCGAGAGCATACTGGCCATCTCGACGCTCCAAACCGGGGTCAACGTGTACAATGTAGACCAGAGCATGTCCCTGCTGGGGATGCTGCCAGGGGTGAGCATGCAAAGCAAGGACCGGGAGGGGGTTGGGGGGCTGCAGAATATTGCGGATTCTGTTGCGCCCATTGCGCATGGATGTGAGGTAGGGCAGCACCGGCAGCGCATATTTGTATTTATCTATCTTCAGTGCGATCGAGGGCGCTTTGGGCTGCTGGGGGGCAGATGTTAGCCTTGCCTTGGGGTGACTTGTTGCGCCTTCCAGTGCATGGTGGCGTACCTTAAGCACTGGGCCTGCGCGAAGCAATGTGGAGGCCGTTGTAATGCATAAGTCGTGTGCGGGTCGCAGGTTTGCCACGCTCCACTTGGTTGAATTGCATGGAAACGGATAGGTTGGCGTCGGCCTCGGGCTCAAGAAGCCGGGCGCTTGTGAGAGTGATACCGCAGTGCGGCCGGCAAGAACCCACTTCTGGGGCACAGCCCAGGAGATTGCATCTTACCCTCCTTCCTGGGCATTATAAAATAATGATTCCGTGTGCTTTGGGTGTACGACGTCTTTTGTTCCCTTTCAGGTGGTGGTGTCTCGGGCAATCACGAACATCCCAGGCGCAGCAATTATCGTTGGGGACGACACTGGCAAAGTGCACATATTCTCGTGGTCGGGCTGAGACCCTGCGGAGCTTAATGCGCTAACGAGTGCGCCTTGGTTGCGGAAAGAGCTTTGCCAAATTCCTGCTGCTGGTTGTTAGTATGAGCAAAAGCCACCGGATTTGATACCCGTAGAGGTGTGTTTTGCTGGCTATGGGATGTTGCAGAGATGAGAGAGCAGAGGTGGACTATGCGTTTGCAGGAGGGATCTGCTGTTCTGCAAGGGCGGAGTATGTCGTGTCCCAGGACGTGGACGTACATGCTCAGGTGTATGGTGATTTGAGGAATCGCCATGTGACAATCATGTGTAGTTACAGCACCTTCGGATTCGTCGCCCAATTAAACAAATCAACATAATTCTGTTTTCAAAAATTTGAAGCGTTGGGCGTCATAGCCCGTACGGGTCCAGCACATTGCGCGTGCTGTGAGGAGTCATTCGCGTGCGAAGTGGCACAGATATCGTCCGGGACGGCACTTCACCGTGCAACGTACCCAAGAGTTTATAAAGAGGACCAGACGTTGCTCAAACAACCATAAAATATTGCTCCTATGCTGACGCACGTTATGCATGCACAAAACCGCAGTCAAATTGCATATGCGTGGTACGACAATATGCCACATGCCTAGGCCACCTAGGAATCTGAGCTGCACGTATGCTCGAGACACGGCATATCTAACACGGCTCCAAAAAACGCCCCACCACCAGCTGAAACGTTGCGCTGCAACACCAACGTGGGATATTCTCCGTCCGCATCAGTCGCTGACGATCGCACACGCATAGACGCGTCGATTGGTATCATGAACGCTCAAATCAGTTAAGCCCGGGCCCCCACCCAGGTACAGGATATTCATAAGATCCACAGGATATTCATAAGATCCACGGCCAAACTGTACAACAAATAAGTCGCGTCCTACACAACCCGCACAACAAAGACAACGTCACTATCAATGCTTTGCAGTGCACAGGCTATCATCCTCATGCCTCGGTGTGACGCCTGCCTTGCCAGCGCAGCAAAGCTAGGTCTTAACTATGGTCCGCAAGCGACACGTCACCTAGGGCGGCGCATGCGCATAGGTCAGAAGTCGAAGTAAAAACAGAGCATATGCACGATGCGCAAACAGATATGCCCATGTGTATGGATGCTCCTCAAAAGCAAAGTGAGCCGCTATGGTTGCATAATGTCATATGTTATGTAACTACAGGACAATTTTTTTGCCGCATGTGTGAGTCAGAATGACAGTGCTTTACGAGCGCAAGCTTTCCTAGCTGGTGCCTATTACGAGCTGGCTGTAGCATGGACACAGGGAAAACAAGACAATACCAGCCGAACAACACTATACCAATGCACATTCCATATTCCAGCAAAATAACGTGCAATCGTCGCCAGCTCTGGGCAATATGCAGCGCGGTGACCAATAGCGAACCAATGCCAAACAACGCATGCTCCACATTGCCGTACATGCTCCAAATTCCTGCTGCTGTGCATCCATTTGAAGGAAAAGGTGTGATGCATCGAAGGAAAGTATGCAATGCATCGACGCACAGCCCCAGCTCATGACCAAAGAAGCCTGTACTTGGCAGTTATTCGACCTCACCGCGTCGCAATCCCAAGTCGCCTCGTCGCCCCGTGTCCGAGCCCCGAACACCAGCATCCCCGCCCCGCGTGTTCATGTCGCCGCCGCGGATTGGACCGTATACCGCCGCCGCGCTGCCACCATTACTGCCGGCAACAATGCTGGCACCCCCACTCCCGCCGCTTCTGGGCCTTGGCGCGTCTGCAAGGAGGCCGCTCGCGCCCGTCATTTGCAACAGCGACTGTAAAGTTTCCGCAGGAAGGGTTACAGATGGCCCCTGCTGCTTGCCCTCAATGCGCCCGCGTAGCATCGCGTTCTCCTCTTTCAACGCAATAATCTCCTTCTCGCTCTCGGCCACCTGAACAGGACGCAAAATCACGCCGGCAAATCCTTGAACACTACAAGTCCGAAAACAATCCTTAACTACGGAATGTCTGACACAGGATGCCGGCGTACAGAAGCGCACAACGGGACATCACGGGCAGATAGACAACATCCCGCAAGGCGAGCCGGGGCGTGCCGCCAACGTACACGCTTTCCCCGCTGCACGATGACCCAGCAGTTCCCCTACGTTCCAAGACCCTGATATTCCTTCATCCTTGACGGAAGCAGGGGTGGCTTTCCCCTGCTACCATGGACCGATGTGCTGTGCCTGTCCTACCCTGCTTTGGAGGTCCTCAACGCGTTGCTTGAGGTTCGCGATGAGGTCTTTCTGTCGCTCACGGAATCGGCGCTGCGCCTGTCGATTTTTTTCTTTCGCGCTCATCTGCGCAGACAGCCCCAAGCCGTTCTGGTTGCTGCGCTCACTGCGGTCAACCCCACGATTGCTGGGGGGTGGGCTTTGCGAGTCGCTACGTCCGCTGCGCAAGAGGGTACCGCGGGGCAGAAATACTTATTATTATAAGAGGAAGCCCTATGTCCGTACGCACCATGGCAACAGCCTCAGGGATATGTCTTAGTGATAGTACGTATCACAGTAGTAACCATTCAATGCCGCAGCAAGCCATGGACTCCATCAGCTTAAAACAATCATCGAATCTAAAAACGTCCGCACCTGTTGCTTGGCGATTCAACGCTTGGCAAGCGCCGGCGTTGCATCGGCATTTGCCCGGATGCACCCAAGTGTGTTGACGTAGACGGGCCAGGGTTTGGGCTCAAGTTAGACTGGATCTGATGTGGATAGGACTGTATTAGAGTGGCCTGCAGTAGGCTGTGCAATGCTTCTTCGCGATGCTGGGCAGGGTTGGGCGCTGCCAGGCCGTCCAGCTGCAAAGCAAGATGTTGCTGACGCAAGTGTTGCTCGTGCAGCTGTTGTTGCTGCTGTTGTTGCTGTTGTTGTTGCTGCTGATGTTGCTGTCGCTGCAGGATTTGAGTAAGGAGCGCTGTCACCTCGCTTTCAGCGCGGACGTGACGAGGGGGCGGCTCCCGGGACTCAGCCGGCACCAAGGCATACACAGAACCATTTTGCGCGATGAAAAGCTGGCCAAGGCCATCCATGACCAAGGCCTTCAACTCAGTTGTCTGGAGGTCAAAAGCAGGTCCTTACGAGATTTAGGTAGCAACCTATAGTAGTTGTGCAGTTCTAACATTTAGAGTCGGATGACGGATGGTACAACCTGACAAATTCTTTCGTTGGTGTTACACATTATTTGCCTTTACGTAGTTCCGTACATCGCGAAGTCTGAATGAGACTGTGCTTTTTAAGCTAAGAAAGGGCTGAAGTTTTAGTGGCCGAAGAAGGGCTGAAGAGATATTAACACCTGGTTAACAATCGTAGGCGTGACTTCCTATGTAGTACCACTGCGGCTGCATGCGAGCATAGAGTCTGCAGTACACCTAGGTTAGAATATTTTTGTGCATCCTTATGCCTGTTGTAGCCTCAGCCGACGTCATTTTTAAAGAAGCGCAAACTTTCACCTGAGCCAAATTCTCGGTGCGACGAGGATTTTTCGTAACGCGTGCCTCACCTGGCAAGCGGCATTGTATGGGCCATGTACAGCCTTGTATAAGCCCTACTTTGCATTATGCAGCCGTGTGCAACACGTTGCGGGTGTGGCAGCTGGTATCGGGGGCCACAGAGGTCACAAGACACGTAAATTGGAGCGGTTGGCAGGTTTGTGGAGTTGTTTTCGTACGGGCTGCAGCGCCCACCACACTAGGCGCCTGGGATGCAGTAGTTGTACAGATTTTGTGGCGAATTCAGACGTATGCGGAGTTGGTCTGATTTGTGTCACTGATCGGTCCTCGCTTAAGAGGACTGACGCATGAATGCGCATCTAGGTGGGTTATTACTTCATGGAGGGTAGATGGCATGTAGCCACCTCCTGGGCTTTCTGACTTGCATTACCGTAATTTGTATGTTTAGTTGTTCAGATCTATAGCGTGTAGAGTGGCTTTAGCCCTTTGGTGAAACCTCGTATAGCATACCTTCAGATATGACTACGTTGTCGCATTTCGAAAGCAGTAAATGTGTGGGTAAGGCGTTTTTGACAAACGAGGGGCGTCCAGCCGCGACGAGTAGCTGAACTAATTGGTGGATAGTCCCGCGCCTTGGTAAACGCAATGTTGGAGGCCATAGGTCGCTGTTTTGCTGACAGATTTTTCAAGCTAGTATAAAGGTGGCCGCGGTCAATGTACAATTATCTGCCTTGATGCTTTCGATTTTTAGGATCAATCCCACGCGGTGTACGGTCACCACGTCAAGTAGCGAATGGGGGCCGCCTTGATGCGTTACTGTGACCGTTAAGATTCCTTCTTGTCGTACTCAGTACAGAATTTTCTTACGCACGCCGACACAATCAAATCGACGGAGCGCTCTAACTGCGTTTTGGCTTGTACTTCTGGAGCATTTTACTGGAGAATTTACAGCATGTCATCCATTTTAAACAATGGAAATGGGAAAATGGCCTCGAACTACATATTCGATAAGCTTTACGGTACCAAGCAGTTCACAGCTGGTGCAGAATTGCAGCTTCCTCGGAAAGTTCCCATGCGTGTGGAGCCAAAGTCTTACTTTGGTAAGCCCTGGTGTTGTCTTCCATTTCCACAATAGCTCTTGACGACACGGCATTCATTTCCTTGTGTTATGCGCAGCGAACGAGAGGACGTTCTTGAGCTGGATGGGAATGGCCATCACGCTGGGAGGCGTCTCATCAGCCCTTGTAGGATTTGCTGGTGACGCCGATAACGAGGACACCACAGATCGACTAATTTCAAAACGAACTATCGACGTCATAACGTGCATTTATTCCCCATTGTCCATCCTTATTATGAGTTACGCGCTCTTTACGTACGAGTGGCGGAGCAAGTTCATGCGCACAAAGCAGGTGGGATGCGGGATGTATGCGTGCGGGATTGGTCTTTCTACAGCGGACCCACGGGGCGCATTGAGGAAGTACGACTTTCAGCCACGGGAAGCGGGGGATAGGTCATGGGGGGGTTGGCGAAATGCGATCATTTAACCAAAGCGCAACGATTTGATCATTACGTGAATTCAATATCTGGGGTAATAGTTGGCATAGTAACAATTAGCGCATTTAGCAGGTGGTGCCTCTTGCCGCGGCGGCACATTCCCTTTTCGATACGCTCCGACGTGTGCTGGCTCAACGGTGTTGTCACAGCCTTGCCGTGCATGGGGTTCGCTTCTTAACAATCACCTTCCACACCCATCCATTTTTGCATGGTGTTCCGGGGCTTACAGCCAGCCGGCCAGTAGTCTCCCACCTGACCGCAGCAAAACCCGGCTCCGTGGCCCTGAACCCAGATTGGCTTCTTCGATGACAAGATCGGGCCCATCACGGTGGCCGGGCTGGTGCTGATGACGCTGCTGGTGATCTTCACGGTCGCGCTTATCGACTATCTCTTCTGAACAAAAGCACAAAAGCCGATAACGGATTGGCATGGAAGGACCGTGCTGCGTAGGTGCACAGCCGGGTGAAATTGAGTGGCGTAAAGAGTGGAGTAACAAAGGGGATTGTGGCCTTCCGCGGTTGCCGGTATTATTCTTTTTGACAGTGCTCTTGATCTTGGACAAACGCATCCGTGGTGTGTAGGGTTGTGGTCGCGCGTGTTTCTGTGGGTGCGAGGGGATCGTCATAACGACACGTGCAAAAGCGCGGTCGGAAGTTCGCGGGCGGCGGCACTGGCTTGTCCTCGATTCCCAGTGTCGTTTTGGGAGGGATTTAGTCAGGAGGGCCATATAGTTAGTAACAGCCATGGCCTTTGCGTTGTCTCCTGCCGGTTGATCGGGGCTCTTATTGAGAACTGCTGCCATTGATACTGGCCGAATATGGATGGGTGTCGCCCTGACAGGTCTGCGTGTCGTCGATTGGAAGTATTAACGTGTGAACATTGTTGGAACTGCTACTGCTGGAGTTGATCAAACCCTGGATCCCAAGGATGGTACTTGATGCAGGATGATTTTCAACACCTCCTCGAATGGGGAATATATGAAATGTTTAATTGTATCTGAACTTTGCTGCCTGGTCTGTGTTCTGGTTTCTGCGGCACTCGGGCGGTCGCATCATGCGGGGCCGAAGAATGAGGGGTCGTCAGGGTGACGTTGCAGGTGATTATCCACTGTGTTATGGTACAGGAGCGGAAATCAACAATTTACAGTCGTTCAACTGCAAACCCTTAAAACAGTACAACAGTTTCCTTGCCGATAGGCATGTCCGAGCTAGCCGCAGAAAAAATACAAGATGCAATTGTCTATGTGGCTTTGTCATCTCTTCGTGATACTGACACCTTCCCTTTAGCTCTTTATTGACTTCCAGAGAAGTGCAACCTGCCATCCTGCCTTATCGCAGCTCCTTGCAACTCATTCGCTCTTTGCTCTTCCGCTGTGACAGGCTTGCAAAAGAGTGCACCCTGGCTTGGACAGACATGCATAGGCGTAGGTAGCATGCTCCTTGCCGTCCCAACCGTACTGCCACCTTGAAAGGACGTCCTGCCATGCATAACCTTCAGCTAAAAAACAGACTCTCAAGCCCGCCACTCGTCACAGCTTTGCCAACAGCTCCAGCAACCTAACCGCCTGCTCGTCTAACTTGCCACGCAATTCCTCGCTGGGCGCCTCACGCACCCAGCGCTGCACCGTGGCAGCAATGCGGCGCCGCAGCAAATGGAAATGGCGCGTCACTATGTCCTGGGTGCCGGGTGGTGGGTGTAGCAGCATATCCACCATGGCGTGCCGCATCACCAGCAGCTGCATATGGGGAGAGGAGGTAGGGAAAGGAGACCCGCCGACTTAAGCAAATACTTCCGCTTGGCAAGGTGCCCCGCAGGGAGCAGGGTCGTAGCAGGCGCTCAGGTCTCTCCAAGAGTAAAGCGCACAGCCCAACACATACCTAGCTACAGATTAGGATCCAGGGTGTCCCCCGGCGTGTTAAACACATGTGCAAACACCATACGCGGGCCCCCAAAACACGCAATAGAGCTGCTCACCTGCAGCCGAGAATTGTACTCCGCGGTCTTGGCGCTGCCCTCGGCAGTGCCCGCCATGGTTTCTGACAGCGGCTCGTTGGTCATGGGGTCAGTGACCAGAATCTGGCTTTGGATGGACACCAGCACCTGGCAGTGTTTTTGTTTTCATTTTTGCCCGTCAATTTTCCAGCCCGAAAGGAGGAATAAGTTTTTAGTCGGGAGAGGTTTTTAGTCGGGAATAAAATTATTCCTAATCTGTAAGGCGCTGATGGGGGCGCCGGGGCCCCCCCCCGGGACCCCCCCCGATGAGTTACACTTTAGTTCGTACAAATGCCGGGTTTGGGGAATGTCGCAATACGCATACACCACAATCTCTCCAGAAAGGTGTCTCTTGCACGCCAGGAAGCGGCGCGCACTTGGACGCTTTGACAGGAACCCCGATTGCACGGGCGACTGCTGTTGCAGAGTCCAAGCAAACACAGACCAGTGAACTCAAGCACTGATCGAATAGAGTTCGTTCACCGTCGTTCGTTTTGCATCACTTGGAAAGATAACACTACACGACTCTCCATATTGCAAAAGTAATGATGCATAGCAGCAATGAACCGGAACCGCCAAACACAACCTCTGCGGTTGGTTGCAACCCCTGCTGTTGATGCTGCACGCTAATTAGCGGTTCATCATGTACCGGCCCCTGCTGCTGGCGGCCTTCCACTTCTCCAAGGCCGCCTCAAAAAGGGAACGTGCGCTGGTCGTAAAGGTCTTGCGTGAACATGCGCACGGACAGTGCCAGGTGCTCGTCTAGCCAGTTGCGGGCTGGGTCCTGCAAGTACGCCATCGCTGAGAACCGCCGCTCATCCTCCATGGCTAGAGGAATGAACTTGTATGGCCGGAGCACAGTCTATTCCTAACTTTCAGGACCACGGACATTTATTTATTCCGAATTCGGAATAAATTCCGCAAAAAACATCACTGCCACCTGGCCACGCAGGACACAGAACGGCGGCCGCAGCGGCAGCAGCGAAAACGCCATCCATGCTGTACGCCGCCGTTGAACCTGCTGGTCTAGGGCTAAATGCACCAATTACAACGCAGCAGGAAATTGCACCCGGCAGCTGAGCTGCTACTTCTCAGCGCTGAGCAATAAGCTGTTCGCACCTCCTTTTCGCTGTTGGCGCTTCCGCCGCGGCCGGCCTAAACCCGGGAGTGATGCATGGCCAGCACAGCGCAACGCCAATAATGGTCTCGGTACTTCGGGAGCTCCCACCGCTGGTGGAAAACATACAACAAGGGCAATAGGAAAGAGGCCGAGTCCCTCGGCATCACCGCTTCTTCATGCTCTCACCTGGTACAGGGAGCTGAGCGTCGGGTTCCATTTCTCGCTGGTGTGGCCCGAGTTGTAGGTCCCCAGCAGCGAAAGGCAGACCTGCGGATTCGGGCCAGGGACAGGAAGAGACAAGGCAACGAAAGCCACCAAGCGGCTGACATAAAACAATTAAGGCGAGTGTAGACAACGCAACAGAACTACAATGCACGAAGTAACGTACCAGCAGCTCAGCCAGATGCAGCTCTCTACAACCGCCCTACGGTGGCTTTGGTTGCCGTGTCCACTGCTGCCCTGCCCAACCTTTACACGAAGCCCCCGGTACGGCCAAGGGGATTTTCCTGAGCAGGTGGGCAATTTTCGCGGCCTTGCCTGGTTCCACGGTCCGACATTTCGCGAACATTGCCCTTCAGCCGCAACCGCACCTTGCCGTCGGCATACAGGTTGGGGTTGTATCGCGCCTTGCCACCTCCCGTGTTGTACACCATCATGACGGGCGGGTCGTTGGGGTAGCCGGCGGGGCAGAAGATGTCGAAGACGAACATGCCGCCCTCATAAGGGGTGCCCTACAGAGCCAGCAGCCAAACACATAGGCAAGGTAGGCAACAAGCCTGGTAGACAAGTGGGCAGCAAGCCAAAGGGGGTGGAGCAGCATCGTCAGGCACATGACCGCCGCGCGCTGGCCCCCGGCCCCCCGTTACTATTGAAAAATACCATATGGCTCATGAAGCAGTGCACTGACATGCACGTGGCGGTGCTATGAATATCCCGAGTGCCGGCAGGGGAGCACATTAGTACACACAATTCCTTACTCCCATCATTATCATTATCATCTTCTTCTTCATTGTTTGATACGTCGCGGGTGAATGAGGTCCTGCCTGCCTGCCTGCCTGCCTGAAGATCAGGAAACAGCAGACGCGTGTTGCCGTAGTACCAGAGACCTGGCCAACACTAGGGAAGCAGGAGAGCACGGAAAACACGTAAACTGGTTCACAAGACAGGTGCCACCAGACCCCTCTTCCCTCTTCCCTAAAATGCCCTTTCCAGCCTCGCGCCACCCGGCACCCCACCGCCCTGCTCCACCTACCTCAGGCCCCGTAATAACCGCGCGCATCTTATCAACCCGGGCGCTGTCCTGGCGCAGATAGATAGCCGCAGCCGCCATGCAGGGCAGCGCCAGTCGGCCCCCAGGCTGCATGTCGTTGACCTCCTTGGCCAGCTGCCGCATTTTCTTGCGGGATGCCCCCGAGTCCTGCTCGGCTAGACGGGCCATCTTCAGGGCAGCAAAGGGCAGCGGGTTGGAACACGGGTTTAACGCAGCAACCAGCCTTTGGCCTCGTCAAGGGTTTGCCTGGACAAGGGTGGTGCCATGCAAGGAAATATTGCATATTATATAGTCAAGGACCTATACACGAGCCAAGTTATCATCATGCGTGCGGGCAATGCTACAACCCACACTGTCCCGCTATACCAGCCGCTTCCACGGCAGGCTAGCTAACCGGGAAAGGGGGAGCCATCAGCCCCGAGTGTACCCGCTAGGCGGCCCCCTGCCCTCCCCCCCCACCTCTTTGAAGTAGCCTCCCGGCACAGAACTGTCGTACTCGCCGATGGACAGCGGTCCCAGCTCCGCCGCGTACAGCTTCTCCACCTCTGCCTCTGTCAGGTCCGGACCCGGCACGCGCACGGCCTCACAGTACAGACCCGTGGGTCGCCGCGGCTCCGCCTCCATAGGCTCCACGCCTGCGGTGAATCCAAACAAGGACGGGAACGACACCACACAGGTTAGCAAGGGGGGACACGAACGGAAGGTGAGGACATAGCTTGCTTAGCGGCCTGATGCAGAGGACGTGAATCAACAAAGGGCATCTAGGCCGCTATGAGATGCGCAATTTCCCTTGCCCAGCTCCACTTGCCAGGCATGAAGCAGAAGTCTGCTTTCAAGGAGTGTCATGTCACGTCCCGACATGGCATGGAATACCATGGTCTTTGCAGATCTTTAGTTGCACGGCCATGACACACGGTGTGAAGCTACCCCCCTACTCGAGGTTGGTACTACGAAATGATGCCTCCGAAACGGTACACACCAAGTACGTGCGATGGAATGGAACACACGCGACATAGGACGTGTGACAGCTATGCCTTTTCCTAAAAGCTTTTCTTAGCGATGTACGGCTCTGCAACCGTGCAAGATGGTGTTCTCGTGCGTCCCGGACGCACCCGAGCCCTCCCCGCTCTTGCGCCGCTTGAGCGGCGGCTGTGAGTCCGCACCCGGCGAGGCTTCTCCAGCGGCGGCGTCAGCGGTCCCCGACAGCGGCACGACGAGTCCGTCCCCTCCCGCGCCTAGCCCCGTGCCCCGCAACTCCGCGGCTCGGGCCAGGAACGTCCTTAGCCGGGTTTCAAGCAGCGCCTGGTGGTGGGTCTCCAGGTGCTGCAGAGCCCGAGACATGATCTGCGTACAAGGCGAGGGGTGGATTTTAGAATGTCGCCGGGTAGGGGCGCCCATGGCTGGGTATTAAAGGAAACGATGCCAGAGGTCACGGGCTGGAAACGGAGGGTAGGAGCCTGGGGAAAGCTGCCACACGCGATGTATACGCGAGATATGAAGGGGCGGGAAGCGCAGGAAGGAGTGTGCCTCAGAGAAACGCCTCGCGTCTCCAGCATGTAACCCAGGTCGCCGACCACGTCCTGATTCGCAAAGAGGGACCCGCCGCGTCCTTGCTCCGTCTTAAGAAAGGCCGCGGACCTCCATACCGGTACACACGCACACACCCAGCTTGTCCCTACCTCCTCGCTGTAGTCGGGCTCCGAGACCACTGCCTGGACGAAGCGGTCGTTGCGTCCCAGCTGCAGTTGCAAAGCCAGTACCGCACCCACCAGCACCGGCAGATCGAAGCCGTACTGCTCCGGCTTTTTGACCTACAAAGCCCCATAAGCAACACGGAGGAGCACATTCAGCCCCAACTCACAGACCACAGATCCCCGCAACCAGCTGCCATACCTGCAGTTTCTTGCATGCATCCCCAAGCAGCAGTTCCAAGGAGGACACCACCAGAAAGGCGGTCTTGCCAAGTAGGGGCTCGTGGAGGAAGGCGGTCGCGATGAGCGGGTCGGCTGAGAACACAAAAAAGGTGGAGTGGAATCGCAGAGGGGGCCGGGCAAGGCTTCGGAAAAGCAGTCCAGAAGTCGGCGTGGGTGGGTGGGTGGGTGAGTGAGTGAGTGGAGAGGAATGACGGCGAGGAGGGCACACCGAGTAAGGGCACACGCAGTCCCACCCCAGTCGTCGTCCCGCTCAGCTTCTCTCAGCCACCCACCCGTCAGCGTGTTGAGCCACTTGAGGTTGGCGACACCCATGGACAAGAAGCCCACGGCAGCTCGCTGCTGGCCCCGGTAAAAGTCCTCCTTGCGCTGCCGCTCCTCCGCGGGCTGCGCCTCCCAGGCCGCCGCATCCGCCTTGGAGCGTTCAATGGCGTAAATATCCGCAAGCCGATCCAAACCGTCCTGGGGTGGGTGCAGCATAACCACCGAACGATAAAACCGGTAACGACGGCGAGAAAGGGGAACAGGAAGGCGGGCGAACAAGGGAACGAGAGAGTTAGCCGCGGAAGGGCAGAGCGAGGCCCGATGAGCGTAAAAAGCCTATGGAGGGTTTGGAAAGGCGGCACCGGTCAGCTCGGCGGCAACCCGAGCTGCGGCCGTGGCGAATACGACTGCGGGGAAAGGAGGAATGGAAAAGATGGGCACTTTTGGAGCTGCGAACACTGCGGACTGAAGGCGGAATTGCAAGCGGCAGGACCTCAAGTCCGACGGAGGGTACCGGTGCGGGGAGGCAACCACGCGTTGTGGGCCCCGCCGTCGTACAGAGCGAAAAAAGGGCTGCTTCCTGAAGCCTGCACATGGCGGCTCAACCAGGCCATGGGGGCAAGGGCCGAGGTGGCCGCACCTTGAAGTAGTGCATAACGGTGTTGACGATGCCGGAGGCGTAGTCTGAGAACAGACCTGGCTCCACGGCAGAGCTGCCGGAGGAGCTGGCGCTAGCGGCGGCATTGGCGGGCAGTAGCGCCTCCGTGGGACCGCTGGAGGTTGTGGCAGCTAGGTCTGTGAGGCAGCGCTTGAGGACCGAATCCTTGATTAGCTCCTCAAGGATCTTATCTGCAGGTGGCATCGGGGTGGTTGTTACCGTTGGCAAAGTCGGTAGTTCGCAGTTGGTAGTTAGGTTAGTGCCGCGGGGCTTGGGAACGCCTCCGTGCTGGAGTCCTGTGTCAGTGCTTACGGAGGGGTGGGCGGCCACTGAACATCAAGGTCAGTCGCCATACGGATGGAAGGGAGAGGGACGGACGAGGGAGGCAGGCACATTACGCGCCCCCGCAACCTTTCCTATGTCGGACATTCCCTACCTGAACCTGAGCAACGCCGACCGCTCACCCTTGAATCCTTCCTCACAGTTATCCAGCAACCAACTCATCCAGTCCGAGCATGTCACCACACACACACACACACACACCGCCTGCCACACGCAGCCGCACACCCGAACCCCATTCCAGGCTCACCAATGTGGTACCGCATGCCATACTTGTCGTACGAGTCCTTGTCGACGTCCAGACCGACCACCAGCTCCGCATTCACATGCGCCCGCAGCAGGGCCGGAATGAGGTCGCGCTGAGTGACGGGGGCACCCAGCACGGCGCCCACCAGCGCCCGCTCGCCGGTGCTCATGCGGTCGGGAGCGAGCGCCAGTCCTCGCGCCTCGCGGGCCTGTCAGGGGTACAGTGGCACCGTCGTGCAGACAGGCAGAGGTCGCGCAGGCAGCAGACACAACAGTAGCTGCACTGGCCCCGAAGGGACAGGTGTGTCACACAACCCACATCATAAAAACACAATCCAGGCAAAGTTGGCGCCATGGAAAAGCTAAGGCAAACGCAGGGAGTACTGATAAAAGTAAAAATAGGCAGGTTGTGGTGATGGTGGTGGCACCCTGAACGGGGTGAGGCCGCGGATGCAGCCTGTAGCGGTGGCAATGCGGTGGGTTCGTCCACGCGGCGGCGCCAACCAGCCGACCCCACCTGCACGTTTTGTAGCTGGCTGGCAAGCATGGCGAGCAGCAGGTTTATAATCTTGTTCTGCAGCATGGCGCTGCGGACCACGTCGTTGGCGTTGAGGAGGGTCACCTAAACCAGTCGGCGGGGGTGGCGGCCGCGAGCATGGAAAAACGGGAAGAACGGGCGGAGAGGGTGTGCGGGTGCCGGGCTTTCAATCAAACAGAAGCAAGGATTTGTAGTGAACATCCTGAAAACCATGCTCACTATGGAAGACATGCTATATTCTGATATCTGTTACTGAACAGTCTAGAACCCAGATGTTTCTAGACGTGTACGACATTTGTACGGTTAAACCTTGCCGATGCCCGCTGATGCCGATATCATCTTGACCGTCGAGTAGACGGGAGGAAGGACATCTTACGAAGCCTTTCTTAACGAGTCACGCTCCTTTCAAGGTGCTTACCTTCCTGCACCTTTATTGATGCGCTGACGCTACAACAAAGGAAATAAAGATGGCGATAATACCGGGGACGAGGACGACGGGGAGCGTCTTCCCCTCGAACTATCCGACTACCGCTTACATCACAGCCTTGTCTTTCACAACAAGTGAGCGCACACCCATGGACAGCGCCCTCCGCCCGAACAAACCCATCTACTGCCAGCACCACCACCCGCACACCCCTACCCACCATTGCACGCATGATGACCGCAATCGGCTTGGACGCCACCAGGTCGGCCCGGCCCGCGTACAGCACCGCTGTCAGCCAGTCCAGCGCATCCCCGAGCGCGTACTCGGGCACCAGCCGCATGACCACAGAGGGGTCGCCCGCGCCGCCACGCGATAGCCAGGCCATCCAGTCCAACTGTATGTATGTATGTGTGTGTGGCGGGGAATAACACTCAAAAAGAGGAACGTATGGAAGGTGGGAAAAGAGAGGCAAATGTTAGGATCCAGGATTGTGTCTGCGGCCCCGGCTGCAGCTGAGGGCTTTTCCTGCCAATGGCAGGGCATTCACGGCATTTGAGCTAGCGGGAGTGCGTGGTCCTCCAGCAGCGGCAGCAGCAGCAGGAGCACTTGGGGCGTGTGGTTACACCTCAAGCCATCCCTACCCTGCCAACCTCCTCTGCCCGTCCAAGCGCCTTTCTGTACCTCACTTCTCTCCTCTGCCACCTCTCTTCCCTGCCCTCGCTGCCCTTGGTACCTCCCCTTCCCCCCTCTCTGGGGTCACTTTCCCGGCCCTTCGCCCCTCCGCACCTCCAGCACCGCAAACGCCGTGAGATTGTCCGCAAACAGGGGCTCGTTCAAATGCGATTCGCAGCAGTCGTCGTACAGCCGCATCTCGGTGGCCAGCGGATTGGCCCACGGGTCGCGACCGCTCCGTACTTCAGAGGGGTCCAGTCCACCGTCTCCGTTGGCGCCGGCGGCCGCACCCATTTCCATCTGGTAGCGTTGTCGAAATCGGTGCAGGATGGCGCGACGCCTGGGGGCACCGGTTCAGGGCGGCTTTTGGGTTGTGTCATTTGAGTTGGTCGGGTCAGCCCCGGGACTACCGCAAGACGTTCAGTGGTAGCAGCGCCGCGGTGCTGTGCGGAATAGGGCATGCTGGGTGAAGCCGGCTCCGGCACTACATATCGGCGCTGCGGGCACCCGTATTTCCAGGCGCCATCCAATTCCGAAGCCTAGCTATCTTCCCCCGACCCTGCACGCCTCATTTCCGACCCGTTCCATACCATGTTGTCCCTTTTGTCCCGGCCCCGGAACACCCCTCACCTGTAAACACAGGGGATGGGCCCCACATGCATCATGAGCTGCGTCAGGAAGAACACATCCGCCATGAAGCTTGGGGAGCCCTCACCGCCCACCATGTCACCCTGCGGAGGAGGCCGCACAATTAAGTAGCGCAGGTTGGTGTAGGGAAGGTGGAGAAGGTCCAAGGTAGAAGGGGCTGCGGAAAGCGAGCCGGCCCGGGGCGAGTGCCGATTTGGCTGTGGGCTTCTCCCCTGCACAGGTCAATGTGCACCGTCACCCAGATCGACGCAAAGACCAGGTCTGGCCCCTCCCTGCCACTTACACAGGGCTCCTGAAACATCAGGAGGGAGCTCGTGAATGTGGTATAGAAGAGCTCAGGGAGCGGGTCTGCCGCGACCCTCGCGACCCGGCTATGCCCGCGCCAGCCCGCAATGGGCACGGAAGTCCAGACGTCCTGATGCGGTCAACACGAGCTGATGCACGGCGGCGGCACGCAGCAGTCAGATCCCCTAGCTCATCGCGTCAGCCCCACCCTACCGGCACTAGCAGCGGCGGCGCCGTGGTAGGCGGGTCGTCGTCCGCAGTAAATCCCCCGGACCCTCGTGAGCCTGCATCAAGAGCGGGAAAGGTAAAGGTAAAGGGCAAAACTTGACCACACAGGACCCTAACCCACGGGACCCCAATAACTCCGGCAACTCATCAGTCAACAGATACAATTGGTTTCATCCGCTCTTGAACACCCGAGCAAGGCAGGAACGTAGAACGTGCCGATGGGCGGTGCTGGAGCTGGCGCACCGGTGTGGTGACAGGCAATGAACGATCCTCTCCAGCCCGGGCGGGGTTCATCTTAGCGCCGTACTTTCCTGGTATATGCGCACCATAAGCCCAACATCTTCCCACCTTGAGCATTGTAGACCCCCGATAGGTCCCCCAGCCGGTGGCGCTGCGTGCGGTAGTACTCGGGGCGCAGGTGCTTGTCGAACAAGTCCGCGAAGCGAGGCAGTGGTTGGAGTGTGGAGCCGCCGGCAGCGGCGGCTGCCGTTGCCGCCAGCGGATCGGCTCCGTTCCTATAGAGGTCCAGCCAGCCGTTAACGAAGGGTTGCGCCAGACGCAGACAGCCGCCAGTCACATTGAGCAAGAAGCCGTCGCTGCCGCCTGTGTGGAACTATGGCATTGCCCCACGGATTACGTGGGTGCGGCAGAAGTGAGAAGACCTTGCACCCGCTACATGACACGCAAAAGACACACACCTGCAGGTGGTCTCCTGGGAATTCAAGAATTCTAACAGTTCTGGAGCCGGGCTATGCGTTTCCCGTCCTCTCAAACGAACGACAGCACCAGCCAACCTGATAGCCACCGCCAAGCCGGACCCACCCGCTAGGAAGTCCGCGACGTCCTGCTGGTTGCGCATCTCCTGCGCTTCCCCAAACGCCCGCCGCACCACATTCACACGGCCCACAGCAGCCACCCAGCTCAGGAGCGCCTCGCGACTCAGCCCGCCGTCCTGGTTAGGAAATGAGAATGCGAGGGGTCTTCAAGTACAAAATAACAGTTGGAAAGCTCAGGAGAAAAGAAGACGACCACACTACCCGTGCTGCGAGACCTTGACGCGAGGGAAAGAGGAGGAGCAGTGGAGAGCGACCTAGTAGCAGAGGGCAGTTGCTGCAGTGTCCATGCGATGGTCCAAGGTGGTTTCCCTAAGACTCGAAGGCAGGCATGGCGACATAGCGCATGCTGATGGGATTGCCACGCTGCGCCGATGAGGATGGCTGTCCAGGTGGCCCTCGTCCCTTCTCCTGTGCCTACCTTCACACGGCTAAGCCGCAGCATCAGGTGACCCGCACCATCCTGCGGCATATGCAAATATATCAGAGGAGCTCATTGTGCATCAGCAGGCGGGGAGAACCGGCAAACAAGCCACAGCTTCAGGACACGCTCAGCATGAAACCCAAGTACCCCAAAGATGCTTAGCCGCGGGCTGCGTAACAGCTACCGACAAAAGACAAGCTGTCCTCCCTAAGCCCGGACGCCACCCTGGACATGACAATTTGACTTGCGACTGCTACGTGTAAGTCAAATCACAAACTCACGCCCCACCCTGTAGCTGCCTGCAGAGTTGACCTGACCACAACGACTTCGACGTCACCGTATGCATATGAGGTGATGACGCTGGGAGAGACGAGGGGAACCCGAGATACGTTCGTCCACCTAGGCGCGCAGTCAACTCGGGTGAACCCGGCTCCATGCCCACCTGCACACGCGCCATCATGGCCTGCAATACCGTACGGCATGTCTGGCCAGCGGAGTAGTTCTTGGGGTAGCCCCGCGTTTCTAGGAAGGCTTGTCGTGCCGGGCTAGTCACCTTGTAAAAGTGGAGCGCATCCTGTGGGCCGAGAGGGGTTGAAGGGTGGCGCCTCGCAATTTTGGTTCCGGAGGCTACCTCAAACACCGGCGCTTCTGTCGCTGATGCGAAAAGCACACGCAGCAGAAACTGGGGAGGCTCTCACCCAAGCAAGCAAGGCCCCTTGCACCTGGGAAGGCAGAAGGACGAGAAGCGCAAGGTACTCCCACAAGCCGTCGCACCTGTGAGTTAGGCATGGGGCTGGCTCCGAACAGGGAAGCCAACACGCAAGACTGCTCAAGGGCCTTCGCCGCCTGGCCAGGGCGGGCGCGGGCTGCCGCCTCCACATCCTCCAACAGCATGGCTGACTGCGGCCGCCAACGCAGCACCATGAAGGATACGATATGGCATCAGAGAATGGACAATATGGCGATTCGCGGAGCTGGTACAGGTTCAGATACAAGCGCAGCATTCAGGACGGCATCTTTGAACCTTACAGATGCAAAGCATGGTTCTCCTCAAGCACCCCAGCTGTTAAATCAATCCACCCCCGAAAACGACAGGATCATGACTATTCCGCTGCCCTTCTGTCCCTCCTTCCCACAAATTACCTCGCGTCTAGGTGTGGCTGCCCGCCACAGCGGCACTGCGGCACTCGCCATAGCCCCTATGACACGCTGGACTCCAGCTGGGTTTAACTATCTTTGCTGCGTCCACGCGACCCCCGGCTCCGCGTTCCCCTCCAACCCTCCAACCGCCCGCCCACACCCCCATCCACCCACCAGGCACTGCTGCAGACGATGGGTGCTAGTGACACGGTCCAGGACCGCCAGCGGCCGCTCAAAGCCCGCCGCGTCCGTCAGCTTCGCAGCTGGAGCAAAGGCGGACCGAATGGCGTCCCGCATGAGCCGCCTCCACACTGCCGCCTCGCGCTCAGTGGCGGATGCATCCAGCAACGAGTCCAGGAAGACCTCACTCATGGTAGCACTGCCGCCGGCCTATGGACATGCGTAGGGAGGATACGAAGGAAACCTTGTTTGCAAGGATTTGCGGAACGTCAACTGCCCATGAAAACAGAGGGAAAGACCAGATATGGAAGTCATGTTGGTTGTTGCAGTTATTGCAGTGAGCTATCATTTAGGGGTTGCTGGACTTGCAGCTAGCTTGTGGGCACAGGTATGTCTGGTCTGCCGGTTCCAGGGCGGGCTGCCCAGGCTGCGAATGGCAGGGCGCACACAACGTCTGCACGCGGCACGGCGGCGGTGCGCCACTTGCAGAGGATCTTTGCAGGCATGGCAAGCTGGCCTCCAGGATGGCAACGGGAGGCTACCAGACGCGCGCATACACCAGGGCGTGGTGCCCCACAGGGTGCCCCGCAAGCCGCGCCCTGCGCCGGCGGTGCCGCAAGGGCTCTTTAACCATCGGCTCCTCGCCTAGCTATCGCAGTCACCGCGGCGGCAGCGAAACCCCAACCCCCCCACCAACGCATCCACGAATGCTGTCGTCTGGGCACCCGTGTCGAAGTACAGGTCGGCGCCATCGTCCCGCAGGAGTGCTATCGCCTCGCGGCATAGCACGCCCGAGAACAGCTCTAGGGCAGCCGCCACGCCACCAGCACCATCACCGGGCAGCGACGCGGGCGACGGCAGCGTGCCATGGACGCGGTGAATCGCCTGGCGGGGGGATAGGGTACCGGGGCCCCAGGACGATAGCGCCACAGACGGTAGGCGTGAAACAGGACGAAGGTTAAAACACATCCTCAACGCGCATTCTGAGAGGGCCAACGGGACGCAAAATATTTGTGCTTGTACTTGGGAAAGAAAAAATACCTTTCTACCAACGTACCCAAACCCCGAACCGAGTGCTCGTCAGTCCCAACCGCTCCATCTTCCGCTTCCTGACAACCTCCAGTGCTACGAGCGCCAAGCCACCCACGGCGACAGCGCCCGCGCCTCTACCCCGCGGCCCTTTCCCATGTATCGCCCTTCCTTACCAGCTGAAGCACGCGCAAACGCTTACACACCTGAAGCTTATCTTTAGGTGCCACCTTCCGTTGCAGCAGTGCCGACGCCAGCAAGCCCCTCAGGGATTCCGCGGTCACCTCCCGGCTGCCACTGCAGCGCAGGAAGGGGGTCATACCGGATAATGCAGCAGCAGTTAGATTTACATGGCAGAGATGCAGTTACGTTTCTTTCACACGCATGGGAAGCACGATGACGTGCGAGATGGAAGCAGCCTGCAGGCCACACGCCTAACATTTTGGGCTTAGCAAACGACCCAGGCTGGGGGACAGGGTCCCGCTCGGCCCGGTTAGGAGCAAGAACCTCTTGCACCCTAAAGCACGAGAGGAATGGAGGTTGGATCCGGCGGCTGTGGTTGCAACTCGTCTGTGGCTGCAACTTAACGAGTCGAGAGGTGCGCTGCTGGCTTCCTACAGCGCATCTCCCCAAGCCCAGCACCGCTCTGTCGGGCGTAGACCTACCCCGCTGTGGTCGCAGTCTTCAGGAAAAGGGTCCCAGCCGCTATCGCTGTGCTGTCCGCCACCACCTTGATCTGCAGTTCAACGAGTTGGCCAGGGCAAACAGCCGCCAGAACCAGCTGGGTCATGCAGGGAAATGTAACTTGTCCATACTAGCAAGCGCTGGGGAATTAGTACGCTCGTGGACAAATGAGATCTGGATCGGGTATTTCAAAGTTGCAGGTCCTTCGCAAGGAACGTCATCACCCGTGCTCCTGAACCAGGCCAGTCCCGTCAGGTATTTCCCCCCCCCCGGAAACACGCCACGTGTAAGATCTAGCCCAATTCATATTCCAGTCATCCACATGGCGCGGACCTGCAGTGCAGTTGCAAGGTGGCCCAGGAACGCCTGAAGCTGCTCTGGCCCCGCCAGCATCGCACTGCCTGCACTGAACGCCGCTGGCGCTTTGGCGGAGTTGTACCAGGCTTGGAGACGGGCCGCCCAGCCTGGGGGGGGTCCTGATGGCAGCGGCGGGCCGTTTCGCGCAGCCGCCGCACGACTGGCACCAGTGCTTGCTGTTGCACTGCCTGAAGCCGCCGCAGAGGCAGCGGTTTGCCCAAAGGGCGCGCCGCCTAGCGCTGCCATCGCCGCAGCGGCCAACGCTGCCGCAGCGTCCTGCGCTGGTTGTTGTTGCTGCTGCTGGAATTGCTGCTGGGGTGGTGGCATGTGACCCGCGAGGAATTGCTGCAGTAGAGAGGCCAAATCAACGCCACCCGCCGGCTGTGGGGCCAGTGGAGCTGGGGCGGGGGCTACTGGTGCTGGCGGTGCTGCTGCTGGAGGCGTCCCAGCGGCTGCAAGGGCGCAGCGTACGCAAGACCAGATGCGGACGCGAGGAAGTTACGGGCATGAAGCATGATGGAAGGAAAGGCCATCCTCTATGTGCTATTCGCGTAACGCTAGCCCTAGGATGAAGTTGGGCGGGTGGTTCACGTACCTATAAGTCCTTGGGATAGCAGCGCGGCTAAGTTGGACAAGTTAGAAAGAGGGACACCGTTTGCCGGGGCTTGGGCCAGCGGAGGGGCCGCTGCGGGGGCTGGGGCAGGAGGAGAAACCGCAGGGGCCGCTCCACCTGTCGGAGCATTTCCAAGATCTGACGCTGTCGTTTCCTGCGGAGAGCGGCCAGCGATGCACGCAGTCACATGGAGTGGACAAATACTTCCTTTGTCAGGCAATGTCCGAAAACCCATTCGACCAGGCAATGTGTAACATGGAAACTCCAATACAACTAGCAATAAAACACATCACGTGATGGGATTAATGGTTTTGTCACTGTACAATTAAGCCTCGATGCGTGCTGGGAGGAATGGCTAGAGCCTCGGGTGATCGTGAGAACGCACCTGAAGTGATAGTGCTAGCGCTAGCTGCAACTCCATATCCTCATCCGTAAAGTCGCCATCCTGTGCCGGGGGATCCATGACCCCGACAACAGTCTCCGGTCCCCGAGTTGCGCGTCGGAAGCACTAAAGTATCGGTCGCAGGGGTATCTTAGACCGGAACAAAAGACAAGTACTTCCAGATGGTAGCTTGTAAGCCATTGGTTAGGATTTCAGGAGCGCTCTCTGGACTTTTCGCGGGTTCGCGCCAACGGTCACACCTAACCACCTTGGACGTGCGGACGCTGCAATGAGCTTTTGCACGCATAATCCAGGGTGCCAAACTGCCAGGTTGCCAAACTGTGCCATACCAGGACCGGGGCCACCAGCCCTCCCGGATAGTGGTTACGCAGAACTCGAGAAGGTATAGCGTAGAAGCGGTTCACACCGCGCATGTTGAGGAAGCGTGCTTCATGGCTGGTAACTAGGCTGCAAGCACGGGGCTGGCCGGGACGAATTAACCTTGTTCCTATGAACCTCAAAGGTTCGTAAGTGCATCCCGCAGCCAACACGAGTCCAGAATAGGCCGCGCAAAGCCCGGGATAGACCTGTAAGCTTGGGTAGCTGGTACGGACTGCTATGCGAGGGCGTATGTGGCTTGGGCATGTGGTTTGCGCGACTTTGCGTGGTGCAAACGTGGTTTGAGACACGTGCGAGCGCTGGGGCTTTGCAGAAAGAAGCATAAACGCCCAAACTGGAGGAGAGTGATACGTACTGCAGCTTTGCATGATGCCGTGCAAACGCTTGCGGCAACAAGCAGCAAAACCGTTCCTGGTTGACTGGTAAACCTTAGGGTCCCGATCGCAACGCAACGCATGTCAACGGAGTGTCAACGGAGCGCTGCTGATCACGCAGCTTGGGAAGCAAGCTGCAGGATGAGCGATCCGGGCTCAACAGATGGGCCGAGTACCACTGCGAATATCTAATATACACTTCACAGCCCCGATTGACAACACTTAGACAATACGGCCTTTTGTATCAAGGTGATGCTCGCTAGTTAATCCTCAACACGTACCCATCACCAAAGTCGGCATGGCTTTGAACCCAACCCAACCATCTTTCACCGATGACATGCAATCATAACGGCCGTAGCATACTTCAGCAGGCGGCTGGCAGAGGTTAAGGCTTGACTTCTGCTCCCGGAGTGTCCGGGTTCAATTCTGCCTGTCACCCCCTCCATGTGCAAGGGGTGTTGATTTGGGAGGTGATCCCCTATCTTGTGGACGATGTAGGATGTGATCATATCAACCTGCGAGCTGACCAAGATCTAAGTTGTGCTGCCGTTGATCCGCTCGATTTGGTTGGATGCTGGTGGTGAGTTACTGAACCCAACGAATACACTCTGGAGTCGGATGGGGTGAATGGATTAGGGTGCCCCTCTCGCAGGGGAGAGCAGGGAACTGCCTCGGGAAAGGGCGCCGCTGGTGAAGCTACACCACCCTGTAACACCATACTTCAGCACCAGTACAGCAAGAGGGGTATGATTACATGAAGGGAAATAGAGATGGATGAAAGCTTGGTGCAGGAAGGCAGAGTGCAACTTGTGGAGGTGATGATGGTTGCGTCTGGGTGGCAAACAACCGGAGGCTCGAACGGCAGGCAGGCTGGAGCCAGGCGATGCCGAGTGACTGTTTGGTAGTTCGGAGAAACCGGGTTTGATAATGCAACGCGACGAATCAAATGATTAATAGCTAAAGTCAGACGTTTAAGCAGCAGCAAAGCGGGGAAATAGGGATTACACTTTTTTATGTCCTGCAGGTCATACTGAAGAACCGCGTGCTGAGGTAGTCTGACGAAGTATGAGTGTAGAGGTAGGCAAGTTATTGCGAAGGAACTGCCGTGGTGCGTGGAAGCAGGGCGCATGCATGCATGCATGTGTCGGACCACGGTACGGCAGCGGGCTCCAAGCTTCTACTTGGGTCGCACATGCGCATTGGTTCTTTAACTGCCGTTGTTTTGACTATTACCAAGAGGTGTGTCTCGCTGCTGGGGCAGTATCCTCTAGCTTTCCCCCCACCCACCCACGGGTCAGTATTTTTTACTTTATTGGCTTACTCTGACTACCCGTCTTTTTGTCGTACCCTCCTCCCCATACTCAGGGCAATCCCGGGAGTTGCCACAATGCAGCGGTTTTGTCGCAGCGGACCTCGTGTGGCTCTTCGGCCCTTGCCGGGGCCCTTGAGGTCCTAGGATTCGTTAACGGTGCAACACAGGTAACTGTCATCACTATCGGCCACTAGTGCAAATTTCACAATGGGTTGGTGTTGGGAGGGGTTTCGCAGCCGGGTTGCTTTGCTACCAAGCTGAGCTGGCGGCTTAGCTACTGTACCGCAACACGGCTGGACTGAGCAATAGGCATCTTTGACAACAACATGCTGGGATACAAGGTACTGCAAGGAATGGAGCGGTGTAAAGGGTGCCAGAAAGCCTCCAATGCAAGCTGCGCGAGTCCTCCCGCCAGTGGGCCTCACCCTAACACACGAGTTCATCTCTCACATGGGGCCCTGCACAATCGATTGGAATACGGTACCGCGCTTCACACCAATTTGACCCGCTCTTCGTTTGAATCGTTCCCCAGGATTCTCCACGTAAACTCTAGCCTTCTTTCTATCCACCTGCATCCTGGTTGACAACAAATGCGCAGAGACCTGAAGTCACTGCCGCCGCAGCTCAGTCCACAAATTCCTTCCTATCTCCCTTCCTTCCCCCCTCGCTCCTTTCATTTATCCCCTGGACCCTCCCCCCAAGTTCGTATTTTATTCGTCCTTTTACACCGGCACACCATCCAACGCGCCCTTTAATCCGTACCTGACCGACTGCGTGGGGGGCTGCGCAGCCTCAAGAGCAACGAGTCGTAACCGCTAAGGCTATAAATAGTTTTTGATTCATTCAGGATAATGCTTTTGGCGATACCCTTGAACAAGACCGCAGTTGTAGGGCTCATTGCTGGAACTCCAGTGAGATGATAGTTTCTGTGTAAGCATGTTACATATGTACAGTTCGCAAATAGAAAACATAGTGCCGGCTTAAGGGCCCTGCGCCGTACCTTGAGTGCCCGGACAACTATAACCATTTCGCGCTTTACCTTTCTCTCTCTTCACACCCGAGCTTAAAGCAGCGCAAAAATGGTGAGGCTAGCACGTATCGATTTAGCATTTTTTCTGCCGCCAGGACCGCAGACTTTTACATTTTCGGCTGGTTTAACAAGCTTTGACCCTCTCAAACAAAACATTGCATATGTAGGACGCCCCGGCTAAGCTCGCCATCGTCATGAAGGTTATTGGGCGCACTGGCTCGCGTGGCCAGGTGCGTCGGCGGTGGTGGCGCAACTAGCAGCAAATGAGCAGAGAGTCAGAATAAGTGTTTTCAATACTTATCAGTCGCTTTCTTTTAGGTATCCAACCATATTCAGCTCGGACTTACAACTAGACAATTGCTTCCAGGTGAATCAAGGCACTTTGTCCATTTCATGGTCCTTTCTGTCGTGCAGGTGACCCAGGTGCGCGTGAAGTTCCTGGACGATCAGAACCGTCTGATCATGCGCAACGTGAAGGGCCCCGTCCGTGAGGGTAAGCAGGGTTGTGTTTCAGGGGACCGACACCCGTTAGCAGGGGTTTCCGGAGAGTCTGCCGCTCGCCGCTGATATATTTCGACTCAGTGTACGTTGTTCCTTCTTTTAGGAACATCGTTCCTGCCTTGCTGGGATTTTGGCTTCCTTTACAAGGCCTGATCACTCAACCCTTGGGTTAAAGGCCTTGCCTTCGTCGATGGCCTCCTGCCTTCTCGACGCCTGCCCGACGGGCGTGTGAATTGAAACAACTGACACAACATGAATATTGGTGTGCTTTCGTTGTGCCTAATTCCCCACGTAACAGGCGATATCTTGACCCTACTGGAGTCTGAGCGTGAGGCCCGTCGTCTGCGGTAAAGCTCAACAGGCGCAGACTGCTTTGTTAGCTGCTGTTGGATGAGTGAAAGAGTGTAACCGTGGCGCTGCTCGTTTCCCGTTCCTACGGCACTTGGCAGCGGTTTGGCAAGGGTCTTTGACCGGCCAGCAGAGTACCGAATGTCCATGAAGTGCCAGAGCTTGCCAGGGGACCTGCAGCATGCTTGCAAAAGGCTCCGATATGTGCGTATCCCTGGTGGACTCCCGTGTACTCCACAGCGACCGCCCTCGCCAAAGAATTTGGATTTGCAGCGGAAACGGGCAGACGCGCTTTTGCATCTCGATGTCCGAGCAGACGTTCAGATTAGAGGGGGTGCAGGCGCCTGTGAGAGGGCAGCCAGATGGCGCGCTTTTCCAGGGAAGGATCACTTTTGAGGAGGGTGAATGGAATATATGTCGGCGAGGCGTCCTCCAGAAGAACCTCTCCATCAGCTGTAGCTGGGGCTCATTCAAACGTATCGATGGTTGCTCGTTTATGCCCTTCAATGACGAGGGTTTAATGTATGCAAAAAGCATCTGACGATGTGCAGCTGGGGTGAGCTGAGGAGTAGGTATGATTAAATGACAGCCGGGTCACCGGTTTTCCAGGATTGCCCAGAAAGCGAACGAAACAACATAGGCGGCCAAGGTAAAGGTCTCAGGGGGGAAAGCTAGGCTGGCAACCCTGTTAGTCACCCATCATCGTGAAGATTGCCCCGCGGATGGACTGAAGGCTTGGCCAGGCATGAACAGCTCAGCTCTTACTCCCAGGGGGTTAACCCATTTCACGCATAGCAACCGTCTCCAAAGCCAGGATAAAGGTGACTGTAGAGTATCCGTTTACGGATACGTCCCAGCTATGCCTCACTCCTATGTACTGAAACCGTACAAAACCAGCCCAGCACACAATGGCACAAGTCGGTTGTTACAATGAGCGCCATTTTTGCTAAAACTTTTATGTGACATCTGTGGCACTTCCTATTCGTGGTTTAGGTTTATTGAAATACAAGTCGGTCGCACATAATCCGCAGGACCGGGGGATAGAGCCCCACCGAGTCCCATCCTCGAGCGAGCCTCTCTCGTAGGTGCCGCCATACATCGCACGCCTTCGTAATGGCGTCAATGTCTGATAATACCACTACTTCCCAGACGACATGTTCCAACCCTCCTGGTGGCCAGCCACGGGCACCCACTCCTAATTGATGTTTGGCAACCGCCTGCGCCACGCCGCAACTCCAGAAATGGTGTTGCGCCGATAATCATAACGGTACTCACCCGGAATTCGCCCGCACCCACCTCGGTCATTTATCGCATCGCGCATGTAAAGATGTAAGAGATTAACATCAACCGAAAGAGGCACATACTGATGTTGTTTTCTGCCCAGCGCTCGAAAGGTAGGATACCTTCTGCTGTCCTAAACCAAGCACAAGTTGAAAAAAATTGGCATCGGCACGCAGTGACAAAGATATTATGGCCTGGACTGCTCTTTTGGACTGCTCTTTTGTGCTTCTGGTTAAGAGGAAAAACGAAAAGGAAAGATTTTTTTCAGAGTGTGTTTTATGCGGACTGGCGATGTAAGGGTTGGGGGCCGCCGTTAGCCACCAGTGTCTTGTCCACACAGCTATTCGTCTGCGGCTTCCCAAACAATACTGGGCATGTTTGCTCGAAGCAAGTCGCGGCGAAGTGACAATGGTTATAGCAAGCCTTAGCCCCAAACAAGGACGACCAGGGATGACCCATGGTCCACGACATCTGAGCATTGATAGGCGCAGTAATGCAACCATAATCGTTTTCTATTTCATCTGCAATCCAGGCTTACAGTTGCAGAAGCTGCGCTATTGCCTTGCTGACGAATAGTGTACTTGGCTTACTAGGCACCATAAATGAAGATAGGATTTACATATGTAAGTAAGGAATCCCTTGGATCTGGAGGTTTGAGGACTGGAATCTTGGGCAAGCTCCTGGTTTTGCCCAATCTTTCATCTGGGTTGGACGATTGTGACCACACAGCAGCAACTGAACTCACGAAGTACACTTACATACATCAATAGATATAATTGAGCCGTGTATTGCATAGTAAATTAGACGCAAAGATGGCACTTCTGCAGAGGCAAGCCGTTCGGGGGAGCGCTTTCGGTACAGCGAAGGCTTCGCGCCCGGTTGTGCGCACACCGAGGAGCCGTGCACCGGCTGTTTCTGTTCGGGCCGATGGTCAGCAAGTCCAGGCAAGCTTTGCTTTTCCGCGTGCAATTCATCCTTATCCTTGCAGATATACGGTTGCCGGCTTCATGACCCTTATTTTTCCCAATAACACTATTTTTTTAAAAGGTCGAGATCGATAAGCCGCTGGGCCTGCAGCTAGAGCAATCGAATGCGCCGGGTGGTGGCCTCGTAGTTAAGGTGCGAGCCATGCCTGTTTGTTCCCGTCAGGGAAAGCTACGTCGAATTACTTCACCATGTTTTTGATTGTTGTGGCCTGCAGTCCGCTCGCGGCAATGCTGCGAAAGCTGGGATCAAGGCCGGTGACACAATCATTTACACCTCGAGTTTCTTCGGCGACGAGCTCTGGCCGGCTGACAAGCTGAGCTTCACCAACAATGCCGTAACGAACTGCCCATCACCTGTGACGTTCATCTACGTAAGCGTCAACCGTAAGGGTGTGGTTGAGGGACTCCAAGGGTTGCGGGCAGGCAGGGTAACGTTGGCTGATAGGCATTCTTCTGCCAAGCCTAGCCCAAAGCCTTCACTGTTCGAGTACCCTTAGCTGAACTCTGATGTCCTGAACCTCGTTGTCAAGTTTATCACTGGAGGGGTGAGGGCTGGCTTGTCCTGGTTGTCCTAGTTGTGACGCGGCAACCGCCTGATGGCAGAACTTCATTGCACGTGACGCGTGTTACAGGTCCCCGGTGAGAACACCAAGATCAATGTGAAGCGCCTTCCCAAGCGCCCTGCGCCCGCGCGCTTCGGCCGCAAGCTAACGGATGCGGAACGGGCCCTGGCCACGCACATTTGCGTGGACTGTGGCTACATCTACTGCGACAAGTAAGTGCAGCAACCGGATTAGCACCAGCTTACGAACAGCTTAGTTTTCAGGGATGCGTTGTGGCTGTGAGCCATGCAACCGCGGGGTATCGGGTGTGCCAGGGCCGCTACAGAGAAGTGGCTTAGCCAAGGTGTTTCGTTCGAATGTAGGGAGATAACTGGACGGCTTTCAGGGGTTTGTATTAGGGGGTTCTCGGGCATTACAGGGCTCACAACAGGAAGGGGCACGCAATCAAAATGCACATTGCGAGAGAGGGATATCGTATCTGGTCTGCAATTAGGCAATAATACAATAGCCAGTAAGTATCAGTGCCTCTGGGCCTTCCAAGGGGCCTGCGTGGGCTTCATGGCTGGCGTGGGTGGCACAGCAATTGCGGCGGGTTACCTCGCGTGTCTATGATTAGGCTTGTGAATTAGCTTAAAGTCTGAAATAGTCCTCCAGCTTGAGAATTTTTTGGCAGCAGCAAGATATGGACTCCAGTAGTACTGTGCTGACGGGGCTCGTATGCGGCTAAAAGGCAAGATGTTTCCACGGGGCAAGCGAACGTTGCCTTACCGAGCTGCTGGTTTTGCTCAGCAGTGAAGCATGTATGGCGCCGCACTGGGAGCGGTATTGGCGATTGGGGCTGCTGCGTCTGCAGTCTAGTGACGGGGCTCTGCCGGCTCGACTAGGGCGATCAAATGAGGTTGATGGACCAGAGCGGGGCTGGATAGCGCCTGAACTGGATTTTTGGGAGCTGTCAGTGGGTAATGCAGAAGTTGCTCGAAATGAGCATGTACGCATTGTGTTGTCCTGGCGGCCCCGCAGGGTGCCCTTCGAGGAGACCCCAGCCAACTACCGGTGCCCGCAGTGCAACGCGCCCAAGCGCCGCTTTGTCGAGTACGACGCCGATTCGGGCAAGGTAAGCCGAATTCATCTGGAGCCAAAGGCTTATGGGAGCCCAAGGCCCAGGGAATTTGCGACACGTCCCAAATTGCTGCTTTGTGGGGAACGACGGTAGATGAGGTGAATGGGTCATAACCCAAATGAGTCAAAATAGATAGCCATCATCTATCCTTGTTTTAATGTTCGGCAAGGACCATAGCCGGCATGATTTAACCTAGTACTCCACCGGATGGAAGTTTTTCCAACATTCCAACGCACAATCTCCTTTCTGGTTCCGGTTTTACTCCAAATTGCTCTTGCAGACCACGGGCATTGCTGAGGGCACAGTCGGCACCATCGCTACCGTCATCGGTGGCCTGCTTGGCATTGGCGTGCTTGCCTACCTTGGCACCAACATCTAAGCGTCTTCTGCCTGCCATGCTAGCTACAGGCATACCATTCGGGAACGGATGTACCGCTTCGAATGATTTTTAAATGGCTGTGGGCTCTCGTATGGCTGTGGTGGATGGGAGGCTGTGTGCTAAGTATTCCCGGCCTGATCAAAGCTTGGGGCTCAGGAAGCTTGCGTCGGCATCTGAGCTGAAACTATAAACATTCTTACGAATGTTTATAAACACTCTTACGAATGTGGATAATTCCATTAAGGAGGGGATTTCTGGGCTGTGACGTGTGAGGCTACGTTCAAAGCTGCGGCAGGGCATAACCGATAGCTTTACAAACACCTGTAACTTCAAGCCCAAACTGGTCGTCATCCCCCATGTGTGGCAACTTGAAATGCTGACTTGAAATGAAACATTTATGTTAAAGCGGAAATCCGGTGTGTGGATAGCTCAAAAAGAAAGTCTCTGAGCGCGGATGGCCCTCGGGAACATCCTGCACATTAGCTGTTCGTGGTTAGTTCTGCATACAACTGTCAAGCGGCAGTAATTTAAATTGGTTTGCCAAATCGCATTATGCTGGAATCATCCGTGTTCACTTCCGAAGTCTTCCGAGGACGTTCTCAGAAACCATTGCTCCTGCAATCTTCGTCAGTAGGACCGTTCTGCGTTAAGAAGATGATCAGGAATATTCGTCATTGACCTGGAAGTGCTATTGATTTGGAATTTAAGCTGTACGAAGGCTCACTAATGCCGATAGCACAAACCACACAGTCACCACCGTCGTGACTGAAACTCATCAACATATTTACATTTCTGATCAAGTTGTCATACTTCATCTTGCAGATAGCGCCATGCAAGCTAGCACGTCATTACGGTGTAACCTAGGCCTACGAGGGCGATTCCTACTCGGCGTCTGTGCCGCTGGGGGAAGTCGAACAAGAGGAAGCAATCAGAACGCCAGTGGAGGTGGTAGCAGCGGCGACGCCGCCGCTGCACGGTCGAGCCTCCGCGACGGACGAAACAGTAGCACCAGCAGCAACAACAGGAGTCCAAGCAGCCGCAACAACGTTCGCGATAACATTAGAAGCCCTGGCGGACGTGATGGCACCAGCCGCAATATGGGGTCCAGGGGACGTGGCCGCGGGCAGGGCAAGGCCTGGCGCACGGGCCGCCGGACACGGCGATCCAACGACGACGAGGATGAGGATGCTGACGGTAACGCGGCTGTAGACGATGGCTTCATTATTATCGGCCGCGCGGAGCGTCCCGCGTCAGCGCAAGAGCAGGTGCACACAGCTGCCTTAATTCAAGGGTAATGCAGCGCATTCCTGTTATTATCTCACGCCTATTGCCGCACCAACCACGTTTCCACTTACACTGACGCAGGGCGCCATGGCGGCAATGTCACTCATGACCTCCTCCCCCTCCTCGAGCAGCACTCAGTCGGGCGACACAGCGGCTCTCGACCCGCTCGACGGCTCCAGGTTCTGGATTGAGGCAAGCGGCATCGACGACCTGGACGACGACGAGGAGGAGGAGGAGGAGGAAGAGGCGGAGGAAAGGGAAGGGGAGATCGGCGGGGATGACGACAATGACGGGCCGTCGGTGAGTTCCGGGCCCAGCTGGTCGCCACTGCAGCAGACCCTGCTGGCAGTGCCGACGTGCAGGTGCTGCCAGTTCGCCTGCCTGAGGTGTCTGAGGTGTAGAACCTGAACCTTGCTGTACAAGGGGACCTCGAGTGACCACTGTGTGAGGCAATTTGAGATGCACATCGCTGTTGGTTCAACAGCTCGCTCGCTTGTAGGACCCTTTCTGTTGCTCTGTTCCGCCCACACCTGGCTTGCACACATCAAGTCGCAGCTACCTATTGATCTCAAAAATGGGCTTCATCACCGGAGAGAACAAACCCCGTGGTGTCGGCTTTTTCCACACACATGTGAGCACTTCGCCCAACACGACGCTGTGGGCCCTCAGAGCCCCGAGGAGCTGCTGGAGAACATGCAGCGCCAGGGCTTCTCATTGAGGGGCGAGGAGGAGGAGGAGACATCGCAGCCCGCGGCGGGCAGTGGCGGAGGCTCTACCACCACTGCCACAATCACTGCCACAACCACCGGCAGGGCAGCTCCTGCAGTCGCTGCGCACGACACAGCAGCGCCGGCGGACCTTCTGGGCCAGCCGCGCGCCGCCGCCTCTCCCGACGCTGCCGCGGCCATGGCCCTTCGTGATCTGCGGGATACCTTCATTGCCACCTCGAAACCGCCCGTTTTGCCGCCGTGGTTCTTGGGCCCCGTGGAGGTTGGGGGGAACCCAGCCGGCAAGAGGCCAAAGGGTGGCGGCGCCACCGCTGCTACAGCTGCCGTTGGCCCACGGGGCCGCGGCGGCGCCCTGCGGACCACCCAGGCTGTAGCTCCAGGGGAGCTTCTCGCGGTGTCGCTACCGTTAGCCATCTGCTACTGCCGCCAGGGTACGACACCAGAGAATGAAGACCTGGCGGACGCCATGCTATCGGTTGCTGCCGGCAAAGGAGCTGACGGACGCGGCGGAGAAGTCAGCACGGCAGGAGCGCCCGCAATGGAGTCCTTAGGCCTCAACCCTGCATCCAAGTTGCCTAGTGCGCACAGGAACCGGACCCTTGCTATTACCTGCAGCTTCAGTGGCCTCACCGACCTTCAGCAGAGCCTTCTTGGCTGCCTTTGGCGCGGCCATGATGTACCCGGCACGTCAGACAAAGTGCTACGGCTACAGCCCACAGAGGAGGATATAGACACGTCAGACACAGCGGCAATAGCCGTCGCAAGCGTACTGAGCGCCAGGCCCGGTGGCGGCAGTAGCGCAGGCACAACCACTGTCGGACCTGTGCGGAGGCCGCTGCTGGAGATGGTGGCCAGGTCGGCAGCGGATGGCTCCTTGCCGAGGTCGCCGCCGCTGCTTTCGGCTCCGGAACTTTACCGGCTGGTTAACCTGAACTGCCTGGGCGAGGACTTCCAGGCGAGCACTGAATAGCGTGTAGGGTGCCGGAGGGCTGACCCGCGGGTCACAGATGGCGGTGAATTCATTGACCGGCGTGCTGGCTTGCGCCATCTCCCACGTGAGACCGTTATCCAGCGACTGGCTGGCTGACTGATTGACTCATGGATCCACCGACCCACGGGTCTGTCCCCAGGACTTGGCGTTGTGTGAACTGCGCGGTGAGCTGCCGCGGGGCCACATCGCGCTGTGGCCTGAGGCGGCCTTCACCGGCCACTCCTGTTCACCCAACGCTACGGCCTACACGGTTGGGGACCGGCTGGTGGTGCGCGCTTCGACTGAAATACCCAAAGGTAGAGCTGTTCAGGCAGGGCAGCTTCCATGTACAAACGGGGTGATTCATAAACGAATAGAGGGCCGGGATATGTGGACCCTATCAACATCTCCAAAGAAGGTCAGCTATTTCTACCCTAATGCTATTCATTACTGGATCACGTGTCACGCCTCGCCGCTCAAGTTGTGTGAAGACTGCTGATTCCAGTGGGCGTGGTGTTAGGGCATGTGGAAAGGCTCGCTATCACTCGTCGCATTGCTCCGCCCGCGTGTGGGCCCCTCCGTATCCGCTTGCGTTGCAGGGGCCGAGGTGAGCCTCAACTGGCTGGGGTCCCTGGTAACGGCCCCGTCCGAGGTCCGGACGCGGGAGCTGCGTCAACAGTACGGCTTTACGTGTGGCTGTGTACGGTGTACGGCAGAGGCCAGGTACTATGCGGTGTTGAAGGCCTGGACAGAGCTGTGCGTGATCTGTATTTCTTCGCGCCGGAGCCCTCAGTCGTTCGCTCGTGTTGTGTCCTGGGCGTATCGCGGTATTTGATATCCGCCGATTGGTACTTTTCCGTAGCCGTGACACAAAAGCCCGCCAGCCCCAGCTGTGTGGTGGTCAGCCCTTCTGTCGGGAGGGCGACGGGGGGCTGGGGGCTTGTAGAGCTTCCGGGTTGAAGTGGAGGACGACCTCCTAAAACCTGCTGAGAGCAGGCACACGTATTATAGCTGCATTCCCCTTCCTCCCACTGCTCCTCTCCCCGGGGGACCCAGGTACTCCGGCACGCCGCTGGCTGCACTGCTTGAGACCACGTATGCCACGTGTCAGGAGCTGTCCCCGGCTCTAGACCGGGCAATAGCTGCTGGGGATATGGCCGAGGTGGAGGCGACATACAGCCGGCTGCAGGGGATGCAGGCGGAGGTGGAGACGGCGATACGGACCGCCAGTCCCAAAGTCAACTCCAAGACCCGGCGCTGGCTGCAGGTCGTCTAAGTTGTTAGCCGCGCGTGTGTCTGCTTGTTTCAGGTTTTTCAAAGGGCTTTGCACCAGATCACGTTTTTAGGTGGCACACGGTCAACAGAGACCGGGCAAGAGTGGTTGCTGGTTGTACGGGTCGGGCGCACCCATAAGGAGGGCATGAGGCGATACTCTGGTGCGAGGTGTCTGCGCGTGTTGGGCAAATTGTGGAGGGGCGTAGGTAGATGCAATATGCGTTCGTTGCGAGGATAGGCGGGATGCAAGTCACCCATTAGTGGCAGTGGCTGTCCACATCTGGCATCTAAGGCACTGTGCGTCCATAAGGATTGCGCATTACAAGTACTGCAGTTCCTTCCAAAGAACCCTCTCCCGCGTTTCCTGTTGCAGGCATGCGTATACGACATGTACGACATGATAAGCCTTTGTGCCGACGAGCTCGCCGCTGCGGCGGCTTTGAGCAAGCTGATGGTACGCTTGTAATTGAGGTTCAGGGTTCTCTCGAATACTGCACCGCGGGTGTTTGGTTGGAAGGGCGGAAGGGAGGAGGAGTGGAGCGGAGGATCTGGGCGTGACGCAAGGCTCAGGGGCATTTGCGTGCGGAGGACCATATACAGTATTATGGTAACCGTGTCCTAATGAATTCAGCAGTGAAGCATTGCCTCCGAGCCGAGCTCCGAGCCGTAGTACATTCACCATCTCGCCAATGCCGTCGCACTACTGAAGCCAAGCTCAGGCTGCCTGCTAATGCCCACAGAGTCCTCCCCACGTGATCCTCGTCCATTTCCGCACTCCTTTGCAGGCGGAGATGCCGGGAAAGGATACGGTCACGAGTGGTCTCGAGGGGGCGCCAGGACAGTTAGGCGGTCGGGGGCCCAGGGCCGGCACCCGGCACTCACACCCGCACCCGCGGCCGCCAGTAGACCCAGTGGAAACCGAGTCTCTGGCCCAGTGTGCCCGCATCCTCGACGGGGTCTCGCCAGGCAGTGACGGCCACGTGTACCTGGCAGCGGAGCTGGCAATGCGCTCGCTGCAGCTTTTCGGACCACAGCACGAGGAGTACCGCCAGGCGCGGGCGGCACTCGTACGCGCGTACGGCATTCGGTACGGCAACGTGGGCCCTGAGGTGATGGAGTTGCTGGTGGCGGCGCGGCTGGCGGCGGAGGCGCGGGAGGAGGAAGGGGAGGAGATGGGGGAAGAGGGGCCGGCCGGGAAGTAGGATGCTGCGTGAGCCAAAGGGGGGAAAGAAGGACGCTGCGGGAGCCGGGACACTGGAGGTGTTGATTATAGGCTGTGCTGGCTTGGCCGCTCTGACAGCTGGGTCGCCGACGTTTCAAGGGCGACTGCAACAACGACGAATGGCGGTTTGAGACATCCATCCAGCTCTCGGACGGTTTCACCCCTGTACCCTTAACCAACATATGACCAATTTTCCAACCCAACCTTTTGAACAATACGTTTCCATGCTTCCTCCGGCGGAGGCATAGCATTGTTCCCCTCATGCATCCCTGCCGCAATAGCTCATAAGGGAGGCAAGCGATTGATGAGTTGTGATATGCGAACTACTGCTAACTCCATACTGTAAGAAGCCGGAAGGGGGTACCGGGGCGCTTTATCTAAAGCATACCGTCCGCGACACCTGGCATCGAATACATATAGTCACGCTCCAACACGGGACGCATTATACCGGCACATTATGCAACATGGCCCGCACCTAGCGCTTATACAGTCGTGACACATGATGATAGTTTGCAACGAGGATATTCGTTCAAGCAAGGTTAATGGGCATGTTTGTGCAGGCAAACAGTCGCGTCTCGAACCAGTACCAACGTCCACAACCAAGAATGGAAATATTGCGGCCCAATAGCTTTTGGTCTAAAGCCCGTAATGACATATTTCAGTACAGATTAATTGTAATTCATTGTCGCTTTTAACGGTGGTCTCAGCCGTATACTTGCAACACGCGTCGTTCAAAAGCACACCCTGCAGGAACGGGCACATTCAGCCATTTTTCATGCTTCCTTACTTTCTTAGACATGTTGTCAAATTATGTCAGCCTCCATGACCGGCATCACGGCCCGACCGATATCCGCTGCATGACAGGCATGCGTGCAAGCAGGGAGGCCCTGCCTGGCAGCGCCGTACATGCTTGCTACATGAGAGGGAACCGGTTGCCCACTGCTGCATGCTAACTTCTCCTGAAGCTATGTGGCACGTTCCTGAGCCACAGTGAATGTTTGCCGGGGGTATTCAAACTATGCATGCACAATAAATTGAGCGCGAAAGCTCTCGCCTTAATCGTCCTATTATTTCTATCAAAAGGTTAGTTATCTCATTATTTATAATACTTGGAGGCCCTTAAGCTGCTTATTACCGGAACAGTATATATAGTTCGCAACCAGGTGCATAAGCTCTACGTTCACACAAGAGCTGTGGTATTAAACTTCAGGAATAAGCGGTGACGCCAATCCATGCGTGCAATGTAAGACACGTGCCTGCCTCCCGATTGGGTGTCTGAGTCGACACAGGGTCCCGTTATATCGTCTGCGCCTTGTCGTTTTAAATACCGGTGAGATACATCGGGCTTTGGCCTGTGATCTTGTTGGGAATGGCTTTTATGTGTCAGCGTCGAGTTCGTTACGGGCCCATCAGTACCCCGGCTTTTGCCGAACGGGTGAACGAACTCGCAGCGCGGCTTAATTTGCGAAGGCAGTCCAAAAGTCGGGGTGCGCTCAAATCAAGCGGCTTTTCCCGTTGTTTGCTGCCCGTTGGTTTTAATTGCTGACTACCTTTCGGGAATGGTGCTCAAACTCCTATTTACAACGGTGCAAGTCAGCAGTGGTTGTCTGCGCGACGTCATTCCCTCGGTTTAACTGAGCAACACCTGTATCGTGCACTGTGTGCAGGATATGTGCCAGCCGCACGTAGAGTTGCGGAGAGAACCGGCCGACCTGCTGACCCCTTTTACAAAGGTAGGAGAAGCTAGGGCTGTCGGATTTCATGCCCAGCCCCGGCCCTATCCATCTTTTCCGCCAAGGACGGACACGCAATCGTAAGCCCAACCCGGCATATGCATGGATATGGCATATGCACATGCATGAATCGCCATGGGGGTCATCCAGGTGCTGTCCAACATGCTTCTGCAAGCGTGGCTTTACCCTGCCCGGGTTAATACATATAATGCATAATACACGTACGTAATTGATGTGTGTGCATGACTTGTCTGGTGCTATGTGCGCCAGGTTAACCGGCAGACAAGCATCTGCGAGTCCTCTTTAGACGGGGAGCTCGATGAGCGGTGTGCGATTGAGGACAGCTCCTTTGCGGATGCATCATCATTTGGTGATGTCAGCGAAGTGGGTTCGCGGGAATTCATTGCCGAGGTAGGTACTTCGGAGAAGGGACTAGGACGAGAGGGTTATGGTCAGCACAAGGGAACGAGAGGAGGGAAGGGGAGAAGCAAAGATCGACTAGAAAAACTATGAAGCGTCCAACGGGCAAGGGGCACCGCAAGCCCATCACTAATATTCCTGTTGGAACACTTGTTATCGTTTATGTGAATATGTTCTGCAGTTCCCTTCGGTTGTGAAGCATTTTCATCGGCGACTTGCCCCCTGTACCCCGTTCCTTTGAGACACGGCTTGTCACGGCATTGGATGCGTTCAAGTTCACTTATAGGCAGCTCCGAAATGCGTCGGCTTCTTTACATTCCCTGACTCGTCAGGGAATGCTCGTCAGGGAATCACGAGCACCCACCACTCCCACCTTTGTCCTGTTGTATCAGTATTTGTCCACACGGGGCTTAGAAAGCTGCAAGCCATCTCGGCTCCTAGGCACCGGTGCGACGTGCCGAGTGGAGCTGGTACATGTAGCGCTACCAGAGGGTGGCCCCGCACTGCCGGCAGCGCGCAAGACCATGCCCCGCAGCCGCGACCCGCACATGCGCGCCCGGGAAGATGCTGTATTCGCCCGAGAGGTGGAGGGGCTACGTGCCGGGGCAGGTTGCCCGTTTGTGGTGCGGCTACTGGGTACTGCCACGCACCCTGACCGTCAGGAGCTGCTCATGGAGCTGGCGGCCGGGAGCACGCTGGAGCACGAGCTGGTGCGGCCGGGGGAGCCATGGGGTTGGGCGCGGTGCGGGTGCGCCATGGGGATCTTCAACACCTGCAGTCATACTATATTCGTTGACGTGCATGGCTTTCCTTTGGCTCTCGTTGAGATGAGTCTTTTGCGAGCTGCAGCTGTGAAGGGCGCAACGGGAGGCGCTGTCTGGGCAACACCAGGATGCGTTGGGATTGGCACCTTGGGTGAACTGTGCTCGACGACACGCGCGACGATGGGGATGTTGGTCGGCTGTAATGTACAGCTCGATGTGTTTGAACTTGGCGGATGTGCGTGCGTATGGACCTCATCGGCATGTACTTTTAAATGTGAGCCATGGCGCCCCTCATGACAGCTCGCATTGGCCGCAGGGGCTCTTCCGCAGCGTTTCATGTCCTGCTTTTCCCATTGACTGTTCATCTTACGACTCCCTCCTCTGCAGACCGATGCTTTAAGTGAGGTCCGCGGGGCGCTGTCGCAGCCGCTGCTGCCCCCTTACCGCATCGCCCAGGTGGCCGTGTCTGTGCTCACAGCCCTGGAAGCCCTGCACGGCCAGGGCTATGCACACCTGGACATCAAGCCCTCTAACTTGCTGCGAACATCGGAAGGCCGCTTGATGGTGGGTGATGCAGGCTGCATGCAGCGGGTGGCAGCCGATGGCATGCTGCACCTGCCTGCCTCGGGCACGCCCCTCTTTGCGGCACCGGAAACGAAGCGCAAGGGCGCCTTCAGTGTCAAGGCGGACTTGTACTCTGTGGGCGTCCTGCTGACGGTGTGTGCCGCGTGGCACCGACAAACGGGTCGCGTTCTGGGCTTCTTGCGCGGTGAGGCGGCGCTACCGGATTTCCTGCCGGATGAGCTCAAGGACCTCGTGGTGCGGCTCGTGGCTGTGGATCCGGAGCAGCGGCTCAGTGCGGAGGAGGCATTGCGGCACCCCTTTCTGGCTGCAGTGGATGCGGGCCCGCTGCTGCCGGTCCGCGTTGACGGGACGGTCCCGCGGTAGGGAGGCCCGCGGAGGGAGGGGGTTAATCCGCTGCGTGCGTCGGGGGACGCCCTTGCTATCAGTAGCTGCTTTTCGTGATTCCCAAAATAAGCTTAAGAGTGCCCAGCGGGTGTGCGGACGAAACGAATAAGGCTGGGTACCAGTTTGCAGACCGAGAGGGGCCTATCTATATTTGCCTATGGGCCCGGGACTGTCTTTGCCATTGCGGTGCACATCGCGTGCGCATCATGGAGCGTTGCATGCATGGGAGGTAACAGGAAAAACCCGCATCGTGACTTGGATAATTAAACAAACGGAAAACGGCAGAGCGAACACTTTGCAAGGTCAGAAGTAATGCGCGCGTTGTTTCAGTATTACCCGATGATGCCTGACTTGGAGGGGAGGTCACGTGGCGATGCGCGCGGGCGGCAGCAGGGGCATGGCGTGGATGGCTGCATTCGCCACAAGTGCATGGTGCATGGCGGAGCTACATGGTTTTGCATATATTTAACTTCATCACCGGCAGAATGGGACAGCACCAGAGCAGATGTGCGGATTGGTGATATTCATTAATTTATAGGCCTTTGTCGGTGGTACCCAATTTTTCTTGTCCTTATAGCAGCGGGTGAACGCTTTGCTGCTACTACTCGTGTTTCGGTTTTGCGAGTTTCGCGCTGTGCCGTGGACGTTGCTCTTGTGTATGACACTCGGCCTGAAGGACAGTGTTCCAGTAGCGCGAGATGATGTTGACTCTGTGGGCGTAGTCTGGTGTTTTGGATTCGACGCCAGTGGGAAGCATGATGAAGACATGTCTTAACGGCTTTCGTTGTTGAATAACAACCGGTGGTTACGGCGGATCCATGCGGCCGGTTATGGACTGGACGCCGCACATCCTGTGCCAACCATAAGGCTCATGTTCTCAGGGCTTTTGCCAGAAGTAGAAAGGTGCAAAACAACTGTAAACGGATGATTGTCTACCCTACTGACTGGAATGCATGGTGCTTCTAGCATCTTGTCAAGCCATGTTCTTCGTCATCGGCAAACCCTGGAGGTGCACGGTTGGATTAGGGTGTGCATAAGATCCGGTGGATCCAGTTCAACCTGGCCATGAGTTTTGCCTACCGAAAAATAGTTTACCGAGAAATGCCCAGTCTCCGACGTCTTGTGGGGGCCAAAACACGGCCCGTGGGACTTTCCTCGCGCCCAATATATAAAGATGACTGCGATAGTAAAGGATCTTTCGCTTTGTACATTCGTTTAAAATCTAATAAACGGACTGAAGCCTCATTTTCATCTGCTTTTCGCATACTTTACGTGAGGTAAAGGGACTAGTAACTGGACAGCTTTCATTCAATCACTGTAATTGAGCATGGATATATTGATTTCACTGCTAACAGTGCATTATAAGCAATTGCGCTGAGAATCCGAACAAGAATTGGTTGCTGTACGGCACTTCGCGTTGAAGATAAGGGACAATTATCTGCACAGAATGAGTCGCACTGACCGGTCACCTTCAAAATGGCCGCCATCGCACAGCGTACCGTCACCCAGGCCGGCGTTGCCACCAAGGCCAGCCGCAAGGAGGTGGTGGCAGTCCGCGCGGTCGCTCAACCTCGCCAGGTGCGCTGAGTGGCTTGTCGGTTGCCCTTCCCTCTGGCTCAGTTATTCTTGCTTCTTGCTTTACAGGGCTCCGTTGCTGGTGCTTTTACTTCGTCGCCCTCGGCTGTTGCTGCTCGCCGCTCGGTGGTGGCTAAGGTAGGCCGTTGTGGGACGCTGCCTGCATCATTGCCTATTAACAGCTGCCTGTCTGCAGGCTGCTGCCGCTGTCGAGGCGCCTGCTAAGCCTGTGACCAAGAGCAGCCAGTATGAGCTCTTCACTCTCACAACCTGGCTGCTGAAGGTGCGCATTTTGACAGTTTTGACAAGGTGTATTCTACAGTGAAGCTGCCGTGGGACCCAATATGTCCTAAAGTGGTGGAGTTAATGGTAATTGAGGCGTGGGCCAGCATTGTCTAGTTGATTGATTATAACGTGCAACTGACTGCGCAATTCCATTGTACTTTGCAGGAGGAGATGAAGGGCACGATCGATGGCGAGCTGGCAACCGTTATCTCGTCGGTCGCGCTTGCCTGCAAGCAGATTTCCTCGCTGGTGAACCGCGCTGGCATTTCCAATCTGACCGGTGTTGCCGGCAATCAGAACGTCCAGGCAAGTGCTGGCAAGGGTGCGCGCGGCGGGGTCCCCAGAAAAATGCTTGTTAATCTACAAAGCTCTGTCTGGCACTTCATAGCTTCCACATCCCCTGGGGCCGAACGGCTCATTACTCGCGATTGACGTTACACGCGCGGGCAATTAGGGTAACAATTAGCCCTGAGATCCTGCGTTTTAGCATTATCGGGGTGTCTACCGCACTACAAATCGGGTATTTGGAAAACTTGTTGGGAATTACGGGCCCCGTTCCCATGGAATGCAAGGCTGACTGAGTGTGCAAATGCGAACCCTCCGGGCTTTTTACGCACAGGCCTCTTATTAGGCGCCATAGGTGCCATATTGAGCTGGGTCTCAGGTCTGCGGCATTACGGACGTCCTAGGGTGTACCGCGCCCCTATAAAGGACACCATCCCAGCTATCCTTGGTACCAGCGCAGACACCGCGCCGTGCCCTTGCCCTACCTAAAGCGCACCCTGCCCTAAAGCACGCGCATGGACTACTACACCCGCCGGTTGTTGCGCGGAATTCCGGTTTTGCAGGGTGAGGACCAGAAGAAGCTGGATGTCGTGTCCAACGAGGTGTTCAAGAACTGCCTCGCCTCGTGCGGCCGCACCGTGAGTATAGTAGAAGTACAGGAAGAGGGAGGGGGGCCAGGCAGGCTTCCACTATGCGGGATGGTCACCTCACGCTCCTAGGAATCCAAGGTGGCGGCCTGGAGGCCACCCCGACCACATCGGGGCCCAGTCGCTGTTTCCCGGGGCAATCTTAGGGGCCCGAAAGTTGTGCCGAGCATGGCGGCAGGCAGACGCATGTGAGGCCGCTTACCCTGTCGCGCTTTACACTGTCTGAATTCAGACCCGCACACGCGCTGTACTGTTGTATTCCAACTCTGGCTCTGTATTTCGGAAACCCTCTCCTGGCCTCTCATCTCTGCAGGGCATCATCGCCTCGGAGGAGGAGGACCAGCCGGTGGCTGTGGAGGAGACCTACTCGGGTAGGGTAGGGGGTGTCAACGTGCGGCCATATTTGAGTGTAACGGAGCATGTTGCAGTGCTTCTATCAACTGGCTTGCAACCTGGCCATTTTTCGCTTTAATTGTGCGCACACTGTAACTGTCCAGCAATGTAATGTGTACTCGGGATTTCGTTTGGGCCAGGTTACGCCCGTGAAGAGCATTTCGTGAGAAAGAGTTGTCGAACCGATGGCTACATATGTTAGTAGGCCGCAAGGAGGAGGCCCAGGTCAGGCAGCGTCTTGTTGGCAATGCTTGGCTAGTTGGCAACGCGCCAGCGCGCAGCAGATGATATTGGGGCCCATGTTGCCTCGTTGGCCCAGACCACGCTCTTGACCAACCCCTCACATAATACCGTGCTAATGTTCGTGCATGTGCGCGTGACACCTTTCCCGATATGCGCCGCAAGTTTCGGCTTCTATCGGGGTTTGTGGTGCCAGTCGTTTTTTGACATCACGGCGGACCGCTCCCTGACAGGCAACTACATTGTGGTGTTCGACCCGCTGGACGGCTCGTCCAACATTGACGCTGGCATCAGCGTGGGCTCCATTTTCGGCATCTACGAGCCGTCAGAGGAGTGCCCCCTGGACGCGATGGACGACCCGCAGAAGATGATGGTGGGTGCAACGGGAGTTTCTCGCGCGGCTTGCTAAGTTAGCTGCGCTGAGTTGTGTGCGGGGCTCAAAGTGCTCTGGCAACCTTGCAGCCATGGACCGGAGGCCAGATCAGGGACAGCAATCTGTACGACATATTTGCAGCGTGTGCCTGCGATGATGTCCGCACCAAAACCCCGTTCGTCTTTTGTGCTTCTCACGCTACGAGATGATGGATACCTGGGAGTAGAGAATTTCCTTGCCACCCTGCCGCTGCGTAGATCTGGGTAAATTGCTGACAACCCTTTCATCTCCGCAAACGTCAACTGTTCGTCACTCCGTCGCGCATCCTTCCCGGCCCACCCTGTTTGTTTGGGCCCACAGGAGCAGTGCGTCATGAACGTGTGCCAGCCAGGCTCGCGTCTCAAGTGCGCTGGCTACTGCCTGTACTCGTCCTCCACGGTGCTGGTGATCACTATCGGCAACGGCGTGTTCGGTTTCACCATGGACCCGCTCATCGGCGAGTTTGTGCTGACGCACCCCAACGTTCGCATCCCGGAGGTGGGAGGTGGCGAGGGCCTCACATTGTCCTGGCCGCTAGGGGAACTGGGCAGGCGGGAGAGGTTTACTGGTGTGGGCATTTGTGGATAGATCCTTCCGGAGTTGAGATGGTGAACTTCGGGTGATGTGAACTTGCTACGTCTGTGGCAGGAGCTCTGGGGTGCCCATGCCTATGCAGCTGTGCTTTTCTGCATGTACTGGCTTTCCCGTCGTGTCGGCGGCCTTTGCCTCTTCCGCCCTTACTCTAGGTGTTCATGTGACAGACACTGCGGCAGGCTTAACGCGTCTGGGCGTGTCGTCTTTCTTGCACTGTCCGCAGGTTGGCAAGATATACTCATTCAACGAGGGTAACTACGCCATGTGGGATGAGAGCGTGCGGGCGTACATGGACAGCCTGAAGGACCCGTCCAAGTGGGGTGGCAAGCCTTACTCGGTGAGTATGCGCGTTTCAGGGTTAGGCTCCGGGCTGCATTGAGGACTCTTCCTGGGAAAGTTTGAGCACGATGCGGACTCGGGTTTTGCTTGCGGGACCTTGCAATTGTATGGTTTATGGTTGCAAGTGTGGAAGCGAGTTACGGGTTCTTGGGGCAGCAAGTCGGTCGAATTGGGTAGCCATTGCTATGCCTTTGCTCTGTTTATTATTGTATGCGTTCCAGCTCAGGGACGTTCACGGAGGTTTCTCCCTGTTTAACATGCCCCGCCCGCTCCTTGTAGGCTCGCTACATCGGTTCGCTGGTGGGCGACTTCCACCGCACCCTCCTATATGGTGGCATCTACGGCTACCCCGGCGACAAGAAGAACAAGAACGGCAAGCTGCGCCTGCTGTACGAGTGCGCGCCCATGTCGTTCATTGCCGAGCAGGCCGGCGGCTTGGGCTCAACGGGTGTTGAGCGTGTGCTGGACGTGAACCCGGAGAAGGTGCACCAGCGTGTGCCTCTGTTCATCGGCTCCAAGAAGGAGGTTGAATACCTGGAGTCGTTCACTAAGAAGCACTAAATGTTGTCCAGTGGCGTGGGTGGAGTTGAGAGTTGGCCTGATGGTTGAATGCCGGTTCGTTTTTGCTGTTTCCTAATCTGGCCTGATCCGGACTTCGTGGAGCTTGGTGGGGCTTAGGTGCCGCTGAGGCTACTGGACGAAACCCAACGTGAGGTGACATGATGATAGCATTCCTGTGCGCTGGTCTCTGTTACTTCGCTGACGGTTTGTTTATCTGTTGTGAGGGTGAAGGGGTAGGTCGTTGCCGGTTGGCGCGCCACGCCTGGATTGACCGTAACGGCACTGAGTTTACACTGACGGTTTCCAGTTTTTTCTACGTCCGGCGTGGCGGTTTATCTCCCCTGCAGCTGCTTGACTTCGCTCAATAGCGAGGTCATGTACAATTTTGCGTAAGGGAGTTTCGATAAGTGTCGCGCAGTGGGACATAGAAATTTTCTCCGCTGCACGGGTTCCTGAGAAGACACAGATTTGTTCGCCATGTCTACCATTTCCTGCGAGCCTGAAAGTGTGTTGCTCTGGTGTGAACGAGGGGCTGCAAACACAGCTGTATCCTATCGTCGCCCCAAGCATCGCGAAATTTTTATTGTAACGCTCATGTGGGTGTTGTCAAGCTCTAAGTGGTTGTACTGCATGTTTTTAGCTGCGGTACGTCGTTGGAACAGATCTCTGCGCACAGAGCCTAGGTCAAGCTGCAACTTATCGCGTGCCGCACTGCCGCCTGCACGAGTTGGTGCATTTGGCAGGGTACCCCACCGCTTGTTAACGTCTCAGGTAGCTGACAACTTGCTGACAATTTACATGTAACATGAGTAAAACCGGAGTAGAGGCTAACTGTGAATAACGCCACTGCACATCAACATCCTGCGATCTACCTTTCTATGCACACAGGCCGCGCTGAGTCCGACCTTTCATGCATTGCTCGCTCACATCCGCATAGGCCCTGCAGCCAGATCCAAAGACGGGTCCCCCCCCTGGCCCATCTCTCGCATCACCGTTGCATGGCCACCAGTGGAGTGATGCCCAGCCCCAGGCTCCTGGCACCTGGGCCTACCCCCGGGGCACTGCAGGTGACTTCCATGATGGCGGCGCTGCTGCCCAGTTCCTCCACTGCCTCCGCAGGCACATCCTCCGCCCAGCCCAGTTGCTCCACGGGTGCCACATGCATGTGGTAGGCCGGCACACGGGACAGGTCCACAGCACGAAGCCGCAGCTCCTCGCGCGGCAGCCTAGGGGTCGACAAGGCACCGACCAGGCAAGGGCTTAGGAGGAGCATGGGGAGACGGGGAGTCAGGAAAGAGGGAAAGACAAAGCCGGAGGTAGGGACAAACATGCAAGGTGAAAAGTGGAGCAGGTGCTGCGATACGAGGCTTGCAAAAGCCGTGGTCTTACAGACTAAGCGGGATTGGAGAGAATAACCATAGATTGGGATGTGTGTGCTGTGCATGGTCAAGGGTTTGTCCCCTTAGCTGCCCGCAGCTCTATGCGAACGCTACCTGTGCGTGACGACTCCGATACTACGTTGACCCCAGCGCTGCACGAACCCTCTCCCACTCGGGACATCCCCTTTCCATGTACATATTGATTTCCTAGCTCAACTGACGCACGCCGTGATGATGCGCGATGGATAACGTCACCCCACGCGGACAGCAGCGGGAACGGCTCACTTGAACACCCGGAAGATGGGCGGCACGGGGTACTGCACGGAGGGGTCCCAGGCCATCAGGCGCCCGGTAGCGGCACAGCGCTTAGAGAACACGTCCCGACAACTCAGAAGCCACAACAGGAAGTCCTCCAGTGCCGCTGCACCAGGGCTGGTGGGCTCAGGCGGCAGCAGCGCAGCGACGCCGGTCGTCGCAGCTCCGGCAGGCAACCCCACGGCCGCCGTGGCGGCGGCAGGTGCGGGAGCAGCAGCATTGAGTGATGTAGATGTGAAGGTCCGGTGCGCCGCTGACAGCGAGGCACGCTTATTGTAGTAGGTGAGGACGCGCGTGGCCAGGGAACTGACGCGCCGGAAGACCTGCCATACACCATCAGTCACATTCAGCGTGATGATGGGGTGGAGGGACGGGACTTAACCAGGCTTTCAGACAGACGAAGCAAATCGGAGATAGGTGGTGGCTGAATAGTGGAGCTGTAGATCGGCGGGGCAGTGGCCCCGCAGCAGTGTCAGCCCTGAGCGCGTCCACACCTGGGTGGTGGGAGTGGCCCATGGGTCCAGCTCGAAGGCCTTGTCCGCGCAGTCCACCGCCACTCGCAGCGGGGCGGGGTTGCCCGGGCCCTCCAGCAACACATTGGCCACAAGCACGCCGGGGAGCAGCATTCGCACCTGCGGAACACGGAAAAGAGGGAAGACAGCCGGGGCTCAATGTGCGCACCTCCCCTCGCCCAGCTCCTCTGCGGCGTGGAGCGCTAAACCATCGCCCACCTGTCCAGTGCCAAGTTCAGCTCCCAGCGCTCTCCCCTAGCCCGAAAAAACCCCTTACCTCCCCTCCACCAAGCCTACCTGCGTGGCGTTGCACAGCCGCGCTGCGCTCGCTGCCAACAACGCCCCGTCCAACCTTGCTTGGCCCCCCCCACCAGCTGCCCCGGGTGCAGACCCAGCCTTGGCTCCAGGCGCCTGGCCCTGTGCCGCAGCCATGAGGGTGGCCGTCAGAGTCGATGGCAGGCTCAGGGGATTCCCGCTATCGTCCAGTACATGTATCTTCATGCCACCCAGGGCTGGGGCCGCACCCCCGGCCATGCTGCCTGCTGAGCCGTCCAGCGCACGTATCCGCAGCAGCACACCAAGGAGCTGAGCGGCGGTTTCCAGGGGCTTGGGCAGTCCGGTTACAGTGAAGGAGGTGGACGCGGGGCCAGGGGCGGCCGGGGTGGGGCCGGATGATTGGGGTGGAGAGGCTGCAGCGGCGGTGGCGGTGGCAGGTGGGCTGGGCAGGGAGGTGCTGGAGGGTGGGGCGGGCTGGTGTCCTGGCGTGTCACCTGCCATGGAGCGGCCGGAGAGATGAGGTGAGCACAGCGCCACGGGATGGGGATGAGGATGGGAATGGGGTGGGAAAGTAGCACCATGCCGAAAGGGTAAACGTGGGCATAGAGCGTTGTGGTCGGACAGACGTTATGGTGCTAACGCAAAACGTCTCATCCTGCCGGGAGTAACACTCATGAACAGAATGACATGACATAGCATGGCATGATATGGTGATTGCCTGGTCCCAGTGTGTGCATGCATTGGCGCTGGACATGCTTTTAAGCAACACGTTTCCGTCATCCCGCAAGCGCAGGCCAGTGTCTGGACCTTCAATCTCTATCGGTTCCTACGATCCCAACAGAATGCGATTGCGTCCTCCACAGAGCGCCCACCTGTCCGTGGCCGCTTAGCCGGCCGAGGCAGCTGAGCTCCCCCCGCCGCCAGCATTTCCTCGCACACCTTCGCATCTAGCTGTTCGACCACGGACCGACAATGGGCCTGAAGCGCCGCCGCCGGTGCAGCGGCCGCCGCGGCTTCCGCCGCCGCCGCCATGCTGCGGCCCGCCGCCACCAGCCCTGGTCCAGCACCCGGTCCCCCTCCAGCTGCTGCACTTCGAGCCGCTCTGAGCGCGCTCAACTTGCCAATGGCACGGGCCACTTCCAGTGCGGCTGAGAGGCGGGGAAATCCCGCACGGATCTGCCGGTGCTCCTCATCCAAGGTCTGCATGGACCATTAGGAGGGCAGAATGTGCCAATACAGGGAGTTGGTGACGCAAGGGAAGCAGCACGATACCAGTATGCGCAGGTATGCAATCGGGAAACACGAGCGTAGTTTGTTGCATGGCAAGCGGAATGGAAGGTGCGGCCGTAGCGACGGCAGTGGTGGCAACATCGTTGCGCATGCCCAGTCAGATGGCGATGCATGCCGATGTCACGATTGATGACATTCTAATCTGGAATTTGTTGAGCCGAATTTTCAGTATATAGGAAAGGAGTTTCAGGGTTTGAGAGTACTTACAAGTTGCAGGCCTATGCATGGACAATGGGTGTCGCGTGGAATCGGGGAGGGCACCTCCTATTTAAGCCCCTCTCCCCAAACCCCGCCTCCAGCCAGCCTTGACGCCCCCGATCATTACAACGCAGTGCCTACCCGCAGTGCCTACGATGGCCGGGTCGAGGTTCAGTCCTGTAACTTGCCTTAACAATTTTGGTTAAATAGGCCCGGCCCTCATCCGAGGCCAGCAGGTGTCCCTCCCCACATGCGTACATCACCTTGGCCTTCATGCCGTTAAACTGCAAGAACGGTTCACGGGAGGCGCCCGAAACATGTGATGGCAAATTAAAGATTGGCAGGAACCGTGCACTGCACGCGCAGGGTAGTGGGTACAGACTGGTAGGCTGTTAACCCCGCTTGCCCAGCTTTCCCGTTGTGGGTGCCAAACCTGGCTTCCAGCCTGACGGATGCTCTCCCCTTATAGTTAACAAGGCCGCTGGACTAACCTAGCCGATTTAGCGCACAAACAGGAGGCAAGGTACGGCGTGCGGACTGATCAGAGCCGTATGTAACGGGACGGCAGCATTTTCACTTAGGCCTCTATGAGGACCCGTCTTACAAGATACTGCGTCTGCTCCAAGACACGAAGCGCTTCTTTCAGCTGCCCAAGAGATGGACTGGGCGGTGCATTTGGCGCATCCGCTCCATCGCCGCTTCCAACGGGCCCTGAATTCATAATGCTTTGTCTCTAGACCAGTTTGTCGTCCTGTACCAGACAAGTTTCCCCTTACAAGCCCCGAAATTTAAGCGCTGCCAAAGAACTTCAAACGCTGATCAACGTTGGCTTGACATAGAAGCAGTCATCCTTAACTCTTCAATTAGCTTGCATGAGAAGACAGCATGCCTTCTAAAGTAAAAAAATAACGATTTTCAGTTGGGATGTGATAGATATTTATTTCAGCTTCCTCGGAACGCCTGTCGCAAGAACCTATACATTGCACATTGCTTCCTAGGTTCTCTACCTTGCCGCTGAATAACGAATTCAGGTACTTGTAGTACAAGATCATTTCCCCAGCGCACAACTCTAAGGCCGGATCCTCCATGAAGTTCTTATTGTCTGTTCCTCATTTTATTTACTAGCACCTGGGATCCTCCAAAACACGCTTCAGGGTTCATTGGGGTCGTCTTGCGCTCTGTACTTGTCGAATTGGCCTTGTAGGCTCATATAGTTAGGATTTAAGCCATGCAGACACTTCATGGCCAGCGGTCATTTACTGCTGCCCGGCAGTGCTATGCTTTCCGTCAGCGTTCGGGGCCGGCGCTGGTGGTGCGCGCGGCCGTTGCCGCACCTCCACCAGCGATGAGCTCCAAAAAGCCAAATTTTCCATTTGTCAAGATCCAAGGCCAGGAGGAGATGAAGCTCGCACTTCTATTGAACGTCGTCGACCCCAACATCGGCGGTGTCCTTATTATGGGCGATCGGGGCACTGGCAAATCCGTAGCGGTAGGTGCCATGACTCTTAAGGGATTTTACTTGGCGGAGGATCCAAGGTATGGCCGGGAACTTAGCTTTCTCCCGGCGGGATACCCGCGTACGCTTTCACTGCCCCGGCGGGATACCCGCGTACGCTTTCACTGCCCCGGCGGGATACCCGCGTACGCTTTCACTGCCCCGGCGGGATACCCGCGTACGCTTTCACTGCCCCGGCGGGATACCCGCGTACGCTTTCACTGCCCCGGCGGGATACCCGCACACTTTTCCGTTATGGGGCGCCGGGATGGCGTAGATTCAAATGCTTCCCCTATGAGGGCGTAGCATCAAGCCTTAGAAGATTAGCACTGCATGCAACTTCGTCTGCGGGCGCTGGGTGGGTGTTCGCGCACGCTGCACCGGGACCGAAGGTTGCATCCCAGCAATGCGCCCTTTAAGCCTTGTCGTATCGCAATCCCTAGGCAATAGATGACCCAATTTATGCTCATTGTCATAGATGCTATACTTATAAAGTTACATGCCGCGAAACTGTATGCAAGGTGTCCGATCAAGGCCTGCGTAGGGCGCCAAAGGGCCGCGGCATTGCGTTGCACCATTGATATGTACATGTGTACAAGCGTAATGTAAGGCCTGGACACGATAACTCTCGTGGCTTTGTGTGTCCGGTGCCATACCCACCTGAACCCACTCCCTGACTTCTTCCTTTGCCGCCAGGTTCGCGCCCTCGTGGATCTTCTTCCTCTCATTTCGGTGGTGGAGGGTGATCCCTTCAACTCCTCCCCCACTGATCCCAAGGTTATGGGTCCCGACGTCCTGGATCGCTGGCAACGTGGCGAGAAGCTGCCCACGACCCAGATTCGTACGCCTCTGGTGCGTGCACAGCGGTGAACGTGCTGCGATGGCTGCTGGGGCTGCAGGCTTCCCGCACACATGAAAGAAAGAAAGGAAGACTTTGGCTTTGGGGAAGCGCTATGTTCATTGTGACAAACGATTACCCAGTCCGCTTACCAGCTTGGTGTTGTCGGCGTTGCGCGATATGATTCCTGTATTGGATTTTCTGTAGAGAGCTTGGTAACTTGCTTGGCGCGTCGTGTGCGGTAACTGGCCTTCGGACGAACCGGGTGTAATGCCTGCTGGGTGGAGTGGCAAAGCAACACAGCGGCCGGGGAATAGGAAGCGATTCGGTACCAGACGGATACCACACGCGGAACTTTTGACTACACGCCGCACGCCGCACTCAGCGTTCCGGTCGTTGGGGACCTTAGCTTCGGGGCGTTCCCTTGCAACTGGTAAATGAAGTGTATACAAGGTTGCCCGGGTCTTGCGACACATGGCCTCCTGTCCGGGCTTGCGCATCTAACCTGCTTTTCCTTCCACGAGGCGTCCTACACCACTGCCTGCGGAACTGGACGTCCACCTGTTTGCCAAACCTGCTGTCAGGCTGTTCTGATGTCCGGGTGGTCGTTGATACGCTCCTCCGCAGGTAGAACTGCCTCTGGGCGCCACGGAAGACCGCATCTGCGGCACCATCGACATTGAGAAGGCACTTACACAAGGCGTCAAGGCCTATGAGCCAGGCCTGCTGGTACGTAAGCGATTGAGGTCCTTGCGCGGGGAGGTTTGATTTCAGGTTGGCGAGACCGCTGGCTTGGGTCTAGGAACGGTTGGCCTGCGGGATGCTAGCATCGCAGCCTGAATGCAAGAGATTATTCAACTTGAGCAGTGGTTGGGAAGCGGCCTACCGGCTGGGAAGCGTTAGCATTGAGGAAGCATTGAGGAAGCGTTAGCATTGAGGAAGCGTGCATCGGGGTAGGGATTCAGGCGCAAACTGGGGCATTGGCGGACATGGCAGTGGTGCAGGCTGCAGCGCGCGCTCTCAGGACCTGGAAGGCCGCCTCATCGTGGTTCATGCGCCCCTAAAAAGCCTCTTTACCTATCTCGGTGTTACCGAGCGGAGCACCCTAGGGCCTCCTACCTTAAGGGCCTCCTTTCTCCGTAAGAGGCTTCGCTCTCGTAGGCAGCTGACCCTGTCCGCATACAGCCCCAGGCCCTGCGCTCTACGCAACCTTCATAAGCCTTTCGGGCGACGCGTTGGGCTCCGCGCAGGGAGGGACCATCGCATTCTGGGTTGACTCAGCCCGCGCCTTTACCTTCCGAACCCCGGCCCAAGCAACCTATGCACTTTTCTTTCTCCCAGGCAAAGATCAGCTGGCTATGTCCTCCGAGGCTTTCGTTCGCGCCTGCAGAAGTCTCAAGCTGCCCGCCCTTCCCGTCGCAAGCTTCCACGTTGACGTGTAATATCCCTTCTTTTCCACCGTCGCCATGCAGGCCAAGGCCAACCGTGGCATCCTGTATGTGGATGAGGTCAACCTCCTGGACGACGGGCTGGTGGATGTGGTGCTCGACTCTTCCGCCAGTGGGCTTAACACGGTGGAGCGCGAGGGTGTCTCCATCGTTCACCCCGCCAAGTTCATCATGATTGGCTCGGGCAACCCGGCGGAGGGTGAGCTGCGGCCGCAGCTGCTTGACCGCTTCGGTATGAGTGTCAACGTGAGCACACTGATGGACACCAAGCAGCGTACACAGATGGTGCTGGACAGGTGCGCGTGCATGTGATCGTGCATGTATTTTTGTGTGTTGATGCGCGGCTCTGCAGCTTATTGACATTGGCGCCCTGGGGGTGTGTGTCCGATGCGCTAGTTGCTCCTCCGCCCACTCCTCTCGTTTCTCTTTGGTTAACCTCGGTCTCCACCTATGTCGAGCAGTTACTCCCACGCCGGGTTTTCCCGCTCTGCAGGATCGCGTATGAGACCGATCCGGACGCCTTCGTGGCGAGCTGCCGCTCTGAGCAGGACCAGCTCACAGACAAGCTGCAGGCGGCCCGAGACCGGCTCAAGCAGGTCAAGATCAGCAACGAGCTTCAGGTAAAAGCTGGGACAGCAAGTAGCTCCCAAGGATCTAGTAAATATTTCATGGGAAAGCCGCATGTGTTCGGCGCTCGGGGCTCAGTGATCTGGATGCGGGCGCTATTGGGACGATATGGTGGAGGCAGAGGTGACTACTGTATCACGCAGGGAGCGTTTGGCCTGCTGTGCGTGCATATCGTTAGTACACGAAGAGTTGCAGGCTTGTCGCATTCTTAAGACCCGCCTAAGATGATTGTGCTGTACCCCGCGGTTCGCTCCGTCGTGCAACCCCCAGATCCTCATTTCAGACATCTGTTCGCGCCTGGACGTGGATGGACTGCGTGGCGACATTGTGATCAACCGGGCAGCCAAGGCGCTGGTGGCGTTCGAGGGTCGCGCCGAGGTCAAGTTGGAGGACATTGAGCGGGTCATCTCCTCGTGCCTCAACCACAGGTGCGCTGTGGGTAGTGGTGATGTTGCTTCAAGGCTAGGTCCGAGACTGCAATTTGAATTCTGGTGCCGCATAACTTGGGACGTTGGGACATAATTCGGGACGCTGCCCTGATACGAGGTGATGTGTGTGGCGGCAAGACCCCTTCCACCTTGACGTTTTCTTGCTCTGTTCTTCGTCCTCACATAAGTTATAGCGTCACTCGTTCGAACCACCTCCATTCGCTTTGGGCCAGTGGCCCAAAGTGAAATCCATCGGTCTAGCCGGTATTCGCAACCGCACTCCTTACATTCCGGCCGCCAGGCCGTCTCTGCATCATTGAGCGCTGGCTGGGTGAGCCGGGTTTTGTACATCGATAGAGGGGCTACCAACAAGGTGTAGATATTAACAGCGATGTTATACGAACCAGTGTGAGCTGCTGCCGAAAACTAGCTCGCTTCCTGGGCTCGTACTGTGCAACAACAGGCACCCATCGGATTCTGTTGAACCTTCGTCACATGCCGTCCCTGCTGCTGGAGAACTTAGCGTCGCTCTTACAATATCCGATCCTCTAATGCCAGGTCGCTTTTGGCATGTGGGGGCCTGATATCTATCTAGGATGCTTCAGTTTCTTGCCTGCTCGCGATTACCCTTCCCGTCCCCAGGTTACGGAAGGATCCTCTTGACCCCATCGATAATGGCACTAAGGTCAAGGTGTTGTTCAAGCGCCTGACCGACCCTGAGGTGCAGCGGCGGGAGGCGGAGGCGCAGAAGGCCAAGGAAGAGGCTGCCAAGAAGGCCAAGGAGAGCGGGGCAGCAGCGGGAGCTAACCGGCCGGCAGGAGCCAAGGCGGGCGCGTGGTCGGGCATTGGCCTGCCGTCGCGGCGATGAACGCGATTGCATGCAGATTGCCGAAAAGGTGGGAGACGATTCACTGGTTTTGGAGAATTTTCAGGGGTTTGGCGGAAACTGGTGGTACGGATGCAACTCAAATGGGAGTTTTGGGTTGGGGGTCGAGCCGCTGCAAACGTGCCTAGCTAACGGAAGTGAAGTGTCCAGCAGACGTATACGGTGGGGCGGTCACGTTGGTATGCTAGTTGGCCCATGCTGCAACGGTGAGCGTTTGCGTTAGGACATGCTCGTGGAGGTTTTAAGCCGGGGCGGAGGCTTCAGTAGGAGTTATTCAGTGGGAATGATGAAATAGTTTTAGGGTGTTAAGCTTTCCTGGCAGGGAGGATAAATGTTGTGTTATCTCAGGTTTACCCGGACTATGAACTTGTTATTATGCCATTTTGGGCGGTTTTCCGCACGGCACGAAAGGCAGACCAAGTCCGACACGTCGTCTAACCCGCAACTTGTAAACGGATTGCTTTCTGTTTTATAGTGAATTGCAATGATTATATCGGTACCATTATGTACGTTGCATTGTAACAGCCATGTTTCATTCTTGATATGCACAGCTGAACACCGTTTAGAACCTACACACTTGCCCACGTCATAACATTTGGATAGCACCATGTTTACTAGAGCTCACCATTTAGTCGACAGCAGGACACATTCACCACAGCAAAAGAAAGGAAACAGCAACCCAAGTTTCATCGGCCGTCTGATTTGAAGCGCTTGCTACTGCATACGCATTTAACGGTGTCTGCCCTCTCCCCCACAAGTCACGTACACGTTACGCAGCCTTCCCGTGCTGCTGCTGGAAATCGCCTGCTACGAAACACCCTGCTTAAACAGCCCATGCCGAGTGGGTAAACATTCCAACACCAGTCAAACACAGCCCGGGCCCAGAAGTGCAACACGCGGCGCACGGAACCGCTGATAACTCACCGATCTGCAGCTTGGTGACCCGGACACAGCAACTAGCGCACGATACCCCATTTCGCCCGGAGCCAGCCCACCTGAGCACCCGATCGTCCGACATGGGCCAATGCAGTTTGGCAAATCTATAGGCTTGTAGGCAATTGCCAGGGGGCCAACCGTCTGTTGCACTATTACAGCAACGGCCGCGTACAGTAGACTGGTCGGAAAGCGAGCGGACACAGCATCACCCCCCCAAGGAACGTCCTCCTGCAGCTGTGTGACGTCCGCCTGCACCTAATATGCCGCTGCTGTGGATAGCTCCTGCGGCAGGGACGCCATGATATCTCCTCGAGACTGGGTTGACATAACGGCTCGTTCTATTTCAGTATCCTTGTCACGCCAAGCTGCTCTTGCTGCATACGGGTTCGCTCGCAGCCGCCACAGCTGCCGGCTTTCTTACGCCATTATACGTCCAATCATGCGATACTCGCTGACAATTGGTGCCATGATGACAAGCAACGCCTGCAACTCACTGCGGCGTTCCGAACCCAGGGCTTCAAATCAACCACACCAATTCCGACAATCGCTATTGGCAGCCCACAAGTATCCATCCCAACCGCTCAAGCCCGGCGCCTTCACCCAACAGCCCAAGTCAATGGGTTCGGACCATCCCCGGCGTCCCCTTTTGCTACCGCAACCCAATCCACTCCGCACTACTTAAGATACACGTTGGCGACACCCACAACCATAACAACCAGGAAAGACCCGACCTGCCGGAGCTGCGGTCCTAACAATGGCGCCAGCGGGGTCGTCAACGCCGCCAGGAGCTGTTGGGGACGAAGCAGAGGGCAAGGGAAGTCAAGGCATTCTTCACATACAGATAAATAAATTACAGATTGCAAGAAATTCAAAAGGAAATGGCCACAAGCGCATCTGGCCAGTACGCCATTGCTGACGACATTCTGTATACAGATTATGCACGAGCAACAGCAAGCATATCCCGAGCCAGATAGCGACATCTCGCCCCTGTCATACCCCTAAAGCTCTGGCACCCGCCGCGACGCGGTGAAACCGACGCGCTATTGTACAGTCCAGGTCTTTAGCTCCTTACAGCCGAGCGGCGGGACTACGAATGTGCGCTCATGCTGCTATACATGCAAGGCCATGGAGCCTAAGCCAATGGTGCCGAAAACCCCAACCCAAATGCCGGACTCACTCCGCAAGCAGCAGCTAGCACGATAACCGTGGTGAGAATGGCGCCGACAATGGGGTTGCCTCCAAAGAAAGGGCCCTCTGGATCTCGCTTCACGCGCTTCTGTTGGTACTTGTACACCGAGTAAGCAAATGCGGCGGCCAACGGGAAGGACTGGTCCGTGGAGAACATGGCCCTACAACCAAGTGGGGGTCGCACCCATATTCATCAGTCCCGTTGCAATGTGGCTTGGGATCGGAGAAGGGGATGCACCGAGTGCCGACGGCCCAAGGATGACCTATTGCACGCACATACAGTGTAAGTGGCGAGGGTAGGCCCGTAGGCACACCCATATAGCGTACATATTGCGGGCCCCATCCGTCCCATGGGTCAGAGAGAAGGGAAACGACTTCCATACTCACCAAAGAGCAAGAGCGGCGAAGACTGATGCCTCGTTGATCAGTGTCCGTGTGGTAATGGTTGGGTCGATGAGGTCATAAATCTTCTTGTCCCAGGACGCCTTCACCTCCCCGATTATGTCACCACGCCGCCCCGTTCGGATGGGCCTGAATCCATACTTGTGCCTTGATTTCAACTTCTCCTGCAAGACCAGAATCTCGTTGTTCCTGCAAGCCGCGGGTCTGCACAGCTATACCCGCTCTCTAACAACCACGCACCTGGATAACGGTATCAAACGCCAGCTCAACGGCCTCCCTGCTCGGCTCATGCCATTTATACAATTCGTAGAGGTAGTTCCTAGCATCCTGTATCTCCTCAAATCCAGCGTCGCGACCAAGTCCCAACAACCTGTATATCGCGCAAGCTTGTGTTCGCCGACAGACTTCGCTGACAGACTCCAACCTTAAGGTGTTACCTGTAGGGATCGCGCTCTTTCAGGCGTGGGAAGGGCTTGTAGTCTTGCCCTTGCACCCGCTGTTGGTCCCCCGACGACGACGCGTCGAACGCCGACGACGCTGATGGCAGATGTGAAAGCGCCGAATGCACCCGGCTGTTATGCCTAGAAAATTGGAAAGACTCCAAGTCAGATCCTTGGGCAGGCAATAACTCCTAATTGAGGCAAAGCGCCGTCAACTACGTGTTCGCTATACTCGCAACACTATACAGTCACCTGAGCAATGGTGAAATACGATTGAGGGGACGGCTGCAGCACGGGGCCGATTGGCCTGTGCTGAAGCAGCCCAAACTTTGCATTTCACCTGGTTATGTTGTGCGCCTGTCTTCCTACTAGTCAATAAAGGTAATCCAGATGGTTCTGTATATTAGTGCAGTTAAAGATCTAGAAAGTAATGCCTATGTGTTCATGAATTGGACATGTAATGTCGTGCAGAGTCGTGAAGTTCGGGAGAGGCCGGACAAAGCTAAGCTGCATCAGGAAGTATATACACGACCCAATTATATTGGGATCGTTTCTCTAGCTTGCTTGAGTGATTTACAGCGCCGCCAACTGTTTGCCTATGAAAGGCTGCAGAGCATGGTTATGATTGTGTAACAACCGAGTAATATTGTCCTGGTGTTGTCCTACAATTTCTTTATAAAATCAAAAACGACTTTAGGAAGGACTGCAGAAATGGCCATTACCTTGGGCGCAGGCACTTACAAAGGTAAAGCTTAGGCCTCTAAGGAGCGCAGCGACACGCTGCCTGGTGGTATTCCAGCCACATCCCATAAGAGGATTCATCCTCATCGTCGAGGAACTAATAACGGTACACTTGGGGAATAGGTCTAGTTAAACACACCCAGACCCAGAGGTCCCTCCATGGAGGTTCACCCGAGTTCCATGGACCTGGTAAAGATACCTAAATGCGTAGCGCCCGACCACAAGCCTCGCAAACTCAACTGCAACCTCTCATGGTAAACATATCTTACAGGCGAGGGAAGCAAGGGCACTTCAATCGCCAACCATGTAACCTTGCACCGCTACCTTGATAAGCAAACATATTAAAGCCTCTGCCACCTTGCCCACCGCCAGATCCTCTGACACCTCACAAGATGTACCTAGAAAGATCCTGCTTCTGCAGTAACGCACTCAGTGTCCGGTCCACGTGGACCTTGTCAATCACATACTTGAGTCGTGGCAGCGAGCCCTGTTCCTGACCCTTCTGTGGCCCTGGTTGCTTTGACCCAACCCCTGCATTTGAGTCTAGCCCACCAGCTAATTCCGGCGCTGCCGTCGCGGCCCCGTCGTCTGCTGGCCCCGCGGCTTGCGGCTGCTGCTGCACCTGCTGACTTCCTTGCTCCTGCTGCTGCTGCTGCTCGCGGCGCGCTGCAGCCACCAGCTCGGGCGCGGAGAAGCTGACTTCCTCCACGACACGCTCTAGTACGGCGTGCAAGCGGCGAGCGCCGATGTTGTCCAGCGTGCGGTTGACCTCCTCCGCAACCCGGGTCATCTCAGTCAACGCCTCCGGAGTGAACTCCAGATCTACACCTTCCGCTGCAAGGAGCACCTGCAGGACCAAGGAGAGCAACAGGACCAGCCGCCAAAAGGCAGAAGACCGCAACTGGTCAGCTTAATAGCCACCAGAAAGGGGGCGGCAGCCACAACTTCCGCATTAACGACCTCCTGGAGCGGACCGCACAGCGCAGCTCCACTTCCGCGTCAGCTCTACTAATGGCGCCGGCACAGTCCAAGGCGGCTGCCGGCTCGAGTTAATCCAGTTCGCCGCCCAACCCCCTGCCCTTCGCAACGTCGTTCCATCCCCACTGTCACTGTTACTGCGCCACCTTAGCATCCCAGTGTCAAGCATATGTCCTTGCTGGCTGCCGGCTTATGAGGCCGCAGCGTAATCGTGCCTATGTTTCTTACGGTCCTGGACATCTTGTCACGCACCTGCTGCTGCTTGATCAGGTTGTACTCAGGCTCGGTAAGGATGCGATAAAAGTCATGGCGGGTGAGGGGCTTGAGCTCCACTCGGATGGGAAGACGGCCCTGGAGTTCGAGGTGAGATGAGGTGAGGCAGAGAAGTGACAGCGCATCGGGCCCAAGAAGGCACATAAGGTTGCCCAAGGTCATGGAGAATACATCGTCGAGCCCAGGCAACTCTGCAGTTAAATAGAGGCGATCACCTACAAAGGCTGTTACCGCCGATGGGCCACAGCCAGCGATGGGCTAACAGTGCGCCAGGCCGAGGGTGGCCTGCTTGCAGCATACCGCTATCGGGACCTACCTTACAGGCCTCCGGCATCGCGATGACCAATGTGTAGGTTCGTAGCATTCCCAAAAACCCTCTCGAAACGGCTTGCTACTGACCGAGGGCATCGTGAACTACGGCCCTTGCCGGACGGCAAGGTGAATCTGTGTGTACACTTGGGACATAACCCTCCTGATGGCACTTCATACGGTCTGAAGCATTCGTGTCCTGGTTGCGGGTCGCTGAATTGGCCCCCCCCTACCCAGCAAAGCCGTCCCACTTTTCCCCAGTGCTCCCGCACCTGCAGCTCCGCCATGAGGTCCGAGGGCTTCACCGAATGGAAGGCCCCCGCGCAGATGAACAAAATGTGATCGGTATTGATGTTGCCGTGCTTGGTACTGACGACGGAACCCTGCGTCCGGTACATCAGTATGTATGTATGTGCCACAATGTGCATCAGTGGTTGGCTCGTCAATTTAACCACCAGACATCAAGGCGCACAATACAGGATTACCAAGCGCCAGAGCAAGCAGCGTGCAAGGGCATCAATAGAGCTCCAGTGAAGGGACCATTTCATGAACAATGCCGCCCCTCGCATGTCGCGGCACCGACGCACCTCAATGATGGGGAGCAGGTCTCGCTGCACTCCCTCGCTGGAGGGGTCACCACTGCGCCACCGCTCTCCCCGCCCGCCGCTCACAATCTTGTCAATCTGCGGAAGGGGGGCATTCAAGGCGCGGGCAGCCAGTCAGCCAGCTAGCTGTCACCCACGCAGCCGACCCAGCGCATGGGGCCCAGGGGGCCAGGTGGCCTGGTCATAGAGAAAAACCTGGTATGTGCCTCCGGATGGGAGCACGATGTCACAATTGTGTGGGCCCGTCCCAGGGCCCGCCCACCAGTCAGCCCTGGCGGTGGGCGCGGCAAGCATGTGTAAAATCTACGCCTCGGCAATTTAGGTGGCGGATCCGAAGAGGAGTGAGAGGTCCGTACCTCGTCAATGAACACGATGCCGTCCTGCTCGGTGGCCGCAATGGCCTCCTTAACCAGCTGCTCGGGGGGGAACATGCGCTCCGCCTCCACGTCCTCAATCAACGGCCGGGCCTCACGGACCTGCGACCAGGGGAAAAGCGCCGACCCACGGGCTGTTGGCGACAGCGGGGTTCCCCACCTCCGTGACCAGAAGCTGCAACTCATCCTATGGAGCGGGTAGGGGGTCTGCCATAGCGGGTAATAGGTTGCAATCTGGTGGAAGCTTTCGTCAACAAATAGTTGCGAGGTTGAACTTGCGCATGTTCGAGCACACCAGCGTGTTCGGCTAAAGCGGTGAGTACGACGCAAGTGGACGACGGCACCGACGCTATATAACTCCTTCTACGGGTTGCAGGCGAACCCTATCATGCGCGTATGTGGGGTGTTGCGGCGCCGCCCAAGCTCCCCTTGCAGCTTCTCCTTACTGTCATGAGCTGCCCGAAAAACTGTCCCACACATCATTTTCCATGTGATCAACGTCCTGCTATCTCGTGCCAAAACTCCTAACACCCAATCCGGTCCACATCCTCTCCTCCCTCTCTCACCCTCAGTGTGCGCACATCCCTCTTGCCCGACATCAAGCGCTCCAGGTTGATGACCACGGGGCCTCCGGGCACTCCGCCGCCCGGCCCCAGGTCCAGGACGCCGCCGCCACGACCCGACCCGCCATTGGCCGGCGGGGTGAGGTCCACCTCTATGAACACGTTCTCCAGCTCACCTGGCCCAAGAGGGAACGGGAGCCACAACAAGCCGTTCCACAGCCGACCAGGAAAGGAATACAGGACTAAAGGTCATGCGTGAGGTGGTTGCCTTGGGGCTGCATGAAGTTGGAAGCAATGAGTGAAAGAATGGATGAGAGGCAGGCGGGTGGAGGATGCAGAGCTCGGCGGCAAGCAAATGCGACCCGGTTTGCTTCGATGCCGCCCAATCCGGTGCTCCTTATCCCACCATTCCGCAGCCGCTCCCTCAGCGCCTCCAGGCCCCCACCGGGACCCGCTGCACCAAGTGACTCCTGCTGCAGCAGCGCCCGCAAGATACGCTCCTCCACCGCCTGGGGTGAGGGGCAGAGGCACGTACGGCGGTATATATGGGGAGTAGACAGGGTTGGAGATAGCGTGGAAGGCGAAGGTCCAGTCATTTCCTCTCCTCACGTGGGCCACCGGCATCCCGCAGTATCCATCACGCATTGCCCTTCCCTTGTTCTCGCCGTCCAAGCTCATAGATGCCGAGGCACCGCACCGCTGACCCACGCATTATGTCCTCCCACACGGCCACTCTCACCCTCGTTACTCACCGCCTTCAGCGCCTGCTCGTTCTGCTTCCTCAGCTTGTTCCGCACCAGACTGATGGCCGCCTCCAGAAGGTCCCGAATAATGGTGTCCACATCGCGGCCGTGATAACCCACCTCCGTAAACTTGGTCGCCTCCACCTGTACACATACATATACATGTGATGATGTGTAAGGCAAGCCGTGACTCGATGTCATGTCAGGTTACGTGCGCGTCGGTGAGCGCAGTGCGATGCAGAGGCAGGGGGCCCAGCCCTGCATGCCCTCCGCGGGTGGATGCTTTCGCAACGGAACGAGTCGGTCCACGGCCTCTGCGTGCCCAAGATTTTGGCTGCCGACACGGCTCTGACAGACCCCACCCGAGCGCGCTATTACCGGCTGCCAATAGCTACATCAGACTGATCCATTACAGAACCCTCGAGGCGAAAGCATAGCTGGCGTGGTGGTCAGCTGCAGTAGCCTCTCTGTAGGAACAACTTCAGCCATGGCAGCAAGAGCAGCAGCGTCACCACACCTTAACGAAGGGACTATTAGCAAGCTTGGCAAGGCGCCGTGCAATCTCTGTCTTGCCGCATCCCGTGGGCCCTATGAGCAGGATGTTCTTGGGCACGATGTCGTCCCGGATGGACACGGGCACACGCTTGCGCCGCCAGCGGTTGCGGTATGCAACCGCAACAGCGCGCTTGGCGTCATCTTGACCAATAATGTAGCTGCGGGTCAGAGGGGCCCCGGGGTTGGGTGGCATTGACAGGATGTGCCGTGTGCCGATGGAAAGTATGTAATCGCTATGCAGGCTGTGCTTGGGAAGAGGGGACAGTGAATGACCGCGCAACTGGCACCTAGTGAATCAGATGCCGTGAAGCTCGGCAAGTTCCTGACAAGGTTCAAAAGCCCAGCCCAGCTGGCGACACTTCACCAGACCGCTTCCAACCGCGGCCCCACAGTGTAAGGCCGTCTTCGGTGGCCTGACTGCCCATGAAGCGCGAGGTGAGCTGCCATCCTGCCCGCATGCAAGCAGCCACATGCATGCTGCCCTTAAGGGTGGTGCATTGGCGCGGGCTCACGGTCCTCCGCCCCTGATCCGGGTCCATCGCTGATCTCCACATCATAACGACGTGTACACGAACGGTCGAACACCTCAGCACATGCGGTGCCTGGGTCTGAGCCCAATGTGCTATGCTCTAGGGGTCCTGGCATTCCTGCGGGGTGCAGCCCCCCGGCGCCAAAAGCCGAGGACTCGCATGTAGCTGCTCGTACCGCAGTGGCCCATTATTCTCTCCCTTGACCGTGCAGATGCAACAAACGCAGAGTCATATTTATCTCCCGACTACGGGCAAGGCACAGGCGAATCCTCGGAAGGACACTGTTGGTGCGTTTGACCTTAGGCTGCTGCGGCAGCTCCTAACAAGTCCAAGGACAGGCCCATTAAGTTAAAAACTCCCTGTGAAGCTCCTGTCCGGAGCAAGCTGAGAAGGCCGGCAAGACAGAGCCAGCTACCCACCGGTCCAGAAGCTCCACTACGGCTTTGGGTGTCATGTGTGCGTGCGGATCCTCCTCTGGGCCCGAACTTTCGGGTAAGCCTGTTACGGCGAGGATTGGACCACTAGGCTGTGCCGTTTTAACAGCTCCGCTGCTGAAAGCTCTACACAGAAAAGGGAGCCACCGTAGTTGAAACCCATTTCCTCCGTCGCGCGCCAATCCAGGGATTAAGTTCCGTTTCGGGATGGTGCAGCTGCGGGAGGCTTCTGGGGCACGTGTCGTTGAGGGTGTGCTGGGCTGGTCCGGCAACGCCAAAGCTGTGGCAGTGCCAGCAACACACGACCAGGCACCCCGTGCGCTCCCCAACACATCCACGGCTTTAAGAGCCTGGAAAACGCCTCCGCCTGATCGATACAGGAAGCTATTAGCAGTTGTGCCTGTCATGTTCAAGGAATGACCGGATAACTGCCGATGGCAGCAGTATTTTGAAACAGTACTATCCCACAGTCGCTTGAAGTAAAAAGGACTCCAGTCTAATTGAAGCCAAAGTCGAAACCAACGACATTCACGCGTGCCAATGCGGCATGCATTCTTTTGTTTAACAATTACGAAAAATCTTTCTTGTCTGTTCTGGCTTTTTTTAGTAGAACAAGAGTCTTTGGTTCGGTTGGGCCTCATCTGGAAGACCTCAATGCATGCGATCCGCTACGACACATCGCTTACCACTGTATGGCTTTCGGTAGTCCGATGCACCTTTGGCAGAATTTATGTAGCTTGAATACCCTTTTAATTTTTTCTTGCGCGAGAGAAGTGACATCCAGTTCCGTCCTCCAAGCTGCTTTCCTCAAGGAGTCGACAATATGTCAGATCAATCATCTAGCGCTGCTGCTACGATCAGGGCCGTGAAGAAATATGATAGGTTTGTTTGGGCAAGCCGGGATCTGCTGTTTGTCGGAAGAACCGCAACAACAACACGCCGTTTGCTTAAATTCTTGCAGGGAAGAGTTAATTAAGATAGGCCAGCAATGTCAAGCCAAGCCTTTGCCAGAAGGCGTCAGCCTTGCTGACTTTAGGTGAGGGTTTGCCTTTGTCAGCTGTGCTGATTTTCGCAACACAGGCGCTACCGCACTTCTCAAGTCCGATTATTCATATATTCTATCTCTTAATGCATGCTCAAACATGCCACGGTATTGCTGGAGCAGCCTTATCGACCCCGCGACTCTGGAGCCCGAACGCAACTTCGAGCGGAGGAGCATAGGCGATGATGGACCTAGCTTTAAGCCAGCGTGGGCAAAAGGCGGCCGGGGAGGCGAAGGCGGCCTTGTTCGACCCTCATACCCAGGTCCGTTCTTATGGCGTCTTCCCACATCGTTGGTGTGTATAATCGCGAGATTTGCGATTATGCACACGCGCACGCAGAATCCACAGTATTGTTGCACTACCCCAGATTGCATTACCCTGCAGTGCCAGCAGCGTAGTCACACGCGGATGTCCTTAGGAAGCCTCCGCTACGCTTACGACATCGTGCATCCGGTTCCCGGTCGTGTTATGTGCTCTCCAACTTGCACTTGCCGAACTGTGAACCGAACTGTGTCGCGGCTTATAGGTTGGAAACTGCATAACTTTCCGGCACCGAGCCTGCGCAATTACTATGTTTTGCGTCCCCGGCTACTCCTCTTACCTACCGCAGTACCCATCCGGAGCAAGCTTGTCGACATGCCTGCTCCCGGGGACGAAGACGGTGCCAGCCGGGTCGAGCGCAACGGGGCTCTGAGCAGTCGCAGTTCCTGGCGCGGCGGCGAAGATAGGCTGGGTAGCAGCTACACGGATCGTGATCGCGACCGCGAGCCTCGGGGGCCTCGCGATAGCTGGGAGGTACGCAAACGCATGGCCCAGGAAAGGCAGATGACCCATATCACAACTCGATGTGCCGATATGTCTCCGCGCGCATGTTGAGAAGACACGTGACGTGACTAAGGTGGGGTTTGGAAAGCTTCTTGGTCTATGCCTTTTGTCCTTGCCCTCCCGTTCCGCCTACAACGTACCTGTTTCGTCTAGGCTGCCGTTCCTTTATCGCTCATCTTCCACCATTTCTCACGTAGCGGCATAAAGGCACGTGCTGTTTGCTAAAGTCACAAAACGTAGTAAGGCATTTCAACTCGTTTGGTGCTATAGGCGTTAATGATGATAACGATGGTGACGATGATGATGATGATGATGTTTGCTACTGTAGGCGTCGCGCTCCCCCAGCGGTCCGCCGGGGCTTGACCGAGGTGCCCCGGCTGGGACTGTGCGGAGTCGCTGGGGCACCGACCGTGACAAGGACGGCTGGCGCTCAAACAGTCTCAAAGAGGACCGGTAAGTGCATACAGCTACGCGGCACCCTTTGATGTGCGGGAATGGGTGGCTGAGACCGGGCGGCTCGGCGTTCGGTAGCGACCGGACAAAAACCGGACTGGACACGGCATAGGCCGTGGTGGCTCTCGCAGACCCTCTGGGCATCTCCTTCCTTGTGGCGAGGATGATCCGTATTCGGCACATATCCAACCATATTGTTGTTGTTGTTACATGGTCGTGGGTGCGTTCCCCGTACCTGCAAACCACCCTAATACGAGCCGAGGGCTCAAGGGCTGCCAGATCGCCTATAAGCACCATCCTACCTCGCACTTCCAACGAAACAAGTGGTGAAGGATACTAACGACCAAAGGGAACGATAGAGTTGCGGTGGGACCGTATGCGTTCCAGCATCCTTGCCAGGCGTTCAGGTTCCCACTTCATAGCGTCCTTCACATGCTCGAAGCGTGGGAAACCCATATCAGATCTGATTTTGTCGTACACCGGACATATCCAACCATATGCTCTACCATGGCCTTGAGCGCTTGCTGGCTGCAGGCCCTGAATAAGTCCTTCTCGAGTTGAGTATTTGTGCGACGAAAGAAACGCCATGAAAACGCACGGTCGTAATTCCCGCTGTGGTCCATTTTGTTAGATGGCGTGGTGGCGACGATGGCGGCGACCGCCGTGGTCAAGGGCCTGAGCGCGAGCCTCCAGGCTACGGCTCAAGGGACGGCCTGGCTGGGGCCCCCGGACGGGACGACCGGGAGCGCTGGGGCCGCAGGCCAGGGACCCAAGAGGAGGGCTTCCAGGAGGACAGCGGCCGCTGGACAGACGAGCGCCGCCGCCGTGCGAACGACCCACCGCCGCCACCCCGGGGCCACTACGGCGACCGTGATCGCGACCGGGACCATCGTAGCAGTGGCGACTACTACCGGACTGGTGGCAGCGGTAATGATTATCACCATGCAGGCGGTGGACATGAGCCGGAGTGGATGGCAGAGGAGGGTAGCGGGGGTGATGGGCGGCGTGGGGGCGGTAGTGGGGGCGGTGGCGCCGCCGCACGCGAGGAGCGTCCACCGGTCGTGAACCGGCCACCGGCTGGTGCGTCGACACGGCTGACGGCCGCTGACGTGGAGAGGGAGCGCCAGGCCTTCCGTGCCATGGCAAACAAGGAGAAGGTAGGTCAAGCCGCTCGCATCCCCTTGGGGATACCTAATGGCAACGGAATCCTGTATATGAATGACCCGTTCTTCAGCCGTGGGCGAGAGCCCGGAGCACGTTGGTGGCGTGTTATCATCATAATTTCCGTAACTCCCATGAGCTATAAGCCTGTGTGCGGGTCGAGGGCTTGCAGCACGGGAGGCTGGGGGTCTCGTACGACATTATGCAGGTGTCGCCGGCCTTGCTTCGTGCCTTGCAAGTATATACAATCCTTTTGGGGTTCAATTTAAGAGAAAGAACTGGATTCGGATAGCTCATCACCCCTCGTCTGTTCACCTCTCGCGGAGCATCCACCCAGACTTTTGCCCCGTTCTGCCGTGCACAATCCTGGCCTTTTCCTGGTTTCCGGTCTATTCCTGACCCTCATACAGGAGGCTCCTAAGCCCAAGCACGGTCTGTTTGACGTGGAGGAAATTGACCTGGACGAGCTGCGGGACGAGGACGATGATAATGCTGCACTGGCCACCAACCGGCCGCACTCACAGCCGTCGGCGCAGCCGCAGTCGGCCCATCAGCAGCAGTCGGTTGCAAGCGCCCCGCGGAGTGCTATGGGGGTGGAGGAGCTGGAGAGGCGCATGGCAGCCGGGGCAGCTGCGGGCACCGGAGTGAAGCCTGGTGAGTTTAGGGGCGAGGTTGGGTTGGTGTCCGTGCGCGAGCGCGAGCGCTGCAGGGCCAGTAACTGTCCTTCTTGGATTGGCTTCATGGTGACGGTCATAGATGGTTGGTGGCGGTTATGTTTGGGCTCTTTTCGCGAGCGCTTGGGTCGTTGGTCATGGTGCTGTGAAGCAGGAAGCGTGTCAATGTGCCTTGGTACAGAGTTTTCTTACTAAATTATGTTATGTCTGTATTATATGACGTAAAACTGTTTTGTGTACAGCTTGTTGTGCGCCTCTGCTCTGCATCAATGGCCTCCTGGATCTCCATATGAACCCGTAGTACTTAGCGATCGCTCCTGATAGTCCGTGAAGCGGCATGGAAGCCGCTGCCTTGAATATTTGCCTTGGCTGTTGCGTTGATTGCAGTTCTGCCTCCACCCGGCTTCGGCGGACCTGCCGCCCCTGCACCGCCGCCCGGTTTTGGAGCTCCGCCTCCGGCAGCACCTGCAGCTGCGTCCGCTACCTCCGCCGCCCCTGCTGCGCAAGCCTCTGCCAGTGTGCTGGGCGCCGCCCTTGGGGCTTTAGGTGGGAATGCAGCCGGGAAGGCGCTCCTCGGCATGTTGAAGAGGGGTGCATCTGGAGATCCACTTGTGCCGCCGACGCAGCTGCCGCAGCAGCAGCCGGCGCAAGCCACCGTGCCGAACATTCCGGCACCGCCGGCGCCGGCACTGTCTGCCTTGCTGCCTCCGGGCTTCCCGCCAGCAGTCAGGCCCCCGACTGCCGTCGGCTCCGCAGTGTCGCTGCCAGGACCTAATCCTGAGCAAAGGCAGGACCAGCAGCAGACGTTTCCGCAGCAGCAGCTTATGTTGCAGCAGCAACAACATCAGCCGTCCGCAACGCAGCCGCCGCCGCCGCCGCTGCAGCAGCAACAACCTGTGGCTCCATCGCCGCCGCAGCAGCAACAGCAACAGTCGAATGACGTTGCTCCTTCGGCCGAGTCTGCGGCGGAGCGACAAGGGGGTCTCCCAAGTCCCTTGCCTAATGCAGTGCCAAGTTACGGAGCTGGTGGAAGTTTGAGCGTGGCGGCTTCTGCACCGCCTGCGGCACTGCAGGCTGCGGTGTTTCCGCCGGCTACTGCGGAATCTGGCAGTGGCATTAGCACCTCTAAGGCTTCGTTCCCATCCATTTCGATGATGTCGGTAGCTCCCATTCCTGAGGGAGTTCGCAACGCCTTCGCGGATGCCAAGCTAGACGGTGGCAGCGGCACATCGATGGCCCAAAGCTTCAGCAGCAGCTTTGGTAGCATCTGGGGAACCCCGCAGGTAGATGTGGGGTGGTGGCTCGAAGCAAATGGGGACCAGCGCCAGGGCTCGAAGCACATGAAATGGGTGTTCAGGAGAACAGCAAACGCTGCAATTTATGTGTGGTGTGCTATTTAAGCGCATAAGCATGTGTCCTATTAGGATGGCCGTCGTACTAGGGTCGATTACTAGCTTGAGTCTCCGTCCTGGCTCATTCATTTACCACCCTTCTAACCCTCTGCGCAGCTCTTCTCTCAGGCCCTCAAGCCGCAAGAATCATCCTCGGTCCCTCTTCCCCGACCCGTGCCCCAGCAGCCCGCCACCGCCATGCCTGCTGCTGCCGATCATGGCGGCAGCAATAGCACCACCACCACCACGAGCGGCCCTCCGCAAGTCACCGCGGCGTCCACAAACCCTGGCATGCTGCCGCCCGTCAGGCCGGCTCCATCCGCACCAGCTCAGCAGCTACCCTCTGCCCAGCCGCTCCTGCCTCCACAGCAGCAGCAACTTCCACCACAGTTGCAAGCGCTTCTGGGCATACAACCCCATGGGCAACACCAGGCCATGCAGCAGCAGCAGGCTCCGTCAGCTGCAGGTTTGGCGCTCTTCCAACAGCACCCAGGCCTAGGTCAGCAGCAACAGCATCAATTGCTGCAGCAGGGCGGTGTCAATGTTCGCAACCTGCCTGAAAGCCACCCGCTTCACGCCCTCTTTGCGCGCGCAGCCGGGGCAAGCAAACAGCAGCCGTCGCAGCCGCAGCAGCAGCCACAAGCTGCTCTGGGCCAAGCGGCGCCCCAGCCGCATGTGCAGCCACAGCAACAGCAGCCACAGGGCTCCGCGCCAGCGTCCGGACTCACGGGCCAGCCCAAGCCGGGCGCGGGCATGGACCCGCTGTCACTCTTATTGGGCCAGCTGGGCCGTGCGCAGGCACAGGCGCAACAGGCGCCGCCAGCACAGCTCCAGCAACCGCAGCAGCAGCCGGGCCTGCCTGGCTTCGGCCAACCCCAGCTGAACGTCAGCACTGTGAGCGGATTAGCGGGTTTGCACGCACAGCAGGTCCAGCAGCAGCAGCACGGTGCCCCGCCTTATGGCCAACGTGTGCCGTTTGTCCAGCCTGCGGCTCCGACTGCGCCGCAGAACGCCATGCAGCAACTGCAACAACAGCTGCGGCAGCTGCAGTTCGGGGCTGCCGAAGGCCTGGCGGCTGCCCAGCAGCCGGCACCGCCGGCGGCTACACCGGCGCAGGCCCCGACGCAGCCCAGTCAGGCCCAAAGCCAGGGCTCTAACGTTGTGGCGCAGCTGCATCAGATGTTGCAGCAGGCCGCTGCGCAACAGCAGCAGCAGGCACAGCCTGCCATCACGGGTCCGGGGGCACAAAACTTTTTCCAGCAGCTCATGTCAGGGGGCGCTGGCAGCACGCCGGGGTCCGCCACCGCCTTGGGCGCTGGAGCTACCGGTGGCAACCTTGCCACACTGCAAGCGCTGCAACAGCTCCAGGCACTCCAGGCTGGCGCGGCCGCTAGGGCGCCTTTGGTGCCACCCGGCACCCAGCAGCTGCCGCCGCACCTGCACACGCCGACCGCCGGTGCATTCACGGGCTCCCACGCGGCACACCAGGCATGGCCACAGGCCATGGCGCTCAACCCAGCGCTGGCTGCAGCCGCGGCGGCTGCAGCCACTCGGCCTGCCATGCAGCCGCCCATGGGAGGCGGCAGTGGCGGCGGTGCCCCCGGCGGTGCTGACGCGACCAGCCTTGCACGCTTCCTGAACGCAGCGGCGCTGCAGGCTGCTGTGAGCGGCAATGCAGGCGGGTCGCGCCTGCCTCTGGGTCAAGCGTCGTCTGTGCCTGGGCCAGCGCTGCAAGGGGGCGACCTCGAGCGCCTGCTGCAGATGCAGGCAGTCGCCCGGCAGCAGTCACAAGGCCAGAGGTAGGCTGCTGCGTGGGTATGCAGCAAGCGTTCACGTGGGCTGCTTGGTGCAAGCATGCCCGTGGCTTTCTTTATGCGGTCGTGCGAAACGGTCACTGAAGGATAGGGTTCCAAAGCAGCGAAGAGGACGTCGCGTAGGGCACTCTTCGAGATCTCATCTCCACATAAAGAACAGTTCATGGCGGAGGACATGGAGAGCAGCAGGATTTATTAAACTCGTTGGTTGAACCGTATGGATAAATCTCAGGTGCTGCTGCTGTATACGTTAAGGCAGAAGTGAAGGTGTTGTTTCTTGTGGCCTGAAGCATTGCAAAGCGGGTCCGGCAGATTGGGTACAATTAGCTAAGAGCCATTTGTAGCGCGCACACACCGGGCGATGGGTGCCGGCTCTAATTGGACCTCCTTGGTGAGGGTGCGAGGAGTTGGGCCGCGTGAACGCTTCCTGTGGTTTGATGGGTTTTGCGTGCGTGTTGCGGTCGCGTCGATGTCCATGGAAAGTCAGATCGGATCCTGGCGACTCGGGTTTACGGCGCGGTTGGGACAGCTGGTCTGTGCGACAAACATGCAAACAAATGAGGTGTGGGCAGCGGCTATGCGTTTCTGTGTACTAGTTGCCACGAGCAGCATGCGGGTTTTCGAGCTGCGGATTGATGGACCTCTTCTGGATAGTAATTTCACCGCTCACAGCTTGCTTGCTGGGAGAAGTGCAAGGCCGCTTTGTTACACGGGGTTCCGCCCGGCGGCACCGTTGGTTGGAGATGGCATGGCGTATCACAGGGACTCTGGTGTGTGCATTCTAGGCAGATGTGCTTGACTGCTTTGAATTTGGCTTACATGGCACGGGATATCGGCCATTGTGAAGTTCACACTTCTTTGCTGGCGGGAGTGCAGGAAGGGCTCGAGTTGCGGCGGAGCAACACGCCGCACAATTTGTTCCATTGCACAAGCTGAGGCGTAAGCAATGCCCACCGGTATCGCCTATAGGATGTCCGCGTTTGCCTATGGCCACTGCGGTTTCCTTAAAATCTACGACTGGGCAACTTTGTTTTGCATCAATAGACGCAGGATATCGGATATATAAGGTGGCAGGTGGTCCATTTCTCTCTTCGAAGCACATCATTCCGTGGATTTCGGTTTTAGCAGGGCAGTGGGCAGGCTGGCGGCATCTGAATTGATATAGCACTGCTGCCGAAGTGCTGCTCTTGTATTGGCTTTGGGCAAGGAGGAAGTAGAAGGATGTATATGGGGGGGGATGGATTATGGGAAAGGGTGTATTCGGGGGTTATCGTGGCGGTTTTATTCTGGGCTTGTATCGGCGGCATGGTTGTGTTTTGGAGCTTGCAGTCTCTCCCAGCCAGCCATGTAGTCCTACGCCACGGTACAGGTTCAGGCGTGCTCATGCTACGATTTTTGGCTGCCTTCGCGTCTTCATGTAATCGCTTCAGTCTGTACCCTCACCTAACATGCGAAGTGCCTAGCAGTTATGCAGCTCCTATACCTCGCGACACCAAGGCGACTTGGCCCTCGCTGAGCCGCGCTTGGCCTACTTGCACACCCTGTGTTTCACTCCCTTGCGGTATGCGGGCGTAATACTGCCGACACTGCCCTGTGCCTCAGCAAAATATATCACGTAAGTGCAGCCTAACGTGCCTTATGTGAGTAGTAAATCGCGTAGATAAAGCATGCTTCCACTCCACTGCCCGCTCTCTCCACTGAGTAATCTTATTTCTCAGTCGAAGATGTCGCTCCATAACCCCTCCCTTTCCGCCGTCCTCCCGTTCTGTGTCATCACGGCCCCTCCCCGGCCCCCGCAGCCGCCGATGCATGCACCGCTGACAACCGGCCTCGCAGCTCCTCATTCTCAGCCTCCAACGTGCGTAGGCGCTCCAGCATGGCCGTGACGCAGCCCTCAATCTCTCCGTCGATCTTATCCCGCTCTGCCAGCTCCGCAGTGAGGCGGGTGATGTGGTCCTCCAGCAGCCGCTTCTCCACGTACCTGCGGCCGGCGAATGCGTAACAGAGCAAGCACCGAATGCCACCCGCCCTGAGAAGCATTAACCTAGGAATAGTCGCACGCTGCTGTAACAGTATAAATGTGCTTCGTGACGTTCTTTGGCTGAGCCCGTTCAGAGCCGAGCTGGCTCGCCAGGCTAGGATGGGCCCAAAAAACACTCAGTCCAAGACGATGCCTCAGCCTCAAGGGATGTGGCCGTTCCCATCTGGATGAGCACATCGGTTGCGCGCAGAAGAAACACACGTGGAAGAGCACATCGTCAGTTGTTGCATCGCAGGTTGCGCACTTCATGGCCGATATGCTGCGATTCGATGCTGGCACGCACCAGTCCGACATGGCCTTCTCGCTCTCGTACAGTTTGGCGCTGTACAGCGCAGCCTCCGCCTCGCGTTCTTGCACCTCCTCGTCCAGCCGCTTCCGCAGGTCCTCCACGAGCGTCCTGGCAGCAACTGCGGTGGCGGCACTGTAGCGGGAGCCCGTCTGCAGAGCGCTGGCACGTCTGCGGGGAGCGGGGTTAAAAGGGTGCAAAGAGATGAACGGTACCATAGTGAGAATGCAATGACTTGCAGGCCAATGTGTTTTGGGGCGCACGGTTAGGGCTGTTGGCAGCCGGAGCTCCGGAGGGTGGTGGGTGTGCCAGCGTAGTTATTGCATGGAGCTTTACACAAGGTATGCAAGTTGGGGAGTCTGTTGGACGTACTTCTTGAGCAGGCGATTGTAGTCCTCGCGGATTTGCTTATATTTCTGGTGGTGTAGGGCAGACTGCGCCAGCATGTCGCGCAGGCTGTCCGGGTTGACACCCTGTGCGCCTAGCCCGGCTAGCCCCCCCCCTCGACCGCCGGTGCCGCCCAGCGCCGCACCCGGACCGCCACCAGGGACCCCGTTCGCCAGCTGCATCTCTAGCAGCGAGCACCGGCGTCGGGAGGCCTCTAGGGCTTGCTGTAGCTGGCGAATAGTGAGGTCACGCTCCTGCGAGCCGAACGATGAAGTAAGAAACTAAGGCGATTAGGTTCGGAAGGGGTTTCGAATTCATGACTTGAAGCGGGCGACGCGGACGTATAATTCGTCCGCTATGGGCGATGTGCGCTGTAATTAGAAACTGAGCACGGAGATCACGAAGCAGTACAGTCAAGCGATGGAGGCGGGTCATAGAAGTCCAAGTGCTCTGCATCGGAATGCGAAAGAATTAGCTCACGGCGATTAGGCGAAAGCAACTGGCACGGCTGGAAGCGGTATTCCCGGCGGGCTTGGAGCAGCGTTAAGGAGCAGGTGGGAGGGTTGATCCGAAAAGGGCCCAACTAACCTCCTGCCTGATGACATGTGCAGACTTGGCCCACCATCCTGGGTTTGACTGGCATGGTGCTGAGTCTGCCCATGTGAGCATGACACGGCATGGCTTTTAACCTGGCATTGGTATGTGGCATCACCCTCGAGCGAGGCAGCATGCACGCAAGGATCCGTCACAATCCCCCACAGGACAGCACAGGACACAGGCCTTGTAATCACGTGTTACTCCGGAGCGCGCAGCCGGGCGACGTGGCGGCCGCCCCTCGCACAACGGCCTCGTTTCTCACCTGTAGCGCCTGGAATGAGGGTGTGGTGTCCGTCAGCCCGAGCCCGGCGGCAGCGGTGGCCGGACGGAGCGGACCGTGCATGGTGGGCGGTTGGGTAAGGTCCACGCCGCCATGGTTTGCCTGGTGCAGTGGGCGGTACCAGGGCCGGGCTCGCATTACCCGCATTGCATTTAGCCGTGAAGGAAATGGGTTGCGATTGAGGATGGCAATGCTGACCGGCCAGGGTTCATTACTACAGGTTGTGTTGGGCACAGGGTGACTTCCTGTCTCAAGGCCAGATATGGTTTGGTTTGTCCCGGCGAAAGCCATTATAGCCATTATTGTGGGGGTTCACTAGGTGCTCTCCCTGGGGCACGGACCTTCACAATGGCAAGTTCTTTCTCCAGCTCAACGTTTTTGTGATAGAGCTTCTTCATTATGCTGCGGGACATTGCCATCTTCTGCTCTAGTTCAGCCATCTTGCGCTGTGGCTCGTTGTCCCGCGCGCCACCGGTTGGCAGGGAGACGGTTTTATCGGTTGGGTCGCCGGCACGGCGACCTGGGCTGTTGCTCCCATAGGCTTGCAGGTGTGGATCAGAAGCAACTCCAGCGGCCTGGCTTATATCTACAAGGGCCTTCTGCACCTGCTCGCGAAGCGACTGCGATATGCCGAGGGATGCAAGCCCTGCCAAAATGTCAAGTGCATGTGGTGCAACACAAGCATCATCGCTGGCAACTATTTCATCCATTTAGTGGGTAGACCACTATTACAGGTAACTACACCATGACATTGAAAGTTTGCAAGCTGCTTTACAACACCCCCTCAGTAGACCGCTACGTGAGCACGTCACGAGGTATGATGGCTAAAATTTTTTATAGTATGAGTCAAACTATGATGCAAGCCAAGTCATGTATCAGTAAACGTCGTACAGAAGTCGACTCTTCTTTGACGGGCGCCCTAATATGTTTTCCCAGTAGAAGTTGTGTTTATTTGCATGAAGTCAATTGCATTCTACATGTAACAGATGCTCGCCTGCAAACATTATACCTAACACAAATCTGTGTGCTTTACTACGTAGCTTTCATCACGTTAATAGCTAAAACGGTATAATATTGAACGTTTGAAGAATCAAGGTTACAGCTTAGCAGCCCTATACACATCTGAGGCAACATGACGCGGGGGCTGGACTACTATGAGGTGATGGGCCTCACCCGGTACGAATAAGAATTATGAGTCCATTAGGATAACCTATCGGTCCATGGCCTTTCGGCTACGGCCCTGAAGGGACCCGCGAGTGGCATGCGCGAACACCTTTCCCCTTGTGCATTGACATATCCGCAGGAGTGCCAATGACATCGACATCCGGCGAGCGTAAGTATTCTAAGGGATGTCTTCAGGGTTGCCGCGATAATCTTTGGGGCAGGAGGTGCTTTCCGGCGATGTCATAAATGGGCCATTCAGGGGTCCGCGCACAACACGGGTGGTGACATTCCTGTGTGCATTTCCCGTGGGGGTTAGGTTGGGGTTTGGCTGGTGCGCATGGCTGGGCGCTAATATGCATTTGAGCGTTGCACTAACCCGCTGATATACCATCCAGTTAAAGGCACTGGCCACTTATAGCAACGGAGTTCTCTCTTGCGACCACAACATTGCAGCTACTATGTGTCCTGCAGGGCCAGGTCACCCTGTTGGATGGGTATGGCCGGCCCTGAACGCATACAGCCCTCCTCCCATATTCTCCCGCTTCTTCATAGGAACAGCCCCACCCCATGCCCCTCATTCCACGCAATAAAATGTGTGCCCCAACTAATCCGCGGACAGCTACCGGCGGTTGTCGCTCAAGTATCACCCGGACATCAACCATGAAAAAGCGGCCCATGAGGAGTTCCTGCGGATCTGCGAGGCCTACGAGGTTCTGTCTAATCGTAAGTCACCACCACCGCGTTGGAGGCGGCGCTGCGGGGCCCAGCCTGAGCAGGGCTAGTGGCGGCGGGGCTGCGGTGGCTCGGTCACCAGGAGGCGGGGCTCAGTTGCATAGACCCCTGCATTGGGCTTTGACGGATTTTTTTCTGATGACCTTTGGGGAGGAGCAGCTTGCGCCGGGAGGTACTGAGGCAATCATCTTGTTGCAGATTTCGGCCAGGGAACTTGCCCCAGCTGATCAATCGGATAGGGCTTAAGGACCTGGAGGACTAGGTGATCGTTTTGCAGGGCTCAGTGCGCTCTGGTCAGGGTGCGGTGATTGCTCCATTGCGTCCTCATGGTGACATCGCCCTGGGCTGCGCGTATGGCGAGACATGGCACCCTTTGAAGGAGAGACAAGCAATAGGGCAAGCAGCATTTAAGGCAATCAGTAAACATACAGTCCTACTTTCGGTTCATGGCAGCGCGAGTGCATCTCCTGTTTCTCCGGCCGCGCTTAGCGCAATGTGATATAGCATACTTCAGGCAAAGTGGAGTCAGCGCAAGGCATCAATGCGGAACGGGCGCGCTTAGGCGTCATGGCGCCTAGGTCTTGACGCGCCTGGGGCCTTAGCCCCATTGCCTCCTTGGTCATTCCGTACCATGTGTCCTGTCCCGCTTCCTCTGCCATGGTGTCGGTCTCAGTCATGCAGTGAGCTCTGAGCTGAGCAGTCCGTTCCCAGGCGGGCGTGCAGCCATCCGACAGCTGCTTCACTACCTTGGGGGTTTCTCTTTCCAACTCCATCCTTTTCCCTCCCCACGCAGCCAAGACCAAGGGCTTTTATGATTTGTACGGCGAAGACGCCCTTAAGGACGGCTTACCCGATGGCAAGGGAGGTAAGCACGAACATGCGGGAGCCCGGGTATAACTGTATACCTGCCATCTGGTAACGGCTGCCTCAGTCTCCATCACATACCCTCTCACCCACCTTCGCGCGGCTCCGTGTTCTTCTCGCCGCCGCCTCAGGCCTCAAGGGCCCTATGTACCGCTTCAATCCCGAGGATAGCCCCAAGGCCATCTTCCAGCGGTTCTTCGGGACCAACAACCCGTACGAAGCGCTTGAAGGTAAGTTCCTCCGCTTTACCAGCTCACCTTGGCGGCGGACCACTTTCCCCCGGGAATGCGGTCGGCGCTGTCTGTGTTCACGGGGTAACTTCACAGATCTGGGACGCCGCCATCACGCCATAAGCGATATGCCTTGTCCTACATTATCCCTCAACCCCGCCGCCCGGGCCCCCTTGCAGCGCTATCCAGCCAATTTGAGGCCATGACGTCGGAGGAACCGCCGGCCAAGGGAAAGAACAAAGTGGTGAGCGCCTTCTTAAACCCCTTTTGAGGTCTCCTTACTTTAACTGTGCCCGCCACCCTCCTTCCCTTCCCTCGCATGGCACCGTGCCTCCATCCCTGTTTACACTGTTACATCTTCGTGCCCATTCTTTCCGCAAACTTCAATCCGCCGGCCCATAAACGCCCCGGCACTTCCCTTCCACAGTATCCACTGGAGCTGACGCTTGAGGAAATTTTCCACGGCTGCCTGAAGAAGGTAACGCACAAGCGCAAGGTGCTGTTATTCAGTGGCGAGTACATGGAGGAGGAGAGAACCCTTACGGTGGACGTCAAGCCGGGGCTGCCCACGGGGACGCGCTTCGTATTTGAGGGGTACGTGAGCGTACATGGGCGTGGTTGAGGGCACGGACAGCCGGTAAAGGTTGTGCAGCCGTAGGCGATTGTGGGAGGCCTTGCGGTGTGGCATGTGCGGATGGACATATCATGAACACAGATGGGCGGGACCGTTGAGCTCACCATTTATCTATGCGCGTCTCACTACTTGCAGCTGGCCGGCACGTGGTCAATACGAAATTTAGTTGACCCGACTAACTCACAATATGCTGCCGTCCGACCGCAGGGAAGGCAACAAGACGCCCAAGAAGGAGCCCGGCCCAGTCATCTTTGTGCTCAAGCCCAAGCCGCACCCACGCTTCGTTCGCCGCGGATCAGACCTCGTGCACAAGGTGAGGCGGGGTGGGCTGCAGCGGGAGCACGTCAGGTAAGCTCATATTCAGGCGGTTAGGTGGTTAAGAAATGCCTGGTACCTGGGCTCAGTGCCGACATCGAAAATGCGGGCTGGCTCTATGGTTGGCCCGAGTAGCCGGAAGTGGGCGGGGAGCTCTTGCCTCAACCATCCTTTCCGTACCTGCTCGTGTACCGTTGCTCCTGCTGGCTCCTGTTGGCATCAATATTGCTGCCGCCAACGTTGCTGCGGTTGCAATTGCCACTGCATCAGGTGACTATGCCGCTGCACCACGCGCTAATCGGCACGTCGGTGGAGGTCCGCACGCTTGACGACCGTGACCTTAAGGTGCCCATTGCCGACATTGTCCGCCCGGGTTCCACGGTTGTGGTGCCCGGCGAGGGCATGCCACTGCCAGCGGCACCCCACGCCCGCGGTAATCTGATCTTGGACATTGATCTGCTCTTCCCCACGCACCTCAGCGAGACGCAGAAGATGCTTTTGCGCTCCGCCTTCTTCCTGCCACCACCCACGGAGCAGAACGAAGAGCAGAAGAAGGCGCTGCGAGACTACGAGGCGGCATTTAAGCATGAGCTTAAGGGCTGGGCCACCGTGTTCAAACGGTAGAAAGTCTGCTGCTGGTTCTTGTTTGCGGCTGCGTGCGGATTTGAAGTGCTTGCGTAGGTTTGAAGTGCGTCGGTGTCGGAAGAGTAATGACCGACGACAGAACTTGAAGAGGAAAGGGGTAGGGTGCCATAGGAGGTTGCATGGAGCAGGGACTAGGTGTGGTGTGGGGTGTAGCACAGGTTTGGTGGATGCGGTGGACTGTGTGCGCCCTTCTGCGCGCGCGTAAGGATATTGCAGGCGAGAAAGATGCGCTGACAAGGCTTTACGGCTTTTTCGGGGTATAACCCCTCTAGTGACTGGCTGACGAAAGGTTGCAAGTTTCAGTTGCCTCTTATGGGTCTCGTGCGTGATGCGCGCATTGCTGTATTGTAACATGTATGGAAAGCTCAAAACAGTTTACAAACGAGCCATTACGTCAGCAACAGGGATGCCGCTTTTAATGCTTGGCCGTACAGGTGCACCTAAGTGCCCCTTCTCTGAAATGCAGGAGGGTGGAGAACACGGAGGCGCACTTCCAGCTGCAGCCGGGTCCTCACATCATACTTTGCACGTGCATGCACGCACTATCCCTTGAATACAAAGGGACCGCGAACGGAATGCGTTTACTATGATGAATGTAGGCAACGCAGCCCGGATAGGGCCAGAGAGGCCGGGTGTGAGGACGCACCGTGTTTGCATGGAACCAAGAACGCATGACCGTTATTATCCTCATAACTTTATATCTCAAGAAGGATTATGCGCAGTCCAACAAGAAACGACAGATCCCCTTCGTGTTTCCCACGAATTCGTTAAAGCTGCATCACTAGCCAGTGACTTATTAAAGCGCAGCTGCGATGACTGCCCCGCTGCACAGCAGCACCGAGATCAGAGTGATGAACGAGACCCAGCCCGCATGCAACATGCAGCCGGTCGGCACCGTAATCATATCCGGCATCTGCACCCGCAGACCCACAAGTGCCCACTGCGGCGGCGCATCAGGGCTACGGTGTGCCGGCTCCTGCGGGCCCAATGGAAGATTACGCTGTATCCCCACTTGTGCAAACTGTGCATCGGGAGGGTTGGCCATCGCGACGAAGCCCAATGATCCTGGTGTTGTTTCGCGCCCTGGCGACGTAGCGCTGCCCCTATCACCGCCTTTCACCTCCTGCTCCACCATCTCATGATCAGGGGTCACACGATGCGACTCCGTACGCAGTAGCAGCGTCGGAGCTGGCCATGTTACCGTGGTAGAAGGCCCTGGATACACGGGTGTACAGGTGGGCCCTTGTTAAACCCCGCCGTCCCGTTCATACCATACCGCGAGGTACTGCTGGAATGGTCACAGTGAACCCCATCAGGGTGTCTCGGTTGCACACGCAGCTTTGGCTGACAGAGCTATAGCATCAAGCCTTATTCAGCATCGACTCTAATTGGCCACAAACACAACGTTCCGGTCGAGAGAAATGCAGCTCCCAAACGATAATGGATAAGATGCTTGCTCGCCATATGCCAGGTGCAACTGCAACCGCACGACAGATCCACAAGTAGCGTTCCGGGGTGTTGGATAGTGACCGACACTCATATACCAGAGAATGGTAGCACCAGTAATAGGACCCGGGGGGGTCCGGCGCTTTGCTGGTCTTAACAGGGGGTCCCGCAGTGTACGCCACAATAAAGAGTTTTACGTACCTACACGGAACTGCCTGAGGAAGCCCGGACCGCTGGTGCACTCCGGGCTGACGCTGACCGGCGTGGAATATTTCACATGGAAAGGCACATCCACAGATAAATATGAGGGCCGAGAACTTTGCCTTTGCGGACGGTCACCCAGATTCCTTAGCGTGAGCGCAAGCACGGTGGGTTGGCACACTGGTGCTGGCCTGCGTCCAGAGGCATAGCAAATTCGCGCACTCAGTTCCTAGTCATTCCAATACGTCCCATAGGATACCTAAGTTACAGCTGTAGGTATCGGTTCGGGGGGCTGTATAGAAACACTGCTATGACTGGTGAAACCGTTGCGCAGAGCGTTGCCACCTAACTGTTCCAGATCGGCGTGACCAAAGATTTCCCAATCCAGCGCTTCTGCAATTGCAAAAGAGAAAACATTTCATAATACCTCTGTGACATCAAATGGCTGCAGAAGAGTTCTCTGCAAGGCTTACCTTTGCGAACAGCGTTTAAGTGTTCAAGTTCATACGGATCCACGAAAAACTCCGGCGGAATTGTCTGCAGAATTGTAATCTGCATAACCACGCTACACAAAGGTTCAGCGGCTTTCTGTTCACGATCAGGGCAATTGACAACGGCAGGGACGCACCTCTCCACCTTGCTGAGGTAGGTTTGAGAAACCAAACAGGACGGCTGGTAAACATATAAGCTCGAAAAAAATTCGCCGGTGAAATCCCTCCCTACAGTCGCAAACTCGGTAATAGCAAGTGGCATTGTGACTTTGCGACAAAGCAGAAGCCAGGAACTTCCTATAAACATTTACCCAGTCACAAGAGTTTCAATGCAGTCAACACCAGAAGAAGGGGGCGGAACTTGCAATCCTTCTACGAGACGATATCGGCCGACTATATCTGCGCAGGCGTAGACGGAGTGTCGCAAACATCTCCAGCACATGACGTCAAGGCGGTAAATCAGCACAATCTTACCTTGCCACCATGGCATGGAAACATGGGTGGGCAGGACTTGTTGCGGGGTCGGCGCATTCGATACCAGTAGCCCAAAACAAGCTAATGCCACGGCCGCAAGCCACTGGAGCGGGATACCAACATTATGCATAATGTTCTTCGTGCAAATATGAATCCGGAAACCTAAATACCTTGGCGTCACCTCACCAATTAGTTCCCGATTAACAAGTATCGGCTGTACTGTAAAGACCGAGTGGCCGCGACCACGACGACCTATCCTATGATGGCCTGTCCTACTACCCAGCTTAGACCGTGATGTTCAAAATGTTCAAAGTTAGGACAGCACAACACGAACCATTGGCCCTACGTGTTAGGGCCCATGGTGTGTCTTCACCACAAGCCTAAGCGCATTCGGCGCCTGCAAACTGCACGCAGTGTCGCGTCATGCACATACACTCTGCCACTGCATTCGCAACATCGTCTGAGCGAGCTGTATTACACCGTTCGTACAAGAATGGTTCAAAACGGAAGACATAGACGTCCGCATTACCAGGCTTATGGAATAATCGGAGCAGCAATCGCATCTAAATGAGCTCTGTTTCGGACAATAAGCGTGCGGAGAGCATCACCAAGCCCCGATACCCTCTTTAGAGCGACCTTTCCCCCTCAAAATATAATCCAGCATGGCAATCAACTTGTGTTGCTCTACTCTTCACTATCCTGCGTGACAGAAAACGTCCTGACCTAACGCCCAAGGCGTTGTGCCGAGATCACAATTTATCGCATCCACACCTAGAAGCGCTCCAGTACATCACGAAGTTGGCATGTCGCTCCGCAACTCCAGGACCCCACCCCGTAACCTTCGCCCTCACCGGTAACCCCGTCTTCACCCAAACCTGCACGCTTCACCCACGTTATATAGTTTAAACAAAACAACCGCAGCTGGCCTAGCCCACCACCGGGGCCGGCCCAAGCGCCGGAAGTCCTGGAAACTCCCGCGGGCTTGATGCAGACGCAAACGCCGCGAAATCATTGCTACCAGCGGATTCCAACCTGCCCTGCGTCACGTGATCACAGGCAGCAAATGGGTCAAACGTGGCGACTCCCGAACCCGCCGGAACAGCCAAGCCGCTGCTGACACCGCTGAGCGACGATGGCGACAGACCCAGAAGGTCTGCGGTGGTAGCATCAGCGCTGCTGGCGCCTGTGGCCGTAACCGCCGCCGCCGAAGTGGCACAGCAGCCAGCAACAGGTGCCGCCAAAACGGGGCCCCCAGCAGGCGTTTGCGCCGAGATGGCGAAGGGCGAGGTCGTGGCAGACGCTACGGAACCATTGACGCCGCCGACGCTCCAGTTGCTGGCAGCGCTGTACAACGTGCCAGAGACTGCGGCGGGGGGTGCCGACCCTGTTCCAAAGGGATTCCAATCCGAAGGTGGGGCCACACATGACGGGCTAGCGTACCATGCGGATCCCGGGCCAGGAAGCACACCACTCGTCGGCGGCGTCGAGTCTCCGCTTCCAATGACGGCGCCAGCAGCTGCTGCACCTTCAACTGCATTAAGGTGCGGCATCAGGTGCTGTACACCGCCAACGGACATTGCACGAGGGTAGGTTAGCGGGGCTAACGGTGACACCGTAGCTGCCCCCGCTTCTGAGGCTGCTCCCGTCGTGACAGGAGACGCCATCGGGGTCGTGAAGCTCGGTGTCTGAGCGTGAGACGACAGCCCGGACCCTGGAGCACGGCCCGCCTCGAATCCATCCGACCGCCCCAGGAAAGAAGACTGCCCCCCAGTAAGGCCCAGTGGGCGCTGAGGCGCATGCGGCTGCTTAAGTTTGCCGTCAGCACCTGCCAACAGGGTTGCACCCCCGCCTCCCGTAAGCTGGGCCTTGAACTTGGCGGCCTTCTCGCCTGTGGGACGGTAATTTCCATTATGTAATTTATCAAGATGACGAGGACGTGCACCAATCCCAACGAATTGCAATTAAACACACAGGCTGCACGAACTAGCGTGTAAACGTCTGCCGACCTTCGGGTTGTGCGGGATTCATATTGTTTAGTGTAATTACAGCAAAAAAGCAAAACCCGACGCGTATCCACATCCGAGGTTGCTGGCTTTCCGCGTAGAAAATCAACGCGCCCCAACGCAGAGCTAACGCAAGTGCACAGGCAAAGCACACAGCGGCGTCTTCCTAATTTCGAAGACGCTGCGGCAAACCATGCACCTGTTGTCTGAGGCTTGTAGCCTGGCGGGGGCAAAGTACCCAAGGCCTTGACCTTCGTACCAGCTCCCGTCACTTTCTCCTTGAGACCCGACAAAAATGACGACCCAGCGAGAAACGACGAGAGATTATGGGCGCCGCCGGTGCTGTTGGCACCCCCCCGCAGTTGCTGCTGGTGGGAATCTTCTGGTCGCACGCCAGCTATCCCTGCACCGCCCTTCTCGCTGCCTCCTGCTGCGCCCACTGCCGAGGCTTCAGGTAACGGAACGGACCCTGGGGGTGCAAGCCGCGCCTCGGAGACCAGTCCAAGTGGCGTGCCCTGGTGCAACGAGACCTGGGGCTGGGGTATTGGGCGCCCAGGGTTATTCTGTGGCTGCGGCGGCACCGGCGCAGCTGCAGCGAGGGCTGAAATTAGTTGGAAATGTTGCTGCAGTTGACTGCGTGCGCGACGTTCTGTCGCAGCCTCACGGTCCTTAGTGCGCGGGGAGGCCAATGGGGAGGCTAGTCCTGACAAGCCTGATAATAGGTTGTTCTTTGCCTCCGTGGCCGCCAGGCGGAGGATGTCCTTAAATGTCCCATCGTATACGCGGTGGCCGTCTGCCAGTGTCACAACCTGCAAAGAAGTCGGGTTTCGGAGGGCATGACATCAGCGATGGGCTCAAGGCGCCCGTGAAATAGGACACATGAGCAATGCAGAGTTTGCGGAACACGCATATGGAAGAACATGACGACAAGAGACGGCAATGCGATAACATGACTGTTAATAGAGCAGGTAACCCTCGATAAACCCATTCTCAAGTTCACCTGTACACCGCCTTTCAGCATTGTGCCCGCGACAGGCGCGTCATTGCCGCCACCACCGCCGTTTGGAGGAAACGTCTGATTTAGCAGCCGCGACCCAGAGCTGCCAGCCGCAGCCAAGACGACAGGCCTCGCTGCAGCCGCAGCCGCTTGCACTGCCGCCCGATCCCCCGGGCCCGGCGACTCATTCGAAGGTGCTGCACGCAGCGACATGTACGTTGATTTTGCATTCGTTGACAGCATTGGTACTGATAGCCTGCGCAGCGGGGTCGCGTCGCGCCCGGAGTCGCGGTCACGCCCGCCGCGGTCCGCTTTTTGTCCAAAAGCGCCTGTCCCCGTCGGTTGTGGTACGTTGCCATTGGCGCCGGCGATCTCCGTGAAGTCCACGGAATGGAGACTATTGCCGCTCTCGCTGCGCTTGTGCTCCCGATCTACGGTCACACGTCCCAAGCAAGTTGCGCGGTCAAAGGAATCGTCAAGGGCAAAGGGCTTAAAGAGGCGAAACGGTAAAGACAAAACGCAACCGGCAGAACGTGATGGCGAAGCCAGCTGTGGTGCCGAGGACCAGTTGCGGCAAACGGGCAGCAAGAGTCCGACATCATGTGCTAAACCGGCAATGACGCAATAACCAAGAGTAACGCTTGAATGGCTTACGAGTAGCGCTGCGGCGACCATTCAAGTTGATACGGGCTTTCGGTGATGTAACAAACCCTTATCCCAAATGTCCCGTGCCCTCCTTGGCAGATGGACGACGAGACGCAGACGAGAAACTGCAGGCCTCCGGGTAATAGCAAGGTTTCCCACAGTTCGCATGTGGCCGGGTCATTGAACGAACCACCCCCATCCTACCTCGGGGGCTGGGACTAGGACTCCCGGACGCATTATCGTCGTCCTCACGCAAGTCCCACTCAGCGAAGTAGCTGAACGGGTCCTCGGGTGTTGGATTTGAAACATCTGCGGGATATGGCCCAGTGACGTTCAAAAACAAGATGGGAAATAAGACGTGGAAACAGGCGTGTCGGCCTGGATCAACTGCCCAGCAACCATAATTGGGTGATTAGGTGCCGTGCCCATTGCTGTGGCATTAATTTCTGGAGAAGGCTGCCAAGAAGTGGCAGCGAGGATGCAAATCCAGCGGCTCTCATGAAGGGTGCTGGCTCATGACAAGATGCCGCAGTGTGTGCTGTCTCAGGGAAACCCCGCCCCTCTACGATGTGGTAGAGGGCTCATATGCCCATAGTAAACAACTTCTCGCCTCTGCGGCACACTCACCGACCAGTCCTGGGTATGTCGTTATCCGCCGAATGCTCTCGCCGACATGGAGCGGCCCAAACGGCTGGGCATGCGGCTGGGAAATAAGGTCTTCGCTGTCCGTCCGCCGGTGCCGCCGCAGCTTGCTCGCCAGCTTTCCACCACCACCACCACCCGCCGCGGCGGCCTCGCCTATAAGGCTGCGTAAATGTTCGCGAAGTAGCCGCTTACGCTCTGGATAGCGCTCCACCCGAAGCTCGAAGGGGTCGGCCGCACAGGGCGGGGCGCCAGCGGATGAAGCGCCGTTGGTGCTTTCACCACCGCCACCGCTCTCGCGGAGGCAAGTGAGGTCTGACACATGAATCGACCCGGTCAAGTAGCCTCCCTGCGATGAGTTGTCCAGTACTGCCAAGTTGTTGGCGCTATTGCTCTTGCTCATCAGGGACCTGCGCAAGCGGTTGCCAATGCTGCCTCCCGCACAGGAAAAGCTGTGGCCGCTGCTGCTGCCGCCGCTGGTCAGCTCTATGGCGCCCGACGCAGCCATGGCAAGGCGTTCCTGGACGAACATCTCATATAGCTGACTGTGGCGCATGGAGTTTAAGAATGCGCGCACTGCCTCGCTGCGCCTGTGACGGGTCAGGGCAGAAATAAGCGATTCCCCGCAGCTTAAAGAGGTTCCACCCAAGAACAACCAAGGGGCATTGCAGCCGCTGATGGGCCGCATTTGCACACGCGGCTGCTGTTACCGCCCGACTAAGGTGCACCGAGCACTACAGGCCTTTATTCCGCATCTGGGTCGGTGGAAACTCCCTCTTTTGGAGCAGATCCTGGCCGCACTACAACAAGATGCATGCGGTCGGGTCCCATGGACATTAATCCCTGCCATGCAGCCGTTCAGGAACCCATGCAATTGAACTAGTAGAACTGGTTACCTATGCGCCACAAAGGCAGGCTGGTCAAAGTAGTAGCCGTGGCCCCTCAGCATATCGTCATGCAAGCGGCTGGTGCCAACTGGCGCCTGAGGCGACGGGGCGCTGTCGCTGCCACCGCTATGGCCATGGCCACCGCTCCCTCGACCCTCACGAGACTCCTTGTAACCGCGGCCGATCTCCCTGCAACCGCCGCCCCTGGACGTCAGCTGCCCTGGCGCTGCCGCCGAAGACAGCAGTCCACGAGTCAATGGCTCGGGGGTCTGCTCGTGAATATATCGCCGGTAGGACCCGAACAAGCGGACGAAGTACTCCTGCATGACGCCTGCGAGGATGAGATTGTGGCATGTGGTATGATGTGATTTCCAAAGCAATCCGCGCGAGACGCACGCAAGAAGGGCTCTATCCACGGAAGGGATTGCCTGAGCGCGTTCGCAGATACCTCGACTGAAAGCAGCTTGCATGCGTGCCCACCAGTGGCTCGAGACAGTACGCTCATTGCCATCAACTGCCAGTCCTCCTGTTCCTGCCCTTCGCCCATTTTCAACCCGACCAAACGTTCGGCCTCACCCGTAATAAGCGGGCTACTCTCGTACTCCGTCGGGCTCCGCACCGTCTTGAACACCGCCTCCAGAGCAGCGCCCAACTGGCGACCATACGGTAACGCGCGACCGTCGTCCGACTGCGATCCGGGCGCCGGGGTGACCTTTTGCAAGTCTAGGTCCACCGTGGTCACCTCGGACATTGGGATGTGCCGTATTAGCGGCAGCATCTCCTGGGTTAGCCCCACCAAAAATGGCATCGGCGCTGATAAGTAGTCCACCAGGTAGCGCGGCAGGATTGGCAGGTAGATGTGGTGCCATCTGTAGACACAGACGCAACGAGGATGCGCAATGGGAAGTGCCATGGCAGAAAGGCATGTGCCATCATCAGTAGTTCCAGCGGACAAATACGAAGGGGATAAGGGCGGCACAATCGAACTGATCCCAGCTAGGCAGAGCACCCGCGTCACAATAAAACATGAACTTGCGCGCAAACACGAACGCAAGAACGGATTCTACCCTGCGACCTTCGCACACAGGCTGACTGCACAACGCCATGGCTACGCCGGTCGTATATAAGGCCCCCTGCCCAGTCCGCCACACAATGTCCCAGGGCCTACGGGTATGTGGAGTTCGGTGCGGACAATTCCCACAGCGTGTTACGCGATCGTGTGCAAGTAACCATTATAGGAAGAGAATGTCCTTGAGTGGGCGAAGGCGCATGCTAACATTCTGCGGGCGGCTTGCTTTTGCCAAACAACCAGGACAACATATAATGGTGCTTATCAAAAGGTCATGCATAGTAGTATGTAGTATGGGGGAGCAAGCATATGACCGCGAAGGCCATGGTTTGCCGGGCTTTCCGTCTCGCCGACCGCCAACTTCAGAGGATAAGCCAAGCTTGCAATTATCCCATCAACCACCTGGAACGTGTTACTCCTTCGAAGCGAATGTTCGTTCACATTCCGCCGCTACACGGAGATGATAGTAAGACTTCTCTGCCCTCTTCAAGCGGGGCCGGCCAGCAGAGGGACGAGCCATATGGCATGCCCACGCACATGCCCTGGAACCTACCACAAGGTAATAGATTCCCCTCAACTGCCACAACCGCACGGCCGCAACGCGCCATAGAGGCTACTTGTACAGTTGCCAATGCTAAACACCTCAATGACCTGGTGAAGACCCACGTTCAGCCCAAGTTGGCACACCTGAACGGGTAGATGAGCGCTTGCGCAGCCTGCACCGCGGCCGTCACGGTGTCACGAGATCGTGCCACAAATACGATCCGCCGTTCCAGCAGAAGGCTGGCCACAAGCGTTAGCATGCCCTCCACAGGCACGTGGAATAGTAATCGCGCCAAGGGGATGCCGGAGTTGTCTTTTCCATTCCCACAGTCCGGCGGGACTTGCAGCTCGATACGGTCATTCCCCCTGGAGAGGCAGATCCCCGACACAGCTACAATCATGCATGTAAAAAGCAACGAGATTCCAAGATGTGCCTTATAGCGCCGGAAAACAGGTAAAATCCCTTTTATATAGCTCTCAACCTAGTTCCTCTCTCGCACCAGTTGAGTGACTCGCCCGTGCTGCCCCCGCCCATGTAACGCGGTGGGCTAACGCCTGACAGCCCATGGATATTGGGCACAGTCAACCTGGGGGTCACATACATGGCGGAAGCAGCAAGGGAGACGCGGGGATAAGCTATGTGGCTTGGTTTGTGTCGCCGCAAGGCATTAAGCCTGATCATTTTTCCGCAAGAAAGCAAGATGCAAAGCATGTCCATGGAACATAGGCACATGGAATTGGCACAGGAGAGTGTAGCTCCAGCTTTCCGGGGGAGGGCGCCGTTTTTAAAATTAACTGGCCCCGGGGGGAAAGGTATTGCTTAAGGATTATAGTCGTGGGGGTAATGGCGTAACCAGTATCCAGTTTCAGGCTTGCCTTAACACCTCTCCTGGGGTCGGGTTCGTGGCCAATTGCTTGCGCAGATCGACGATGAAAGTACCAAGGTGCGTTTCAAGGGGCAAGTCCTGATGCGCCGAGTCCAAGAGACCGTCAAACCCTTTTAAGAGTTGCTCCGCTACTTGTAGCACCTGCACCAAGTGGCACTACGTCAACCCTTGATATTTCCGCCTGTCATAAATGAGCTGCGCGCAAAGAATGAGGTTCTTACCTTGAAGAAAAAGTTGCACCACGGGTGTTTCGCGACTATGCACAGGACCTGTGGGTACCGGGCCCTGCTGCCAACCCGAGGTGCTGGTGGGAAAATCTGGCGGCAAAAGCCGGTGAACCTCTGTCCATCATTGTGTGTAAGGGCGAACGTGTACTCCTGCGCAGCAAGGCAGATTGACGCTTACGATGTCGGGCCATTCGGCCGGTTCCCACCCAACGTAGTACTGCCGCACCTCCGGGGCCTGCACTTCTTTCGGTTGAACAGCTTCAGGTCCCAGCGGAAAGCAGAAAGCATTAAGCAACTGCTCGTTGAAGTCCACGCCTTCGCACGCATCCGACGCTGCCTTGTAACGGAGGTAAATGACAGGCGTCTTGGTGCGAGACTCCACACGTAGACGGGACACAAAGAATAGCAAATACATTCCTATTGATGTGCGCCCCTGCCAGCGCAAGCAACGTGAAGGCCTGCTTCTGTGGAGCGCATCGTATTTGCTCGCGACGCGCCGTGGAAGCTTATGAACAAATACAGCCTAACATGGGAGGCCACCGTGCCAGAGCCGGCACAGCCCCGGTTTCAGCGGCCAACATAGGATTTATGGACCGCAAAGAAGAGGACTACAATGAATGCCTAAGATCCATATGCTTTTTGAGAGATTGATAATGTTACATTATAACATCTATACGTGCAGGATTTGACTCTGAACAAAGCACTCAGGGAAACCCGTCTATCAGAATTGTAACTTTGGCGTACGGGCCATCGCTTGGGATAATTACACAGCTTATTACAGCCTACATGTAATACGCTCTCCGGTTACCAACATTGAAGCGTTGCACCCTTGTGCCCCACGGATACGAGGGTGCCGTACGTCGTGAACTACCCAAGAGCGCCTGTATGGAGAAAATCCCCAAAACAAGCGCGTTCCCAACAAAAAATGACCAACAATAACTTTACAAAAGTATGAGCCTGCCCAGTGTCATAGACTTGTCCCGGTGGGCCACGTTGCACTTGCAGCAGTGACCGCAACTTTTCAGAGCGAAACGATAAGACCGACGCTTCCCTTAGTAGTTAATAGGCATGACCAAGGCTGTGTAAGGAAAACCTAGCACAATAATTATTCAATCGACACATATAACCCTATGCCCGGCAGGCGGAGCGTATGTTTGCAGTATCAGCAAGCACTTATCACGAAAGTCGGTGAAGAAGGACGAGATACCCGTGCATATGGCCAGTACGGCGCGGTCTTATTTTTTGCTAATGGATGTCTTGATTGTCATGTGCTGCTGTATGCTGTCTACTGCTGTCGCATCGGCGCCAAAACGCGCCCGAATGCCACGATATGGGACGGGAATCGCAGGGTCGCGCGAAGACCATCCGCCAAGTTCTAAGCTAGCTTGAAGGGTACCTTAGGCCCCACTTAGCTCTCTTTAAAAAAGGGAACCCTGCCCCATAAAAGACGCTAGCGTGGAACACCTGGTATAGAACGGGTCCAAACGGTCAAGGGCTGCACCTCTTGCACGTATTCTCTTGGCCAGATGCGGACCCGGGAAGGTCCACATCTGGTGCGGACAGACAGCAGGCCGCTGAAGCTCCTCAAGCGATGCGCAACGGACCCGGGTATCTTACTGTCCCTATCTTGTTGACCCCCTTCCTTAGACTATATTGGGCCAAAGAACAAGATTGCAGACACGGATCGGCGATATGTACTCCACCGACTGCGAGGATTTTCGTGTCGTTGACCGCAACTTGAACCTCTGCAATTTGAAACGTCTACACCTGATGGGATATCTACGTGAAGGGGGCCCGACATGCATGCTAGTAAATTGGGATTATGCAATCGTGTGACAATGATGGGACAATCATGGGTCCCGGTGGGTGTGGATTTATCAAGGGGGGACTTTGTGTGTGCGCCAATGACACGTATACAGGGATGTTGTAACCCAACAAAATTATACCGTTTTCAAAATAAGATTACACGGCGAAGCATGTGGCAGTCCTGTGTAGGTAGGTGCGCCTTGCCGTCCGTGGATACAGATGCCGACGCTGACAAGCAGCCGGTCTTCAGGACGTGCGTGTTGTGTCGCGCTTTCCTTATAAACTGTGCAGGCATCCATGTGGTAACTCCGCGCGTGCCTACACAGTGCCACGACACGGCTCAAGGGGCCCAGTTTCCAGTTACCCCCACCTGTTCTCAGCCGCCACGCAGTTGCTCCTGGCCACAGTTGGCTATCACTATGTTTTCTGCCGGACTAACCCCGATGCATGGGCTGTCCATCCGCTGGTCCATCTCTATTTCTATCCCCAACAGCATAAGAACTTCTGGTCGGAAGGTAATGATTAAGGCAATAATGGAGGGGTTCTATGTCGAGTGTCTTGTTGTGCGACAGGTCCTCATCGAAAGACTTTCTGTGCATGCACATCGGGACGCATGAGGGCTGCTCTTGTATACTAATCAGCAAGGAGCCAGTGTTATCATTCGCATTGGGTAAGTAGGCGTCCAGTCGTTTTAACTTAATTTGTTGCACGATGTCGTCCGCACAGGTCATCTTGGTTTTGGGTGGAACGTAGCTCAGCTACGTTCCGTGTAGCAGGCTGCTGCATTGAGCCTTCACGCAGCACATGCGTCATGAGATCTTGTTCATCAGGAAGGGGTAAGCGGACAAGCTCCTCGATATGGAGCAAGCGCGTTCTTCCTTACCGGAGGACAAACGGCAACCGTTCGATGTGTCGACAGAACATTTGGTGGTGTTTCGACGGGTTTCCGGTTTGCATACCTAGACTGTCCCTCCGCCTCTGGCTTGTAAGGTTTGGATTCCATGGGCCATAATGCTTGAAGGAAGGACCTGAAGGTTTGTTGTCTACACGGCAGGTGCGCATGCGAACATGTCTTTGCGTGTATGGCTTCGCTATAACAGATGCTGGCGGCAGCCCTGTGCAGCCGTACCGAAGACACAGGCTGCTAGACCCCCAAACTAGTCTATAAGACCATTGGGTTTGACGCGATTGTACAGGACGGACTACAAATGCAACGTGTGGCCAACGGTACATGCTAGGTCGAAAGGCGTATATACATGATATCGAACGTGAATACTTTTAAGCCTCCAGGGAGGAGTGCGCAACCGACTAAACATACTGCCAGGGTATTTTTTCCTTCAAACGCCAATGTAATCCTTTGAAGTGTTGTCATCGCACGATAATTTGGCCGTATCCATGGTCGTCCATTGCTTGGGTGCAACAAATGACGTTTTTAAACGATGATGCAGATCCTGATCCTGGGCTTACCGAATTCCACAATAGTTGAATATGTATCGCACGACACGGTGGTTGGACCAAAACGCATGGGTATGGCATCGCAAGCGCAGTGAGACAGTGACAGCTTTAATCCAACAAACCGTCTGTTCGTTTGTATAGACCTTATGACTAACACCTTTTTCAGACTCCATGCTTCCCCCTCCCTGATGGCCTATGATATGAAATAGCACATCGACGCGACCGTTCGCAACAATAGCGTTGCTGTTGTCACCTACTCGTAAACGCGGTGCGGCGTGGGACGGCGTGTAATTGCACATGGCCCTACAATATGCCTTGTGTCGCGTTCAGTTGTCACATTCTACTCACGCGACTGCCAGTAGCAGCTGAACGCCGATGACCATGAGGAGGGGCAGCGCAAGATAACTAGCAACTACAATACGTAAGGACAGGTACAAAGGAACAAACAAGGGATTGAGAAAGCGCGAACAACCGACCAACGGGTCATGTGCACACTCCGCGAACAACCGACCAACGGGTCATGTGCACACTCCTGGCCAACCGAGTTGTAGCGATAACTAGCATATTACAACGGCAGATAAGTTATCGCCTTCTCCACGCGAGCATCGCGAATGCGGCTTTAGGTTACACACAGGTCCAAGCCAACAGCACCATGAAGGACGATGCACTAACCATCCCCCTAAAACGCGAAATTAAATTTATACACAAGATGCCGGAGCAGCCGAAATCATCACGGCGAGCGGCATGTACTAATATATTCTGACGTCATAATGGGACATGGAGCAGTTTTAACAATTATTTATAAAGACAGTCCACAGGAATATCTTACTGCTACGTTGGAAGCTTGGAAATTTGTGCTATAGTTAGAGTACGGAATCAACTTGTCCTTCTGAAGGGTCGCTTGCCAAGCCAAACTGCTTCCAGCGTGGTAATATACTTCAATAGGGAACGTGTCAGAGAATTTCTGCTTCTTACCAGCAGAAGCACCGCCGAAACTGGCTGATAGTTGAACCTTACTTGCCCAACTTGCTGTCCAATGCCTACCTTGTTTTAGGTCTATCTTGCCGGAATACATTGAGGTGCAGGGCTGGATGAGACCCGACGCGCGGCAACACAACGCGCCACCTCAAGAAGAATTAAGGCTGCGCTGGATGGCGGATAATTCAGCCTACTATTCAAGTATGAATTATGGCAGGCAGCCAGAAGGGCAGCAGCAGCAGCAACATCACCAACAAGCGCCGCACCAGCAGCAGCGTCCCGGTTCATATCATTCAGGTCCTCCACCACAGCAAACTCCGGCTGTTGGTTGGGGCGGTCAGGCTATTCAGGATTCACCTGGCTACCGTGTGCCCTGGTTTGGACGGAGCCGGTCCAAGTATGGCAGCGGCAAGTATGGCAAGAAAGGCGGGGATCAGTTGTATCCGAACGGTGGTCAGGGCAGGTTCGGTGGTTCCGGCGGCGCGGGACCCTCTTGTAGAGGTGGCGAGGATGCTTTGTCAGTCGAGGAAATGGCCGTGATTATTCAGAAGCTGCAACCGAACGAACCTCTTCCGGAGGTCATTTTCAGGGCTCTCCACCATGTGGACAGCCGGGCTGTTGCTCTATTGCTTAAGGACCTCAGCCGCCTTGGAAAGGACCGCCGTGCTATGGAGCTTTTTGATTGGCTGCGCTCGGCAAACGAGCGGAGTCCGCTCAGGGCACTGTGCGATGTATACAGCTACACGGCAACAATTTCGCTCTGCATTCATGGCCAGGACGTTGATCGCGCTCTGGAGCTTATGCAGGAGATGCGGAGTCGGAATATTGAACGTAACGTGCACACTTACACTGCGCTCATGGTGAGGTCACGCTTACCGTCCGCAGCGAGCTTCGATTATCATTGATGCATATGCTTTCGCTCAATTCTACAGAACGTTTGCATCAAATGCGGTAAGCTTCCCCTGGCACTGGACATTTACAACTCCATGCGGGCGGTAAACTGCATGCCCAACGTGGTCACCTATAATACTCTTGTCGACGTGTACGGAAAACTTGGACAGTGGGAGCGTGCGATACACGTACTGGACGTGATGAAGCATGAGGTATGGTTTGTGGGGTCTGGCCACGGGAAGTCTCCTACCACAGGGTCTAAGGACTCGGCCCTCTAAAACCGGAAGCCTCCGACAAGGGTTTGATGACAGCAAACTTGCCCCGCAGGGTGTAGAGCCTGTGCTGCGCACTTACAACACGCTTATCATCGCGTGCAATATGTGCAATCAGCCACGCGAGGCGTTGGCGGTATACCAGAGGCTTCTGTCGGATGGCTTCACACCCAACTCGACTACGTACAACGCTCTGATAAGCGCGTATGGCAAAACTACCCAGTTGGGGAAGGCGTTGGAGGTGTATCAGGAGATGCTGCGGCAGAACATGGATCGAAGCGTAATTACGTACAGCTCGCTCATTAGCGCCTGCGAGAAAGCAGGGCAATGGGAGACGGCGCTCCGCATTTTCAACGAGATGCAGCAGGACAAGTGTGTCCCCAACACGGTTACTTATAACTCATTGGTGACTGCGTGTGCACAAGGTGAGAGCACCGTCACTGCTGAGACTGTCGGCGGCAGCAGCAGGTGGACACCGTGACACCGAAGACTTTGCTCAGTTTGTGCTATGCTGCTCGTGTAGGTGGTCAGTGGGAGAAGGCTGCCGAAGTATTCGAACAGATGAATGCACACGGTTGCACGCCTGATGGTAAGTGCCTTTCCCAAGTTCAGGCCGTGCGCCGCTGGGGTCTATGCATGCACGCCATGTAAACACTTTGCTTCTGTCCTGATCGCAGTTGTGACGTACACAGCGCTGATCAGCGCCTACGAGCGGGGCGGGCAGTGGCAGAAGGCGCTTCAGGCGTTTCACAAAATGTGTGTGCAAGGCTGCAAGCCCGACGCCATTGTTTACAACGCGATTATTGATACGCTCTGGGAAACTGGCATCATATGGGCTCAGGGCAAGGCACTCCAGCTGTTCATGACGGCAGTGCAGCAAGGCCACTTTCATCAGGAGCCTCTGGTACGGCGCCCTGGCCGCGTTGAGGTCAACCTACATGCAATGACAGCTGGCGTCGCGATGGTGTGCTTGTACTGCTGGTTGCTTGAGCTGAGGTGGGTGCTTGCGTTGCCAGGGCAGTAGTCGGAAATGTGGATTTTTGGGCGGTTGCGAAATGTAAGAATTTGCGAGGTTTGGCTAATGACAGCGGGCAGCTACCACGTTGATGCGGTGCAAACAGCAGCTTAAGTTGTTCTTTCATACGAGTTTGCACTGCTTCTAGACAGATGCTTTCATGCTGTGGCTGCCATTGCAGGCGAATTGCGATAGAAAAAGGTCCTCAGCACCTGCCCGCTGCATTGGCCATCGTTACAGACATGGGAAAAGCCAGTCGTGAGCAGGGTAACTGCATTGTCAAGGAGGCGGTAGCGGCCATGATGAGCTTCTGGGATGCTCCTTTCCGGTAAGGACACGGCGATTAGGGTATTGGGCGGAGGAGGCGAACGCAAGGTGGCATGGTAGTTGTTATTAATGGTTTGTTTTGTTATCCTACTTTGCGAAACTTTCGGCTACATGTGATGGCACAAATACGCACTGCGATTGGTTTGGTGGGAAGTTCGCAATGGAACAAACGCATCCCCTTTCGATGCTGTTCTGGGACCGGATTGTTTGTAGGCTGGTGCAGGATGGCGTGTACGCATCTGTGCTCGAGGCTGGCGGGATGCAAGTTGCTGATTGGGTCGCCGGCACGCCATTCAGCGCGCAGCTAGCCAGCTTATTTCCGATCGCCGACAGCAGCAAGGTAACAAGATGTGGCATGGATGGCTCATGCAGTCTGAGTCGGGCACTGGCGGGAATAATTGTAATTGATCGATGTGGGTTCCGGGGCACGGGCTTTGGATGCAAATAGGTGCAACCACAGCTCATACATCAATGCATGTGGAAGCAAGATAAGCTTGGAACGTGCTGCTCAGGATATGATGCAGTGGCGAGGCTGCTGTCAAACCACTGGCTGCACAATATGGAACGTTTTTATTCGAACTTGCAGCCCCGTGTTTCCTCCGGACTATGCCTTTCAGATGACGGAGGAGATCTACGTCATGCGAGAGCAGCAGGTGACGCAAGAATGCCAGGAGGCCTTTGCGGCAGTGCAGCATTTCGAGAATACACACGGGTTGGTGCTTTCAAACATGAGCCCGGGCTATGTGCAGCAGCGGCCCGTACTCATTTCTCGCCTCCTGGACCTGAGCTCCAAGCTAAGCCTGCGCGACGAGGTTGTACACGATGCGGTGCTTCTAATGGACCGGACGGCGTCGCAAGCGAAGCAGGTGACCGAGGATGTTTTGCCGCTCGTCGGCGTGGCGGCACTAATCATTGCGGCAAAGCAAGGCGACAGCAGCGACCGGGTGCCAACCAACGCGGAGATGGAACAGATAACCGGTAAGCCAGGGCAGATAAGTTTGCCTGCTGGGTTTTGAATGATGGCTCTGCCTCGACGAGGAACGAAATTTGATCCACGTTAGTTTCATTCAGGTTCTCTTTTCAGGAGGTAAGAGTTACTTCCCATGTTTTTTGTCAGAGGGATGTTCTGTTCAGTGTTTTGCGTTTTGCAGGAAATTGAAGTGTAGCTAGTTTCACGTGGCCAGCCTGTTGATGGCAAGGGCGCGTTTGCCTTGTTGATGCCCGCCAGCTTCTTGGCCCATCAGCATGCCTATCATTATGTTGCAATTCCCCTTTGCTTCTACTGGCTTGTGCACACAAGTCTTTGGTTTTGCCTAAATCCATCCCTGTAGAGCTGCCGGCTACAGCTGTGGCGAAGATGGAGTGGAATATTCGCGGCCTGCTGACGGACGACATCTCCGCAATCTCTACGATGCGCTGCCTGAAGGTTTACCTTGAGCGTCTGGGCTACCGCTACCTTGATAAGCAAGATGTGTACGGGATGGCAGGTTTCGCAATTATGCTGGCGGTGGAGTCGTTGTACGACCTGTCCTTACTGAACTGCCGACCATCAGTTGTGGCGGCGGCCATTCTGTATGCTGAGCGCCGCTTGCGGGGTGCTGTGCCTTTTTGGCCATCAATGCTCTCTAAGCTTACGGGCTATCATGACATGTCGACACCCGAGCTTACCGTGGCGGTTCGCGTGGCACAAAAGCTGTCACGGAAATTGGTTTATGCACAGATGTACAAGGCGCAGCTGATCCAGCTTGCGGGACAGGCGGGGCCTTCGGCTGCGTCAATCTCGGTGGCGCCGGAGCTGGCCGGCGGTCCCCAAGGGGGCGTTCCTCCCCCGCCGCCGATGATGGGTCCTGGAGTGTGCGCACACATGCCCCAGGGTCCGGGTGGCGTAATGAGCGGGTCGCTGAGCGGATCTACTGGCGCTGGTGTGATTGCGCCTCCACCGGCCCCGCCCGTGGTGGCAACAGTGATGCAGCCGACTCCCTCCCATGCCGGGCCACACACAACGAAGGCAGCACAATGGCAGCCGGGGCGTTATGATCACCTTGCACAAAGCGGCGCTGCCGTGGCCGCAACGCCGGATCCGACGGCGGGAGTGGTGGTCGGAAGTGCGGCGGTTCCAAGCGCGGGCCCAGGCACTACAGCAGGGCCTAAACAGGATGACAGTGCGGCAATCAAGGCGCTGACGCAGGCGATGCAGGGTTTGGCCATGGGTCCTCACGGTATACAGACGGGGGCCCAGTCGGTGCTTGAGAAATGGCAAAGGCTTGGCGGAGAAGAGGGTGGGGATGGGGCCGGACCGGTGAGATAGTCGGGGCGTGGTTGGGCTTGCAGGACTATTAGCCATCACAGGGGAGCCTTGGAGGGATGCTATGTGCATGCGAATGTGGGTCCAGGCAGTTTTGTAAGTGTTTTGCTTTGGGAGAAGCTGCCTGGACCCACATTTTGCAGGTAAGATCATAGCACGGTGCAAAGGGGCCGGATATTGATGCGCGATATGCGCGATTCTCGCCAGGGCCGAAACTGGAACGTGTGACGTGGTAGATGCTGTCCGTTGGCCCGTCTCCTGTTGTTTATCACCTTCAACATTTCCATGGCGGTAAGCTTCGGTTCTGCGTGATGGGCTCTAATCGAGTGATGGGCTCTAATCGACACCAATTTTTACTACCGCATTCGCATGGGTCTGGTAGCCCTTTGGGTATGCCAGTCTGACTACACCTATTAAGACACATGAAACTAGCCTCTCTATCAGCTCTTTGTTAACCTGAACGAATGTCCGGCATGGGACCCAGAATGAGGATAAGGGGCATAATAGCCTGGTAGCACCACCGTTGCTTTCTATAGGTGCTTTTGCGGCAGGTGGCTATGAATGGAAGAGTGGCCAGGGGCGCGGATGTTGCGGAGTAGATTTAGAAGGGGCCAATGTGCAGCATGCAATGCGGCCTTAATGGAGCGATCGAACAATTCTGGTCTTGGGCAGAATTAATAACTGAGGAACGGTGCAGGGGCCACGGGCGGTGGGATTGGCTTGTGGCCGGACATTTGTGTGGGCCGGGAGCATTGAAGCATTTGCCCCAAGGAGTGAGGAGGGGGCTATAACGGTGCAGGGATACCGAGTATGTACCTGTGGACATTATAGCAGTCTGCGAGCGTGTTGGGATTGGTGCCGCCGAGGTAAGGCTAGTTTAATTGTAGCGGCCTTGACGGACTGATTATGTGAAGTGCATTGCACGAGCCACCCGTCGTCCCTCCAGGTTCAATATGATTCTGCAAGCAAACGGTGGTGGGATGAAGTATTACATTGATGTTTATTCAACTCGTCGACTGTGCTCCCTTCTATGCGACTTCAATTGTTTATGAGTGTGCGCTTTTCTATGTAGTACGCGTTGTAGGCCTTGGAAGCACGACTGCACAGCTGGCGTTGTCTGCAATGCTCTGGATCTACTTTATGGAGCCGCAGCATACGCGGAACGCTGAAACTAGCCTAGGTAGGCCACGCAACCTATGGAGGGAATGTCGGCTGCACAGCAAGTAACGCATGACGTTGGGAGTTAAGATTATGTTTCATAAACACTTTGCGGCATATGTAATTACCGCTTGATCCGTGTGCTGAGCCTATTCGCTAAGCAGCACTTGCCACGCTGGAGTTAACGCAGAACGTATTGATCGAATGCTGTGCGCGGGAGAGTGGCGTGTACAACATAGGTTGTGAACGTGCTGCGAACGCGCCCACTATTGTGCAACACTCCCATCTCCATGGGCAACTGATATGTTCTCGCTGGTACAGAGTGGGAGGCTTCTGGCCATTTGCACACATTTGGATTGCCAGCTAGAGTGAACAACATACATAACCATCCACCACTACCACAATGTACTACGCCTTTAGAACTACAAATCCAAGGCGGTTGATTCTCCTAACTAGTTCTTTCGCATCCTTTCACCGGAACATCAGTGGAGGTCGAGGGAATAGCTGACGCCACAAATTGTGCGTGTGAACCTCAATCCATTTCTCGGCAGGTCGCTATTAAGCTCCCACTCCCGACACTGTCGAGGTCTACTCAAGAATTAAACCCAGAAACTTAACCCTCAAATTACAGTAGTGTCGCTAGACCAGACCAGCTGATGTTACATGCGTATTAATTAATGAAAGTATTACCTCAGCACCTTCGGTATCGGTTACTGCTCTAGAATCAGTGAAAGAACTTCCGTCTATTTCACTACGGTTTATGTCTAAGCCTGTGCCGATTCCTTCTTCATCAAAATCAATTAGGTCAATAGTATCGGAATCACTTACTGATGATACTTTTCTCTCAGTAGCTGGTAGTGATAAAAATTTAGGAGTAAGTACTACCTTATAGAGTGATTTAGAAGTTAATAAAAAAATCATCAGAAGCAGATTATTATTAAGATTTGCACGGTCCTTGACGCACTTAACTTCAGGTCTTATACTACAATTAATAGGTGATCGATCCTTTGTTCCCCCTTGTGTTCAGACGCTTCCGTCAGCCTTGATTTGCATGTGGCCGGACATCATACCCTGAAAACACACGTGGCTGCAATTCAGGATAACGCGGATCTGACCTGTTAAGTTACAACGTGCAACGAACGAGATTGCACAGCCCCGCCGAACGGATGCCTGACCTAAACAAGGATTATAGAAAAGATGCAGGATTCACCAATTATATGAAATTAGCAGTGCCTGGCTAAGGATCTCAAATAGCAGGCACACTGCTACGGCATAGCAGTCGTAGATGATTTGGATAGTTTAGCTTCTTTTCAAGCGAAATTATGATAGCATATTCTGTAATTACCTATGTCAATCCATGATATTTCGAATAGCCTTCGGCTGGCCCTTGCGTCTCCGGCATGCATGGTCACACATTTGGAGGGTAACTCAAGTTGTCAGTCACACACGCACGCACACACACACACACACACACACACACACACACACACACACACACACACAGACAGCAGTCCCTGGCTAGTGTCAAGCCCGGTCAGATACTTGTAACGTTCCACACACACACACACACACACACACACACACACACACACACACACACACACACACACACACACACACACACACACACACACACACACACACACACACACACATACACCGAGTTGCGGACGACGGGCAGGCGCTCCTGGGTAATGCAACTCCACAGAAGTATGCTAGACCGAAGACGGCATTAAGGGGAACGGCGTCGTCCACTCAGCCGGTGCGGCGTTGCACTGCACCAAAGGGGGCTGAGTGCCCCTGAAACATAACATGGCCTCGATCTGCACGGACGTACCACCAGTACCCATACATTGTGCTCGATGAACCTGCTGGATGATCAGTCGCTCCGGGCATCTTGAAAACCCCTTTCCCCAGGAAAGGAGATTGCTGCGCCGGCTGAGATACCAAGATTAAAACGTGGCACCTATGAACTTTTGGCACTAAGCTGTCGGCCCACTTGGCTTCTGGGCCTGGGCGGATGCGGAGAGGGAGCTGACAACGGGACAACGGGACAGTCTGACGGATTTGTATGCCACCACAACTGCGATGGGTTCCTTGCAAATCGCACGGTTTTCCAGCGTCCTTGAAGTAACGATGCGTAACGGCGCTAGGCACAACGTCTAGGCTCAAATTGTACATGGGCCGCTGAGGTTCCAGCGCGCAGGACAGTTACATAACGCTCCCACATCAAACTTTTAAAGGCATCCGCTGACGACGAAGTATCCGTCCGCTTGCTTAAAAGGTAAGTCAAAATCAAGGATGTCGCAAGCCGTGGCTCGCAAACCACCATTCCCGCCTTGCGTCTCCTGATTGCGTCCAAGCGGTGTATATAGGTGATTGCGTGTACAATAGGTTCTGCATACCTGTTTATGCCCCTTGACAAAATTCGCTATGTCAGTTCAGCCTTTCTTAGGCCCTGGGAAGTTGTGTCCGCGAGCTGTCATCGCTGAGCTGTCACCGCTGCTTCACCCTGCCCTACGGCAATATCATCCTTAATAATGTCTCGTGATACCAATCCTTTGCTTGCGTTCTAGCTTTGTGGCTTTCCCACAAACTTGTCGACCCCGCAGCGACTGCATTACATCCTGCCAATCAAGTTGATTTTCGCAGTCCTGCTAGGCGATGCCGGTCAACATTTGATGTTTTCCCGCGCACTACGCCGTGGTCCAGGCAGCACAACGCAGCCAAAGAGCAAAGAGCCGAGAACAGTTCGAAGACTCTGACGCTGTGCTCGCCGCTGCACACTCGCCCGGTGTGTATGCGGAAAGCACCGGGGTCGGCTGGGTCGGCGCGTCACCTTCATTTGGGCCATTATATGAGCCGTGCATGCTTAGTATACCGGGCGAAAACACCGTCATGAACGTGATCCGAAGGGATCACCGATCGACCGATGCACACTCCACCCAACACTCTCAATGTAGCAAGCTACATTTCCCTTAGAATATTTCAACGATTACTTTTAACAATAACTGTTAATTCGTTAACGATTCGTCTCAAGTTTCGTACATGTTACGAGCTTCGTCACATGTAACGAACTTGGCGGTTGTTCGTAAGCGAACCTAATGGGCTGGGGCCCCGGGCCCCACCAACATTATCCTAGTACGGCAAGTCCGTGGTAGGGAATCTCCGGCAGGTAGGCCGAGATATAAGCTACCCGGGCGGGGTGCTCTGGCCAGACACTGACGTATCACATTTACTAGGTGTTCGGAGTTCAAGACTCTGCTGCCGCCGTCTCTGATTGTTTCGTACGCGTCTATGTACGCTAGTGCTTGTCGCTGGGTTGGACTTCTTCCTGCCTCGGTGAGGACTGTCAACTCTACGCTACCGCTAAGTCAGTCGACCCGCCAGGTGAGCGACTGCTACACTCAAACCTAGCTCTGCACTACTTATGAGCGTGCTATCGGCTTTTGGATTAAGGTAGTGACCTGACGGGGTCCCTTGCTCACACAGTTCTACGCCAGAAGATCCTCCTGGCGTTGAAATGGGGGGACTCGCAGATGGTTGGGCGCCCAAGCTGTCCCGCTTTTTGGGGAGCTTGATGTGCGGGATGGATTACCTGCTGGGGCTACAAGCGATAAGGTAGGTTGGCGCACCGGAAAGCCCATCTCGGATGGGCCCATCCTTTCCGGTCTCCGTCATCATTTCCTGTCGTCATGGAACCATGAGAGGCTGTGTGAAGTACAACACGGCTTCCCCTGGGTTTGGAAAGCAACCAGGCATTAAGATGGCTAAATACAAGATGCACTGGATGGGGTTGCCGTTTGAGAGCAAGCAGCTGGGCAAGCTGGCTGCCGCGTGCCAATCTGTCCATTCCTGTAGATGTGCATCGGGCACTAATGCGTTTTCGTTTATGTTGGATGGGGGATTGCACGTGAGAAGAGGATCTGCACGTTTTGCGAGTTCCAAGCCGTAGAAGACGAAGAACATGTACTCTTGGAGAGCCCAGCATATATAACACACCCAGGCTTCTTTTTGGGTTCCAGGTGGAACAGACAATGAAGGATGCGATGGTAGCGGTTGACCAGGTGAAGTTGGCGAATGGTATCTGGCCAACGAGGGTCAAAGTAGCAAACGCACTGCTACGGCATACCTGTCTGTGTACTTCAATTCGTTCGACATATTTCTGTTTCTTCGTGCTGAGGGATACAATAATGTTTTTTCTCGTGCTTCTTTTAGGTCGTCTATCTATTTTGGACAGCCCTAGACTGGCCCTTGGGCCTACACCTTCGGACAGTACGCAACTCAACGTGTAAAATACACACAAAGAGAATCGGGTGAGAGACCGAGCCTCGTGCCTTAGTAGGGATGGATAGGATTAGGTTTTAAGTTGCGGGAATAAAAGTATTCCGAATCTGTAAGTTACAGTTTAGTTCGTACAAACGCCGGGTTTGGGGAATGTCGCAAAACGCGCACACCACAATCTCTCCAGAGAGGTGTCTCTTTCACGCCAGGGAGCGGCGCGAACTTAGCCCTTTGATAGGAAGCCTGAATGCACGGCGAGTGCTGTTTCCAACGGCTTGCAGAGCCCAAGCAAACACAGACCAGCCCCTACACAACCCCTACTCAAGCACTGATCGAATAGAGTTCGTTCGCCGTCGTTCGTTTTGCATCACGTTGAAAGATAACACTACAAGACTCCCAAGATTGCAAAAGCAATTATGCAGAGTGTGGGGTTAGGAGTCTTAGCTGCAGCGCCGGGGTCGCTGCTACCATCGCCCTCGACGCCCGTGTTTCCTGGCCCATCACGGTTGCCTCCATATGACAAAACGTTGAATTTTGGCCCGCTCACTGTTGACAACCGGAGTGGCGTCATTGTCGTCGGCTGTCTACACCGTCGTCGTCACCGCCGCTAATGGCTTGATTCTTGCTTTAATGGCCGGCCACGTTTTGGGCACCTCAAATCAGAATACTTTGCAGCGTTTGGTCCGGTCAGACACAGCCCGATTCCTCGTTGACTCGCGGATGTGACCTTCCTAGAGTACTATGCAAAAAAAACGCTGAGCCGGATCAGGCCGGAGATGGAGAGGAGTCTTGTTTCGTGTTTCAGGCTCAGTGCGCAAACTCGCGTGACGGAGCCTTGACTCTTGAGAGCGTGCGCGCGTGCGACGCCTGCCCACTCCCCGGGGGAGGAGAGCGGAGCTAATGGACCTGCGGCTTTCGGCTGCTTAGGAAGGGGCGGAGGCCCCTCGCCCCCTTCTTCCATCCGCGGGAGAGAGCTTAGGCAGTCTTTCCGTTGGGGCTGGGCAGCAGCCCCCCGCCAGTGTCAGGCCCGGTCAGTTACTTGTAATGTAATGTAATGTAATGTTACAGAGTGGGAGGCTTCTGGGCCGCTTTATCACATTGTCAGTTCTACGATCATTTATCATCTTATAGCACCATCCACCACTACCACACTGTACTTCGCCATACGAACTGTAAGTCCAAGGCGGCGGATCCAGCCTTCAGGGACCCCTCCTCATCTATTCTCCCGAACACTCGAAGAGACGGAGGGTTCGGCAATCGCCACCAATCCAGCGTGCGAATCTAGTCCATCAATTGTGTCCTCGACTCCACATTCCAGTAGCTAGCCATAATCTCGCTCCCGACTAATTCGGGGGTTTCCCCAGGAATCGAACCCAGGACCTTAAACCGCGTTTGAGGTTGTGGGCTTTTCCTTTTCTTTTCTCCATAGACCTACCGCTGTATATACCCTTACAAGGTATCCGGAGGTTCAGGCTCTGTGCGAGCAGGAGAGGACAAGGGCCCTCCCCATTCCCCTAGGTGATTGCTTCGGCGGTCTTGTTTGTTGCAGCCCCAGGCCAGCATCAGGCCCGGCAAGACATGTAATACGCAGACACACCCCATTACCATACGCCATACGTATCACGGTTGAGTAATTGAGATTCGGCCCGAGTGGGCCGTAACTGGTATCACGCGTAATATTTTTGGTCCTACCGTAACGTCCATTACCAAACAAAATCCCAACATAGCGTAATTATCCATCTATAACTGTACTCATATACCTGGGCGGTTATCGGTATGGCTGTCTGTATCGACAAGACGCCGGATATAGAACCTAGCCCTAAGGTTTCTACCTAATCAAGTAGGAGGTGCGCTACGTGCTGCCAAAACACCGCAGGTCCGCCGTGGGTACGCAACACGCGACCATGGTAATTTTGCACATGTCAAGTAATCAACAGGTTCTCCATTCGGGTGGTGTCATGGAGTTACGGTTGCCCAGCTAGCCTATTAGCAGGAAATTTTACGGGATACACCGATCGATACACCTGCCTGCCGACATTGGATGAGACCCACGGCTGCGGTGAGCCATCGTCAGTAAAACTAACGACCGAACGTGCCACTAATTAATATGCCCAAGCAGCTTGATTACTACAATCAAAGGCAGAACCAGTCAATGTGCCCAATAAAAAGAACTTAACACATGTGCCCAAATCTTGAAAAGGATGGCGGCAAGCAGAGGTTACTGCCGCGTTGAGTTTGGCATAGAGCGGTCTCTCCTTCCCGTTCAGTTCTGTCCCGCCGTTGGTATAACCGCATAGCTCAATTAATGTCATATGATTCTATGCCAGGGTTTTGAGAGTCCGAAGGAAATGCTACCAATGTGGTAAAGCTAAATGCAACCAACCACTCTGCGCATGAACCCTTCAAGGTGGTCAGCCAGAGACGGAATCCAAAACATCCGAGAACTGGGAAGCATGTACTTAAATGTGGGTTATAGGGCGGTGCATATCTTGTGCGTACTGACTGTACTGGTTTTTGGTGTTCGGCCAGCAACTTCTTTTGGGCCACCCATGCACAGATGCATGGCTATATCTTTGTGCTCATGCATCGGGAATTGCCTTCAGTATGCATAGCGAATTAGGAAAGGTGAAAAGCCATGGTCGTACTGTACGGATGCTCCCTGTTACAAAGGTCGGGAGCAATATGTTTGTCGCATTCCACAAGTCCCAATAGCACACTTTGTAACTCTGCAGCAGAACCTCATGGCCTCTCGAGCGTAGAGCCCCACCGTGGCCGCAGCCCGTTGCACCCACGATCTTGATTGGCGCTGGCTCCGCCATAGGAACACGTCTGCCGGTGCCTCTCACCTTTACAGATGCATAGCTGTGCACGATAGTCGCAAGTTTACAGGGCACTGTGCTGCAACTAGGGCAACAAAGTGATATAGCTTAAAATCCTGAACCTAGGCGTCGTGCGAAGGATAGCCACCGATCTGGATTTCGGCTTCCCGCTCTGGATTCCCTCTTCCTTGAGCTTTACTGATACCACCATCGAGCATGATGAAGGCACGTCGGACTTCCACTGACTCCCTGAAATGGCCCCTTAATCCGGCCAACCTTTTGACTGGTCGTCCTTTTATGGTTTCAGGTTTCATTAACGCTTGGTTTGACACTTTTGGTCTGCATTGCGCTCCAAGCACACGCGGACGGTGATAGTACTGTTGCAGTGACGCCTGCCACTGCAGCAGCCAACAGCATAAGCGCAGGTACTTCTACTGTAGCTCCTGCAAACGATGCCGCAGATAAAGCAGCTGCAGCTGCAGCTGCGGCCGCGTCAACTTCAACAGCAGCGCAGACAGAAACTGCCAAAAAAGATCCCAACAGCAGCGCAGCAATTGCAAAGGCTGCTGCGGCTGCTGCAAAAGCAGCTGCAGCTGCAGCTGAAGCAGTAGAGGCTGCAGCAGCTGCCGCTGAAGCAGCGGACAAGAAATCTGCGGGTGACGAGCAAGCGACGACAGAAAAGCCTGCAGCCACCGCAACTGACGGGGCAGCGACGAAGGTAGACGACTCTAAACAGGTTTCGGATGCGGATGCGGCGAAGCCGGCTGCGGGAGCTGTTACGTCGGCTACTGCTTCCGGGACGGGCGAGCAGCAGGTTGGAGCAGGAGAGGAGGCCGATAAGCCTGCTGAGACTAAGGCAGCTGAAACTGAATCACCGAAAGATGAAGCCACGAAGGCAGAGCCCGTGAAGGAGGAGACGACGGATGCTGGGGAAGACAAGGAGGTTGTAACTGCCAAGTCGACTGAAGACAAGCCAGCGGCTGGCACCACAAAGCGACAGAAAGTGACACCCTACGAGAGCAAGGTCATTGATTTCGCCCCGGCTGCGAACATCACGTTCGGCGATGACATCGACGATGAAGGTATAGGCTATACACACAGTTGGCACGCTGACCACCTGATACTATGTTGAAGGTGTATGTTGCTCTCGGGATGACCACGCTGGTAGTTTATGTTAACCGCCACTTGGTGCAGGCAAGTGTGCGAAGGAGATCGAGATCTATTGCGATGACGTCGACGAGGGCGAGGGTAAACTTGCCGACTGCATCAGTGAGCAAATTGCTGCGACGGAGGTGCCCGAAAGCACAGATGGTAAGCGTTTTTGATGGTTTTGTGTTTTCTGTTGTTGGACTAAGCTTGGCGTGACATGCACAGATGTGCCGGAAATCTCTGACGAGTGTCGCGAGGAGGTCTATGCCTTCAAGGTTCACCGCAACAGCAACATCAATGCTAATGTGCCCCTTGGTAAGTGCACGGCGATGATTCTATGTTTAAACCGTAGCGGCAAAGGCAGACAGTTGATGAGTCTATCCATGCCCAACTGCAGCCAAGGCGTGCAAAGTAGACGCGGATAAGTTCTGCAATGTGACTTGGTTCTTCGGCTACAAGTCGGGTCAGGTTATTGCCTGTCTACGCGATATGAAAGCTCAGGTGTCTAAGCCCTGCAAACAGCAGCTGTTTAAAGTCATGCTGGAGGTGAGTTATGGGTTAGTTACGGTTGGGTGTATACCTACGGATGACTGTACCACTCGTTCAGGATTACAGCTTCGGAAAGTTTGGTTGCGTGGCCATGCCTAATAGAGCCAAAAATTTGTACCTGATGCCTGTTTTCTTGCCTGCAGGCTGCAGTGGATATTCAGGCGGATCCCATGCTGTACGAGGCTTGCAAGGAGGATTCGGAGAACCTTTGCAAGGGCGTTAAGAATGGCGGCGGCCGGATTCAAGCCTGCTTGGTGCGAAACTCATGGGGGGTTGGCCTGGGATTATAGGGTTGCCCAGGTCGGAGCTGTAATGTTCCACATGATCAAGTTCTGCTCTCCTATGCAGGATATTTGTATAAGATGTCAACACGTGATCCCGTAGCTGACTTCGTATACGTCGGTTTTATATTACCCATTGAACTCCTTGCGCCTGTCCTTGCTTTGCAACAGCGCGACAAGCGGATGCAGTTGTCTTGGGCATGTGAGGAGCAGCTTTTCCGCCAGGAGATGGAGAATGCGGATGATATCCGGCTCAGTGTACGATTGTACTCTAAATGCCTGCCAGACAAACGCAAGGCGAGTCCCAAATAAATGGGTAGATGGGGAATTTGCACATGCATAAAGAGCTGCTAGTATGCTGCTGCATGTTTCGAGGTTGCCTGCTTTAAACAGTGGCAAGATAGAAGGAGTTTAAGTCGTCCACCACTACAAGAAAAATTCCAGCCACTTATATGTAGTATCCAGCCGTGTACCCTAGCTTGCATGTCTTGCCGTTACGCAGCCATGGAAGGTGTTTTGTGTCGCGTGGCTTACAGCTTTTTGCTGATGGTGTTCCCCACAGTTCTGCAAGGACATCGAACCTGGGAACGCACGCACGAAAGATTGTCTTGAGGAGAACCGTGAGCAGCTGTCAAGTGCTTGCAAGGAAGAGGTGGACTCGATGATCGAGCGTCGTGTACGCGACTTCCGGCTGGACTCTCGTCTGCGCAATGTCTGCGAGAATGAAATCTTCAATATGTGTGCATATTTCGGGGTAAGATGCTTTCTTGTGCCTTGCTTCTGCCTTGAGGCGCTGCGGAGATTAGTAGGCCAGTGCCTGGGATACTGATGGCCGAGGGTTCAGCTGATGCATAAATTACAGTGCCTTCGTCATGCATTACGCGAACGTTGCGCTGCTTGACAAAGCGAGCAACCGTATGGATCTTAGCAGCTGGATTTGCACGGAGGGGCTTCTTGACGCTTGTGCGCTGTTCGCATTACGACAGGATTTGGACGATATGGATACGTATGACTCATCTGTCATCAACTGCTTGCAAGACTACGCGGATGAAATAAAGAACGCGCAGTGTAAGTCACAGGTTAAGAAGTACCTGCAGTTGGCATCTCAGGATATACGTTTCGATGTTCCCTTGGCGGAAGCTTGTTTCGAGGACCGGCAGAAATTTTGCGCGGATGTTCCACCGGTGAGTTTTTCGAAAGTCGCGTCCCTTTTCGCAAATCCATTCATCGCTGCATTCGGCCAAGGGCCCTCGTTTAAGCGATGTAGGGGTACGTTTTACTGAACCTGAGTAACGCTTCTGCGCCATTTGGTGCGTCTGGAAAAGATATTTCTAATTATGCCTGGGTTACTAAAGCACAGCTTTCTAACCGCTCTTTGTGTAGGGATCTGCTCGTGTCATCCGCTGCCTCAGCAACAATCGTGAACGATTGAGCCCAGTATGCCGTGCGACACTTTTTGATGAGGAGGTTCGGTTCTCCGAGAACATTGATTTCCAGTACCCAATGAAGACGGCCTGCGTGAAGGAGATCGAGCGCTTCTGCAAAGACGTGCCGCACGGCAGCGCTCGTGTCATTCGCTGCTTACAAGACAACAAGGCCGAGAAGGACTTCGGTAAGGCCTGCAATGATGAGGTCAGCGCCTACGAGGCAGAAATCTCGAAGGACTACCGCTTCAACTACCGTCTGCACAAGGCGTGCCAGAAGGAGGTCGACAAGCTTTGCCCGGGTCTTTGTCAGAATAACGATGGCAGCGTAAGTTACGGATCCTATGGCAAGAGATGGTTCCTGGTTAGGACCGGTTCAGTTCTCATGCACAAACTCCTAGATTGTTACCGTGCTGCACTTGTGCGCAGTTTTTTACGAGGCATCCTCATAGTGCCGCATCTAACAACCTCGCCGAGTTCGGTTTGCGTTTCACTATATCGGCAGCATGTTACAAGCCCTGGTAAAAGCCGGGCGAATGGCTGTTGGCCCTAGCTTGTCAGAGGCTTAGTTGCCCTGCATTTATGCTCAATCAGTGATCTCGTTCAATTTGCTCCACTTCCATGCGTGCATGCAGCCTTGCGGTGGCAAAGTGTTGCGATGCTTGACTGACAAGATTGAAGACATCGGGGACGAGGCCTGCAAGAAAGAAGTTTACTACTACGAGAAGATGGAGGTTTCGAACTTTATGAACGACATTTTGCTTGCCGAGGCATGCCGTACGGACGTGGAGTTGCACTGCAGTAAGGTGGAGCCAGGTGCGTGAATTGCCGGACTGCCAAGGCTGTTGGCGATGTCTTGTTTTGTTGGACTTTGCCCGTAATGTATAGAATAAACTGCATATTTGTTACTGTTGCATTCTGCTCAACCTCAGGCGAGGGCCGTGTCCATAAGTGTCTGCGCGACAACCGCAAGAAGCTTACGGATGCGTGCCGGCGTGAAGAGCTGCTGCTAGAGGAGAAAGAGGCTAATTCGATCGAGCTAAACATGTCCCTTTTGAAGGCTTGCAAGGCGGAGCGCCAACTGTTCTGCTCCGCCGTGCAGCCAGGGCAGGCCCGCGTTTTCCGCTGCCTGGCGGAGAACATGAACGATGCGGACTTCGGCAGCAGCTGCAAGTACCAGGTAGTTTACAAGCTGCAACGCAGGTGAGGAGTGTAGCGTGCCAAAAGAGGATGAAGAGGCGAATTGTTGCTGAACGACTTTCGCTTGCGTGTCACCCTGCACCTCTGGTTGTGTCCTAGCGCGGACGGGTGTGTATGTGCGTGTATTTTAGCACACAGTTATTCTTGGTATGCATCCCTTGCCTAAATCGTTGACCCTTTCCAGGCAAGCTAACTGGAAGCTGGACCCGCCTCTTCGGAAGGCGTGCAAGGCAGATGTCCTCACATACTGCGCCAATGAGGACGCTGCTAACAGCGAGGAGGGCCTGGTATACAAGTGTATGATAAAGAATTATGAGGCCCTCTCGGACGGTTGCCAGAAGGAAGTTGGTCGAGCAGTGCATATGGCATTTTTTGTGTGGCAGCGCGGTGCCATTATTACTAGCGAGTGCGACGACGACATCGACAAGCTCTGCTTGGCTGACCGCCCGAATATGGCTGCTCGTCCGGGCGCTGTGGGAACCTGCCTTGCAACATTGGTAAGTTGGCAATCGCTGCTTGCTTCGTGCTTCTCGATAATATTTGCTGCTGGGCAGTGGCGTGGGCATTATGGGATTGTGCGCATGGACAGTTGTGGATTGCATGCTTGTATGTCCAGTGACCCGCAAATGGGTTCCTCAAGCCCGCATAACGCTAGTCAACCCTTACTCGTAACCCCGTCGCAGCTCGAGCGGCAAGATCGTGCCTCGGCTCGCTTGCTCCAAGCGACTACGAGCGATGCTGCCCTGACACCGGCATGCGCGCGACTGGCGGACATAGCGGAGCCACCCAACATGAAGGCGGCTTTCGAGTCGTCTCTGACTTTTGCATTGCTAAAGGATCAGCTCGAGGCAATTGAGGTCGCAACCGGCCTGCCCACGCTTACACGCGATCGCCTCGGAAATCCGCAGGGTGTCAGTCTGACTGGATCTATGGCGATGATGGGCGTGACTGCACTCGTCGTTCTGATCATATACGGCGTGTATGCAGGGTACAGGCGGCTGCGGGGCGGGAACGACAGGGACTATACGCTAGTCGTGAAGCAGCAGCATAAGTAGTGGTCTGTCAAGGCTGTAAAGCTGCTAAGTATTCTGTCTAGAAATGCGCTTGACGCTAGGTGTGACTATGGTATGACGGTTGGGGACGGGGCAAGGAGCCGGATATAATTATTCGGAGATTAACATATCTGGCCATGGTTCTGAGATGAAGGTGCGGGTTTTACCGCCTGAACCAGGTTTCGCCGTGATTTTCGACTCATATGACTGTCAATGATTACGCGTGTTACTCAAGCCTACAACAGGGGCGCGTACCCCGCGCGTTGCAGGGGCGCGTACCCCGCGCGTTGCAGGGGCGTGGCTCTTCCATGTCAAATTTAGTTTAATGTGTAAACAAACGCATTAGCAAATCAATGCATTAGTGGAGTTGACAATTAAGTGCTTACGTTCGCCATCAATGGCACGTTATGTAAGGTCCAATGTCCACTGTCCGGAGCCACCTTTGGTTGTTTGTCCCATACGGTGTACTTTAAGGAAACTTTTCTTAGGGCTATACTTTGCATAGTTTGGTCACAGTATAAAGTATCTAATACGCCAACAAAATGCTGCAAGTTGTCCTAAGCAGCATCACGTTATTTCTCTTGGTGCAACCTGGCTTTCCAAGGCCTGTTAATCCCTTACAGTTACAGCGGCGAGAATCGCAGGTGCTGGTCAATGGTGCCGAAGTTACAGGCACCGGAACGACCCACGGGACGTCACCTGACTTGATCGTCTTGCAACGCATTCGCGGCAATATCCTTAATTGGGAATCTGCTGCAGCGGCTAATGGTTATACGGGTGCGGCGATGCTCGGCGACTGTGCACTTTCGATCTCAACTGGCAGAGTTTGTTGGTCCCCAGGTTAAGCAGTCCATTCTCATGCACCACGCGGTTTGGTTAGCGCTTTTCTTACGTTCTTGGAGCAAATTACAGTTTCGCGCTCGAACCGCTTTATTTAGGGGCCTGTCAATGGGCCTGTCAAGGAGTAGCGCCGCGGATGTATACAACGTGGCTGTGTGCAACGTGCTTCCCATGTTTCCGATTCTTTGTAGGCTGGGTGGGTGGCAACCCCTGCAGCGGCAACTGGACCGGGGTGCGATGTAATGGGCAGGGGCGTGTTGTGGAGCTGGTACTGGTCTGCACCCAGGTCCGTGGGTTCACGGCTTCACGCACGGGTTGCCAAGCAGGGCTGGGTTCAGGGGCTGTGCGACTGCGTTGACATTTAGCCGTCGCCTGCATCGGTCGGTAGCAGACGTCCGAGCGCCAATACTGAAATGAGTCACGATGGCAACCGGCTGCGCGCATTGCTGATCTCTGACCTACGTCTCTAAAGGCTGCATCAAAGGTCTCGAGAGGTCGAACGAGGACGGTCACGTGGCACAGGGCCCCCCTTTCCCTCCTTTTTTTTGCGTTCTCCCCGCCTACGCGTTTACGGCGTAGCCTCGGGGCGATTCAGACACAAGCACTCGAGCTGTTGGAGGCACGTTGGAGGCAAACATCGCAAACTGTGATACTCAAAAGCTCCAGTTCTTGGCTTTGCGCGTCTCGCAATCCCGTTTCCCTTTATCCGGCCTTCCCCCCTCTGCATACTAAGAAGCCATCACGTCTCAACGAAGCATCACGCATGTCGATAACTGAAGATACGCCTTGACGCTGCACACGCATGCCACCTGCCTTTGTGGCCCACGGCACTCAATCCCATCTCCAACCCCCTTATGTCCCGCAGCAACCTTGCTTCTCCGGACCGCTAACCCAGGACTTCGCCAACCTGACTGCCCTCACTAAGCTGGACCTGTACACATCCAACTTGTACGGCAGCCTGCCTGTGGAATGGGCTGCGCCAGGCAGGTTTGAAAACCTCAGCTTTTTGCGCCTTTCGTTCAACAATGCGAGTGGCACTGTCCCCCCTGATTGGGGCCGACCAGGAGCTTTCCCGCACCTGCGGTGAGCGAATGGATGGCTGGTCGCTGACCGAACGAGGGCGAGCATAAATGGTGTTGCGCGACTGCAAACGGGGAGGGTCGCTGGGAAGAGTGAGCGCGATCCACACTGGACCCGCATCCGTTACACTAAGAACTCAAAAGCGAGATGCCCGAGGCAAAAGCCGCATCTAGCACGCCAAAGTTCTTCGCCCACCAACTCCTTTGTTTACATCATCCAGTCTCAGCGGGATCGTTGCCTTTGGGAGCTTCTCCGCGCCATCTCCTTCACCCTACTTTTTCATCCATAAGGTCTTAGCATGCTGGATGGATTAACTGTCCCGCATCTTAACCCGGCCAGCGGCTGTAAGATCTTCGGCAGTTCTTTCTTTCTGTTATAGGGTGGTTAAGCTTCACCAGTGGCCTCCTTCCCGAGGCAATTCCCTGCTCTCCTCTGCGAGAGGGGCACCCTAATCCATTCACCCCATCCGACTTCAGAGTGTACTCTATGAGTTCGGCAACTCACCACCAGCATCCAACCAAATCCAGCGGATCAACGGCGCCCCAACTTAGTTCCTGATCAGCTCGGAAGATGATTTTACCACGTCCTACACTGTCCACAAGACGGGGGGCCACTTCCCATTTCATTACCCCTCAAAACACCCGAGGAGTCAGCAGGCGGATTTGCACCCGGACACTCCGGGAGCAGAAGTCAAGCCTTAACCTCTGCCAGCCACCTGCCTACTTCTTGGTACCCATGTGCATATGGAATCCTTGCGTCCCAACCCCCGCAGCTCCCTGTTCCTGAACAACAATAACCTGACGGGCACACTGCCTCCCGAGTGGGGCGCCCAGGGCAGCTTCCCCGCCCTGGAGCTGCTTTTCCTGGGTGACAACAATTTCACAGGTAAGGCACACGCATGGTTTAACCACAGGTGTGAAGCCCCCTGAGCAGAATTGGGCGGGGCAGCAGGGGTAGAGGGTGGCCTTCATCGGCTGCGGCGGTAATCGGCCCCGCAGCAGCTCCCCTGATGGCACTACCGTAATCCACCAACAGCAGCAACAGCAGCAGCAGCAGCGGCGTACCTGCAATGGCCCCATCACACTGCTGACCGTCTCTATATTCCTTTCCCCCCGCCAAGCGCCCTCCAGCCTACCGGCTCGGTCCTATCCGCCCCGTCCGGGTCTGCCCGACACAGCTTTACCTATCCGCCGTGTCGGTGGTTGCATTGCCGGGAATCTAATGTTCGCACCTTATTTACCTTCTCATCTCCTCGGCTGCCGTTTACCGCCTCCTCAGGCTCACTTCCCAGCTCCTGGGGCAGCGAGGGGGCCTTCCCCCGGCTGTCACTGCTGTCCGCCATCTCCAACCACCTCAGCGGGGCCCTGCCCCCCGTCTGGGGCACCGGGGGCGGCTTCCCCATGCTGCAGGTGCGGTTTAGGCATAATCTGCTCGGAGTTTGGAATCAGCCCATATTGATCCGTGGACGACTCAATGGACACGATGGCGCGTGCCCCTCGCGCCCTCGTGATAGGGGCCCCCCTCACTTACTAAGACGCTGTGACTTATCCCCCGGCCCCACCACACTAGGACCTCATCCTCATGGACAATCGTCTCTCAGGTCCACTGCCGGGGGAATGGGGCAGCGAGGGCGCGTGGCGGAATCTCACAGGTACGGTAGTCCACGGCGGCAGCGTTGCACACGGATTGTTTCTGTGGCGCTCGGGGTGTGCGGTACTGTGCGCCAGGGGAGAGCGCAGCACCAAGAACCCCGGATGTCGAGCGAGGCTGCTCGACAGTTGTAGCCCGTATTGTGGCGCCCATCCACCCCCCAACCCACCGCCGCCCTAGGGGAAAGGAATTGGGGAAGGGGGGAAACTGGAGCCAGTGCCGCGGGCTGGCCCTGCAGGTTATGGCCGCCGCCTATGTGTCAAATCTGCGAGTGTGCCAAGGAAGACGACGACGAGGAGGACCGCGAGGAGGGCTACAAGGGCCTGCATGGGATGAGGAGTGCCGCTTATCATTGCAATACACATGTGTCTACGTGTGTATGTGTGTGCATGCAAAACGACCCCAGAGGGTTTATCAGCGAGTGTGGGGTAGGGAACCGATGGGGCGATCAGATCGAATGAGCGGCAGGCCGTGAGCTGCTAGCACCGAAGACAACGGGAACGATATTTCTAAATTCTTTGCTGGGTGGTTGTCGTACCTGGAAGGTCCTGCTATCCGCCCCCTTCCCCCTTCCCCCAACCACTCATACGTAGCATAGGCAAGTCGTCAGTAGAGCTGCACAAAAACCCCCAAGCATCACGTTGCTTCGGGAGCGACAGCGCTTCTTCGCACATCTCGCACTTATGGTAGTAGTGGCAAAGCTTTGGCCCGAGACGATCGGTTTACACAATTTCTTTTCACACGAGGCTACTACTACTACTACTAGTTGTACGACACGTCTTCGACAGCAACACCCTTCGACACAACGCCGATGACGATTACGGAGCACGACGATTACGGAGCACGACGATTACGGAGCACGGCCGAAATGTCGGAAGTAAAGTTCGCGCAAGGCTGCCTCATGGCTGTGGACTCATTCAGCAGCAGTTCGCAACGTTGGACGCCAGCCGGCAGAGGTTTTCCCTTCTTGACATTGCTACCCCATATAATTCCCCGCACCCCAGGTTTACTCGTGGCCTTCAACCAGCTGACTGGCAGCCTGCCGCCCTCCTGGGCCAACCCTGGAGCCTTCCCTGCGCTAGGTGGGTGGTGGTAATGGGTGGGTTGCTGGGTGGTGGTGGGTATGTGGGTGGAGGAGCAACGTGGATGCAGGAAGGAAGGACCCTTGCGGGGTACAGCTGGAAAGAGTCAGCCATGAGCAGGATGACCTGAAAGGGGGGGGAGGAACTGACCGGTGCGCCTTGCCTAGGGGAGCAGACTGGAGCTGACGGGTTGAGGTTTTGGAGTCGAAGGGATCGGTCGGGGGGAACCGAGGAAGAGGCCCCGGGCTGGTGGTGGTTGTGGTGGTTGCGGTTGCTGTGCTTTGATAATCCGCGGCCTTCAGCCAGGTTTTCCGCGAATGAAATGTTGTGGTGATTGTGACGGTTGCGGTTGCGGTTGCAGTTGCGTCTGTGATTGTGGTTGCGGTTGTGGTTGTGGTTGCGTTGCCATTGCCGTTGCCGTTGCGGCTGTGATTGCGGTTATGGTTGTGGTTGTGGGTGTTGTGGGTGTTGTTGATGGCCGTGGCCATGGCCGTGAGAGCTGTTCGAAGCCATTCGCAGCACCGACAACGCAACCACTGGCAGTGCCACTGCCACTGCCAGCCCGCTGGTGCAGCACCCCGAATACCGGAACACTTTGAACACCTCTGATGATCGTGTCCTATTTTTTTATCGTACACGCCGTACACCGCCAGAAGCACCGCCAGAAGCACACTACGGTACCATGTCGCCTGTGCTCCCCTTCAGCTCCTTTCATAGCCCTTCTTTATCCGTTTCTGTCTTCCCCTCCTCCCCGCCTCCCACACAACCCCCAAGTATTGCGGCCACCATTCCTAAACCCGCCTCGCTCAACCCTTCCCTCATCCTCCCTCATCCCCCCAACCCCCCAACCCCATCCCTCGCCCCTACCGCTATGCCCCAGGTGACCTGTACCTGCACCGAAACCGCCTCACCGGTCCACTGCCCCCTCAGTGGGGCTCGGAGAAAGCGCTGCGCAACCTGCGCTGGTTGTCAGCATTCGGCAACCAGCTCACCGGTAGGTGGTTGGGGGCCGAGCTCGGCTCAGTTGCTGATTGCGCTTGCGCTCCAGCTGCGATTCAAATAGCGATTTCATGTAGGACCCCTCTCATTTGCATGCAACTTCCCGCTGCCCATTGCCAGGTACCCTTATAATACCTGGTCAGGCCATCCTATATACCCCCCCGCCCTTGCCCTTTATTCCTTTATTTTTGCGCCTGATCCCCCTCGCCCCCTCCTCCGCTGGATGCAGGGCCCCTGCCCTCCTCCTGGGGCGCCTCCCCGCTGGTGCTGCCCAACCTGCGCAACCTGTTCCTGTCGGACAACAACCTAAGGTACCGGCCGTGCAGGGAGTGCTGTCGGATTTAAAACTGTATCAACTGTAATGATTTTGCTTGTTCATTTGGCGGATGTAGGGGAGCTGGTGTAGAGCGCGGGGAGGGAAGGTGTCCTCGCCCCACCCTACCTCACCTCACCCCGCTTCCTTTTGAAGAAACTTCGTTGCTGCTAGCGCCTAGCATGTGGCTTCCCGGGTACCGGAGGGATGTGTGTGTATGCCCCTACTCACGCGGCCCGGTCCTCTGCTGACGCGTTCTTGGTTATCAACCATGTCCGCAATCTGCGGCTTCCCTACCAAACGGTGCCTATTGGCACACACACACACACACACACATACACACACACTCACACACTCTCTCTCACCCGCGCTTCCACCCCTTCCGGCCCCCAGCGGCTCATTGCCGGTGGACTGGGGCCGCCCCAACGCCTTCCCACAGCTCCGAAACCTAGACCTCTCGTTCAACCCTGGACTGCACGGCCCCCTGCCTGACACGTGGGGCCTATCCAGCGCTTTCCCCTCCCTGGAGCAGCTCCGCCTCCACAATTGCTCACTGCGGGGTGAGCTGCCCTCCTCCTGGGGCTCCTCAGGCGGCCTGGATAGCCTGGCGGTCCTCACAGTGCAGGAGAACCAGCTGTCGGGGCCTATACCCGCGTCCTGGTCGCAAAGGACAGATTTCGGAGCGCCGGTCCTGACGCTGGTGGCTAAGCCGGGCAACGAGGGGCTGTGCGGCGCGGCGCCCAAGGGGGTGGTGGTGGTGTCGGCGACACCGCCGATGAACGCAAGTGGCGGCGGAGGGGGGGCCGCGGGTGTGCGGGGTGTGCAGGGTTTCGGATCGGGGGGTGGTACGGGTGCAGGTGAGGAGTTGTCGGGGGGATTCTCGTCGGTCCCGCTGCTCCTATCGTCCGGGAACAACAACGAGTGGGTGCAGCGCGGCCCGTCAAGCTTTGGAGGCAGTACTGGTGGCGGCAGTGGCCACCAGGCCGCAGTGGTGAGCGATGGCGGTCAAGCAACGAGTGTAGTGAAGAGCGTA